TAAAAAAAGCCCAACTTTAATCTCTTTATCATTATTTAGTTGGCTTAAATCGTAATTACCTGATACCTGGGTATATTTTTAACTACAAAACAGTCTTTTTGAAAAAAATTAACTTTTCTCTTCTAATTTTCTTGCTAATTTTCCTCCTTTGAATTTGAGGAAAATGCATGATCTGCTCTGCAGAAATGAAATTATTGTTAATCGCGCACCTGCTGAGAAAAGTCTCTGAATTAAGAGAGAGAACGGCTCATTAAATTATGAGCCGTCAGTTGCAGCGGCAATTAATAAATGGCATGTATCAGAACACGAATGCAAGCGTGGAATTTATGAGGCAACGTCTCGGGCGCTTATGCAACTCTCTCGGTTTTGCGGCGCACGAAACGGCAAAAAGTATATTTATATTTATAAAGAGAAGTGCTTTATTGCAGCCGCGGGCACTGATTCACTTGGCGCCGCAATAAATATGAAAAAAAGAGTCAGACTCCTTGAGCTGCGAGAGAGAGTTGGAAGACTTTTGTCTCTGCGCTTAAAAGCAAGCAAGAGAGGCGCAGGTGCGCAAATAACGCAGGTCAACGATCTTCCTATAAAAAAAAATAAAAAGACCGCCCGCAGATTCACCGCAATTAACTTTTTTTGCTCAAATTCCTTCTTAAATTCAAGATTTAAAATCAAACTCTAAAATTATAGTTGCAAATTTTTAAATTTTAGTGAAGAATTAGTTTTTTAAAGAGTTTTGTTTGTTAATGTTATTTTGTCTCTGAGCAAAATTACTTCTAGACCATCTTGTAATTTATTTATTTATTTTACAAAACAATAAATTATATTTTTAAAAGCTTATTTTACAATTTAATGAAAACACAAGAGGAACTATGGTATAAAAATATATTTATTTTACCCGTTTTTATTGTAAAATCAAGCATGACGAGAAAGGAATTTGGTGTGGGAAAGCGATCGAGGGTTGACCACCCAACAACAGACGTGTCACAACTTTTGCAATTGAAAAACCGTTTTCCACCCTTGGACTGGACGACACAGACAGACAAATAATAATTTCTTGTTGTTGTCAAAGCGCATCTCTCTGACGAAAATTCCGGGCTTTGTTGTTTCTCCCCTCGCGACGGAATGGGGATGGAGGGTGAGGGGGTGGCTGCGGCGCCACGAAACCTGGAGCTGCACCCTTTCTTCTGCTGCTCGTCTTTCTGTATACCTGCGCTTTTATTGCACCCTTGTTGGAAATAATACACATTTTATGGACTGCCGACCTGGGATTCTTTTCAATTATTTCTGCTCTTCGCTTTTCAATTGGGCGCCACTTGAAAAATCGTCCTTGCGTTTTACAACAGCGCGCCGTAAAAATGTTTCCAAGAACTTGCAAAAAACGGAAGCTCTTTTATTATTCATGAGTTTACGGGTGAAAAGAATATTTATATTTATCTTTTTGGGTTCATCATAATTGAAATGAAAAAGTTGCTTACAAGCAAAATTAATAGTATTATAATAGCAAATTTAATGTTTAATTTTAGCGGTTTAATTATATTTATAGAAAAATAAAATTATTACTAAATTATAATTTTGCTCTCAAAAATAAAACTTATTAATAATTCTGAATTTATTCTTTAAAAATGAAAGTTATTTGCTTCAATATTGCTATGAAATACCAAATGTAAAAAAAAATAGCCAGAGGAAAAATTATTAGTTCAGAAGCATAACCGTTCATTACAATGGCTTAAAATTGAAAAGAAACTTCTCAAAAACACAATTTTCCTGTGAATAATGAACAGCTCATTTTTGTATTCAGTCGCATTTCTAATCAAAATGACTGATGGCGCAAATTTTTAAAACAAAGTGAGGAAGACTTTTTTATTGGTTTATGAATTAAGTTTTAAAATTCCCGAATATGAAACACGTTAAGTTTTTGTTTCGTTTCCCGAATCTTCGACGGCACCAATTGTAAAAGCTTTGTCGCGGTGCCGAGAATGAGGTCTCGATCAATTGATATACGAAACCATATTTAATTGATGCAGCAGCTGCCTGCGCGGATCCAGCAGCAAAAAAATATATATGAGACACAAGAGAGGGTCACTGCTCACGACTTTTAAGCTCTCTGTGGTGTGTGTTAAATTATTAATCTGTGCGTTGCCTTGGCCGATTCAACACACAAAATCAACACACGCTTTTCATATTCAAATGAGCGCGCGATCAACGTCAAAAGGAGCAAATATTTATTCCATTTATTCAGCAGACTGTCACTTGAGATATCTCACAATTCACAATTATCTCTTTCCGTATTTAAAAATAATATAAATATTATTTAAACTGTATTTGAACAAAGTTCTGAGAAATACTCTCAAATATAATTTAAATTAAATTTATTTTTAAGCAATTTTTGATTAATTATGAACTAAATTTGGTAATAAAAGAGATGGGAATTGAAAAGTGTAATTTGATATATGTAATAAAACGTTACTGTAAAATTTATTAATAATTTTAACCTTCACTGAAAATTTTGATTTTGGTGGCAAAAAAAATTATATAAATCGCAATTTTTAATTTTAATTTCGCCATTATCAGTGCTTATTTTCAAATTGTCCAACGAAAAAGAAATAAAGGAGAGCAAAAACTGAGGCTTTGGAAGAAAATATGAATAAAATAAAATTCAATTCAATTTTGTTCAAAACGGCAAAATTTTGAGCGTGAATTGAAACTCATAAATGATCAACTCACTTTTTAATATAAAATTCTCCAAAAATAGCGTTTTTCTCGCCTTTCAAGTTGAAATTTTCATTGTTTTTTCTTACACAACAACAATTTCCAAATTCGGACTTGGAACCAAAAAAAGTAGAGCGGAAATTAGTTTGATACATAAGCGCAGTGGCCGTGATTTGGCGTTTTTATCTGAGTGTGTGTGGCGTGCGGAGAGAGAGCGGCGGGCAAAGGCGCCACCGTGTCGGCAGATAATATTTATAATATTACGCGAGATAGAGCGTGCAAAAAAGCGGCAGCCGCGTGTGAATGTGCAGCCCGGCCGCTATTAAAACATTTGCGGTGACGTCACCGCCGCTTTCAAGCTGGCCAAGCTCACGTCATTCTTTCATCGTTCTTCGAGAGCAAAACCACCCCTAAATTTTACCATAGTTTGACCCGAAAAACCAATAATTTCATTGTAAATTCTCTAATTCTATTAAAAAACTGCAAAATTTCTTGATGAACACTAACAGAGAGAGACATTTTTGTTTTATTTCGTACAAATATTAGCATCCCAAATTTTTACTTGCTTAATTAATTTGAAATTTTTGCCAAAATTGTTCCCGACATCCCTAATTTCATGTGGACAATAACAAATATTTTAGTCTGGATATCCCTACCAAAATTTAATAAACTAATTTTTGGCAGGTTTAAATGCTTTTAGATTAAACTATTGAAATTTAAAAAAAAAATTTAATGGTGAGGGATTTTTGGAATTTATTTGAATTTTTCTCTTTGTCGTTTTGATCGACGGAAATGGGAGGTGCTGGAAAGGTAGCTGTGCAATAAATTTGCTGGCGTGACGTGCAGCCAATTAAAAATTGCACTCTGACAATTCAATTACTTTGCGAGCAGCGCAAAAAGCAGTGCATCCCTTTCAAGTGCACGCGAGCGACGTTTTAATTCCGGCGAGCGAAATTTCTGGTTTTTCTTGATTCAAAGTGCAGGTGCGCGACGCAAACGTCTCCATTTACAACAATGCGTGCGGCGCTTCACTTTTTTCTCGCTTTGGACGCAGAGACAACAATAATTGTATTTATTGCCTTGTAAACTGCAGCAAATTCCCTTTTAATTAAAGCGCGCGACTGCAAGTTGGGGCGATTCGAAGAGAAGAATGCGCGTGACTTAAAATCGGATCAGGGCAGATTTAATTGCGCCACAAGTCATCGCGCAAATGGAAACGTTTTGACAGCGGCCCCCTGACAACATTTTTCTCTCACAAAAGTTAAGTGCACTTGCCGAAGCTATCAGTTGAGAAACTGGCTTGGGAAATATGCTCAGGAATTCTTGACACAAGTGACAAGGACGGTTTTGTCTTTTGCAGAGAAACAAAATATAATGGAATCAATTTGAAGAGAGAAAAATATTAATTTCCATCAAAATTTATATAATTTTTTTTTTAAATCCTAAACAAAAATTAGATTTTCAGTAGAATCAGTACAGAAAAATTTGGAACTAAAATGATGAAAAAAGATTCTGAACTCTAAAAGTGTCGAAAAGGTCGCACAATCGCCAAATTAAATTAAAATATTATACATTGTATGTTTTATAAAATTACATTTTGTTTAACTTGATTGAGAGGTAACGAGTGTGTTTATGATTCTGTTTATTTTTTTTCAAATTGATGGAAAAAAGAATGAGATATTTTCTTTAAAAATTTTGTTACTAATTTCTATAATTTGCAAATAAAAATCGTCATTTTAATTTAAATCTTACACAATTTGATATAAGAAAGTGGAGACTTGTTATAAAAAAGACGTTTTCCTCCGAAGCAAGGAATCCCATTGTTTACATTCAATTAATGAAAACCAATTTGTTTGAAGGAAAGGGAAATTTTGATGGAAAATAACTGCACCGTCGCTATAGAAAAGATTTTATCAAGTCGTCTTTTTGTTTTGAGATCAAAAAGATTTGTAGAAATAATTTTTTAATTTCCTAATCACAATTTTAAAGTCAAAAGAAAATACAATGCAATTTTATTGAGGGAAGAAGGTAAAATTACTGATTGTGAGATATAAACAATTTAAACTAAAAATATTGAAAATTACAAAAAGTAAGAAAATTTTAATCGCAGCTTTTTCAGAAATACCAGATTTATCAATGATCAGAAAAATAATTGAAAATTTTTAAAAAATTTAAATTAAAATTGCATCTGGCAAAAGAGGAGCGCTCGAGTGGCTCCAGCCGAGTGCGTGTCGCGCCGCCAGAGGCGCCAGGGTCGCTCGGCGGCGCATTTCACTTGTGTGGTGCGGCGGCTGCGGCGCCGCGGCCGCCGCAGTGATCGGAGAGAGTTGCTTTCGGACGGTCGCACTTTCGGTCGGACGCGCGTTGTTGCAGCTTCGAGATGGTGTGGCCGCAGGTGCTGGTGGTGCTTTTGTGGGGCGTGCATGCGATGCGCGGCTCCGGCCTGCTCGACGCCGAAACCCTCGTCGCCGAAACCATCGGCGACGCCGTCAAACTGCAACACCTGCACCACCACCAGAACGTGCACCACCACAAACACGCCGACCACGTCAAAGGTAAAAATCAAAAAAATTATAACCACTTGGAAAATAGCAAAATTATATTTTTTTAAAAGAAAAAAATGTTTATAAATTCGCCTCGGGGCAGAATTTATTTGTCTCGGAGGAAGAAAGAAAGAAAGAAAGAGCGATTTCTCTTTTGGTGCAACCTGCCGCGAATGATTATTTGTCCGATTGTTTAGAAAGGCTCCTCTGTGTGCCACTTTTTTACTACAAATTTAACAATAATTTCGCATCACTTGTTCGTCCTCGGAATCGAACAATGACGAACGGACGCACACACCTTTGCATTTCCGATCCAAATTACAAAAACATTCCACTGCGCCTTTCTACTTAGAAAAGGGTTGAAACTGTTTACTTTACTATTCAGCCTATTCATTGAGACTAATTGAATTTTGGCACAAATTTTGCAATTGGGAATTGAGACTAGCATTAAAATTTTACCTGTTCAAAAAACGGCCACGATTTGACTTTTTCTGTAATTTACAATTTAATTTCACTGCAATTCTTTGAAATATAGAAAAGTTTCATGCAAAAGATGAAAAGGTGATTTTAGGTAATTTAATTTAATTATTATCTATTACTGGAAAGATGTTTATCATAATTATTGCCACTTTTATTACAATTTTTTAAAAGAAATAAATTTTTTTCACAATTTTCTGTTCTGGCAAGATTCAAATTAATAAATTTATTCGCTTTATTTTACTTTTTATTCCAAGTAAAATTTAAATGTTTGTTATTTTTATTTTTAGTAAAGTTTCCGATTTCCAAGTTTGCCTTTTTGCTGGCCTGAGTGCAGCTGCCGTGTAATTAGGAAAAGCACTTTGCTGGGGGGGGGGGGCGCCCGACGACTGAGGAAACTCGGGTTTCATCGAACCCTTGCTGGTTTTTGTCGCGCACCGAGATTCGCACGGGGTGTCTGGTCTGCTCTCTCGAAAAGGAGGGTTTTGAGTTACCTGCGCGGCCGGAAAACCCTCATCACACTCGCTCGCACACCGATCATTAAAAAGAGATAAAGGGAATTAACGAGCAGAACACGGAAAGCGTTTCAAGCTCTCTGTAATTTAGACCTTCCATTTTTCTACCTTTTCCACTCTGTTATTACAAAAAACGTCCCGATTCTCTCTCATTACGCAGGAATTCGGCTCCGTTTTCCTCAGGAAAATTGTGATTTATCATAAAATTATTCTTTGTTGGAAAACATTTCGGTTGCTTCAAGTAAATCAAAATCGATTTCTCATTAAAAAGGACCAAGATTCTAGCAAATATTTCAATCCAACAATAAGCCACATTTTGTCAAAATTTGGAACTTTTATTCAAAACTGAAATGACCAAAACCAGTCAAACTGATAAAAAAGCTGTGGTATAATTAAAAAAACAACGAGTTCTTTATAAGAAATTATTTGGGTATGTAAATCTAATTTAGAAATGTCACAAGAAATTTATTGTTGTGCCGAATTTTCAATTTCGCTCAAAAAATTGTAAAAATATTAGTTTTCGAAAAAAAACACGCAATAAATATGATTCCTTTATTTTCTATTCTCGTATAATTATGGATATTTCTAACTAAAAAATTACAAATTATTCAGAAATTTCAAGAATAAAGTTTTAATGAATATAAAATCCTAGTATTTCAAAAGTTTAAAAATAATAAAAAACTATGTGCAAAAAAAAGAAAATATTTATCAATGGCAAAAAGTATTTGAAGCGTAAAATTTGCATATTTTATTCCGCAAATAAATAATATCACTAATTTTGTTTTTATAATATTTCAAAACTTATTTAAAAATTCCTGACATTACAACTTTCTGGCAAAAAATATTCTGCAACTTTAGATTCTGATATTAATTACTCGGAATAACCTTTTTCAAATTTTTGACAAATGATGGACACCCCTATCAAATATAAATTCATCTTTCTTATAAAGCAAAGCATTTTCCCATGAGGACAAATGCGCCGACTCGGAGGGAATAACAATTTCGCAACTCGGCAAAAACTCCTCCTCTCTTTTTTTAATTACCCGTTTTATATATATTTGCGTTGGTCGAGAGCGTCGCTTGTTTGTTTAAAAAAAAAACGAAGCAAACGAAGGGTCTGGAGAAGAAGACTGGCGGCTCATTACTCTCGGCTGGACGGACCGTGTACCTGAAGCTCTCCCAGCACCCCCTCGGCCATTATTCTCCCATCCGAGGAATTTGCTTGTTTTTTTCCTCGGCTCGGGACAAGCAGAAGAAGAAGTACATCCCCTGGAGAAGCAACACGCTGCTTGTTCATTGTCTGCCAGATCGGCCGCGATAAACATTATTTTGCGAAAGGAATTAACTGAATTTTCGTTCGCAACGCGCGCCACTTCATTAAGATTCGCGAGATAAATGGAGAAAGGAATGCGCCGCGATTGCTCTTCGAGTGCGCTTCGAAATCACCGATTAATTAGATTTCAATCGAACTTGCAATTAAAATTCTCCAATTGTACTTGAAAAGATTATTTAAAAGTTTTTTTACTTAAACTGTACTCAAACTTAACTGATAATTAATTCATTACAAGTTGTTTTGAACATATATTTTTTATAATTTAAATTCTCAGAACGCTTGACACAGACGGACAGTTTAAATTTGCTGGCTGACATTTGATTCAAAATTTACAAAAAATAGTGAAAAATAAAAATTTGCAGTTCTGCAATTAAATTTTAATCGATTTTGAATAAATTCATATTAATTTATTCCAAAAATTTTTATATCTGATAAAAGTTTGTTGACATCCGAAGTCTATAAATACAATTTGAACTTCAATGCGAATTTTTGCCTCAATTCAATTGACGTTGGCACTTGGGAATTTACAACTTTGAGGGAATAAAAGCAACAGGTTGTCGGTGCGGTAGCGTGCGCGTCTCCTCGGTTTTATATACTTTTGGTGGAACACAAAAGGGGCTGCAAGTGAGCTTTGGCAGCGCAGGGGCTGAAAGAGGATGTCCGCGAGCAGTGAGCCGACTGGCGCCACCTCCCCCCTCGGCCAGACGCGCACGATTTCTTTTTTCTGCCACCCCGCAGCTGCCCTCCGAATTTCATTTTTCTTCCACGCGCACACGGCAATTTAGCCAACAAGAGAGTGGAAAAAAAATAAGTTGTTTGAACAAGAAAAGAAGGACCTTGAATGTTTGCTCGCGGCCCTGTCCACTCAGACGCTCCTCTTGAACGCGAAAAGAGCTGGAAATTATTGAAACTCACCGTGAAATTTCAGTTTTCAATCAATTGAGAAAGGAAATTCCGAAGGGTGACTCATCACCGGAAAGTAATAATTTCACAGAACTTAAAGAAGGCCCTTGAGTGCCCTCCGCTCTATTTCCCTTTGATATTCAATTTAATTTGGTTTCTTAAAAGGTTAATTAAATCAGGAAATTTAATGTATCCGTTTTCGTAATAATTTCAGTTTGATTATAACTTTTATATCAAACTTATTAAAATTAATTTATAAAATTATTTTGTACTCTAATTAATTATAAAAATTTCAATTTCCAATCAATTTTTGGTCTCATACTAAATATTTTTCTGACCTTTGCAACCCTGTGCGACTATTTATCTGGTAAAGGTCAATGTTAGTGCAATGTGAGAGAATAATTGTTTGCGGATAGGCGATGCTGTGGGAATGGGGCCATAAGCAATCTCGATTACCAGCCATGTGAACTCGTGTCTTTTTTCACTCCCCCGTCTTGCGGCGCCGAGAAAGGATTTTATTTTTAGAACCCCTCGCCGCGCGCTCCAAACGAAACTTTATCGCGGTTTCTTGTCCCACGCGCCACAGATAATTTTAATATTATACCATTCAAAAAACTATATGCGTTGTGCACAGGCAGGTGATGTCAAACTGAAACTCAGAAATATGAAGTAAAGTTGTAATAAACCACGAAGATTGTAGAAAAAACTGTTCAGTGAGCTTCTCCAGATGTTTATTTTGTAAATTTTTCAATTCAAGCAGCAATTAAAACGAAAATAACATTGCTTTTTTAATTTCATATTCTAATTTTGGATTTAAAAAATCATCATTGAAATAAAATTGACATACGAGGAGTAAAATTTCATTTGACTTTCCAAAGGTAAACTCTTAATCAACATTCACTCCCTAACTTTTGAAAATTTTCTATTTCTAACTAATTTTTGGAATTTTTTTTGTTCAAGACGAGAATTGAGAAATTAACGAAATTAACATTTGAAGAAAGAAACTTTGAAAGAAAGAGTTTAAAAATTAAAATGATTGAACAATTTCATCTTCAATCCTCATGATTTATTATCTTATATTTTAAATAAAACTTTGATTACTTGAAGTGAATTTGTCTCCGATTTTGCAACAATCTTATTGTGGTTCTGCAGTTTTGTTTTATGAAAACACAGGCTTGCCAAAGTCGCGACATGTGCGTGTTTGGTTTGGAAAGCCACCCAGCCCCGCCGCGTTGGACAATTCAAATCACGTCTCTTGCCATCGCCACTTGTTTTTGCTCTCGGCCTTCGATCCCATGCGCGCATCGCCTGCCTGCACGATAAAGTAACTTGTTTGTCAAAGCAGAAAACGCGCCGAGCGAGAATCAAACCCTTTTTTTGCAACTTTTTCACAATCGTCCGTCTATTGAATGGACGCGGCCAATTTTCATTTTTTGCTGCAAATCGTAGATTTTCCGCTTCGAAATCCGCATTCCTCGTTTAATTTTTTTATGCTTCTTCTTGTGCAAATGATTTTTATGTCGTCCGTGGGCGCCTCTCTCTCTGCGGCCGTATCAAAAGCCCTTCTTTCTCCGCCGGCCCGAAGAAAAAAAAACTAGCGGGTTTCGCTGTGTTTGGCGGCGACACGGCGCGAGAAACAGGTTTATGCTTTTAACAGATTACACACGGCACGATTTCGAACACAAAATTTATAATTTTATTGAAATAATTTTGCCTGCGCGCGAGTTGCATCAGTGCGAGTTGGCGTGCGGCGCCAGTCTGAGCCCCGCGGCGTGGGAGAATTCTCCGTGTTTGCACTTTTTTTACTCCGTCAATTTGCATAAATTAAAATCTGGAAAAGAGTCTCAAGTTTTTCTCTCCTTTTGGTTCCAGGCGAAACGGTGTGCTCATGCAATCACAACAGCTGCGTCACCACCAATTACATGTGCAAGACGCGTCTCGACGCGGGATGCTTCTTCATGAAGAACAAAACGGTCACCAGCTACGGATGCGTCGACCAGCTGTCCGAGTGAGTAAACCTAAATCAAAATCAGTTTGTTCTCGGCGAGACGATTCCAACGATACCTCACAAGACCACTTTTTAAATGAAATTCAAATTTTCAATCGGCCGCTATTTTGAAAAAATATGGCCGCCGTTTGGAAATACGAGATCAATTTTTGTTTTAAAGCTAAACTTGTAACATATCTTTGAAATCGTCTCGTCCAGATCTCTATCGAAATGAGCTCAGACTTGTAATAAAAAACTTTTTGTCTCAGGTATGAGAGGTTGACGTGCAAGATCCACCCGACCCTTCCGAAGACGAGGGGCCACGTGGAGTTGATGTGCTGTCAGCAGGACATGTGCAACTACGAGATCATCAAGGGCAACTTTGGTTCAGGTGAGTTTCGATTCAACCATTGTTTAATGAATGAGATTATTGTGAAAGAAAACTGCTTTTTGTGCGCGAACTTCTGCTTCTTTGAAAGGGATCTCTGTCGAGATTAAGACAAAAAAGAAATGAGATCGAGGGCCTGTCATTGGATGACGCGCGCCCGAGTGAGTGTTTTTCTCTCGCGCGCGGTGCATTCTTGGCTGGTGCCGCGGTGTCGCGCGTGCTGCCGCTGGATTCCATTTTTGTTCGGCCACTCGAGAATTGGAGCATTTTCAATGAGCACCATTCATTCCTCGATTCGGTCCAGAAAGGAAGAGAAAAATTTCTTTCCATTTGAATTGCGCTTCATTTCACAACGGAGAGAGTCATTTAATTTGAAAATAAACTTGTCAACAAATTAATGTAATATTTATTTCATTTAAAAATGTTTTGTTATATTTATAAATAATTAATTTTTATTGTTGAAAATATTTAAGCAACTACCATATTTTCTTAAATTAGAAATTTGATTCCTCTCAACTCGCAATCAATTAGGATTTGTGCAAAATTTGGTGATTATTTGTGTTGGAGCCGAGTTTGTTTAGTCTGTGGGGTTTTTGGCCTGGCGGCGAAAATAAGATTTTGGTGGGAGAAGAAGCTCCGCGCGCGGGTCGGGTGATGCTGGCAAGGCGCATTCCTCGGCTGTCAACACACGCCGCCGCGCTACCGCGCCAACCTTGATTTACAGATAATGCCTTTGGAAAACTATTTAATAATTAATCAAGTTTTTTATTCAATCGCTCGCTAGCCTCGGCCGCGACTGGTTCTCTTTCGCGTCAAATCAGGCCGCCGCATCTCCCCGCAGCCACACAAGAACACATTATTTATCCCCATCTTGATATTAACAAATGAACTCGTCTCCTAAACAAACAAAAACCCAACCCCACGCATCTCTCAATTCTAGATTTTTAAATAAAACTAAAGTTTATTGTTGCGAAAGTCTTTTTTGCCCGGCTGACCTTGCAGGACTTTTCAATTCCGTCTGCATCATTAAATCACTCGCGGCGCCGGCTAATTATACCACCTATAGAGCATCTTATTATTATTCGAGTACACACAAAGAAGCGTCTTGCAGCCTCCCTAATGAGACTCGACTTGTTAATTATCCACCTTCTCGGCCGCGCGCAATAAAAACCAAAGTCATCCTTTTGCGCCCCGAGACAAACAAACCAGATACAGATCGCCTGTGTGGCGCTTCTCACTAAATCTCAAATATTTGACTTGATGGGGCCAATTTATAAAAGGGCCGAATGCCACACATTTCTCCTCTCCTTTTCCCACACCAGATTAACATCTGTGAAATATTCAGCTTTTAATTTATAGTCTTTTTTTTCATTAACAAGAATTTGGAAGATAATTTATTTCTGCAAATTTTTCGCTCACTCACTTCTCAATTTTAAAGGTTTAAAAACGTTGATTTTTTATAAGACTAATAATACATATATTATGCAAATTTTAGCCAAAAACAATCATTCGTAGCAATAATTTGGAAAAAAATAGTTGCTTTTGGTATTTTAGAGAATTAATTCTTTAAACATATTGGAGGTATTTTATTCAAATTTAAAATAATTGAATAACAAATTTTCTCAATTCAAAAGGTAAATCACTGCAATGTTGTCACCAATAAGCAAACTTGGTCACATAAAACTAAGAATGTGGAAATTGCTATTAATAAGATCTGGTTTTACTGTAAGAAGTATTAAACAAAATTTTGGTTTCAAGCATTTATTGTTGGCGTTTTTCCCTAATACTGATTGGAAGGGTAAAAAGCGTTGATATATAACAAACGCTATCATCAATAAGCAAATTTTGGTCTTCCTTTTCTTAACTAATTTTTAATTTTTTATATTTTTTTGCAGACATGACCGAGAGCCTGAGCGGAACGCCGCCGCCGTACCTGGACGAGTTCTGGCTGAAAGTGGCGCTGATCGCGGTGCCGCTGTGCGGCGGCGTCATCCTGGTGGTGCTGGTGGTGCTCGCGTGCCGAATCCTGCAGCGCGACTCCAAGTACGGGGAGGCGCACCTGCGGTCGGGCTACTCGCATTGCCGCGACTCGGACCCTGGCAACGCGAACCGCCACTCGAAGGCGCGCCTGCTGCTGCTGGACGACGCGACGCCCTCCTGCGGAGACAAGCCGCGCATCTACAAGGGCCCGCAGGACCCCAAGGTCATCACGTGGGTCATCGCGTCGCAGCACGGCGACAAGCCCAGCGCCGTCTGAACACGGTTGTGGGACACTTACGCTACTTTCTTGTGATAAATAGTCATTAATTGCGAGTGGACGACGACTGTGTGTGCACCAAGAGTGGACAAATAAAAGCTGCCTTAGAGAGGAGGGAATCGGCCAGCAATTGTGTTTCTGCCACGCGACTGATTATTATTTTTCTATTGCGCGCTCTTTGATTGTTGTTTGACAAGTAAAATTAGGGGTCATGTGATACACGGTGAGAAGCCATGCCATTCCCAGGTACTTAATACAATACAAAATCTGTTAATTTTGTGGCCAAATTCAACACACACTCTGGCGGTGATTCAAGTGGGGCAATCTTGCTGATCTGATTCCAGTTTTGAATCTCGACGGTCCGGTGGAAATGTTTACTTGAGAAATCTCTCGGCACAGCTAAAAGTTTGTCTCTCCAAAAGTAAAAATGAGATTGAGCGAGTGAGTTTTGTACATAACTACTGTAAAACGGCAACAACCGCTCTTAAGTACTTGATGTAAATATATACAATGTAAATTGCTACGACACGTGTGTGTTGTCTTGATTAATTAAGACTAGGCAAGTCAGTAAGTTTAGATCCTGATTGTTGACTTGACGCATCTCTTCGTCAGACTTTAAAATAAAAAAAACTTGCCAGTTAAATTCATCAATGTTGAAAACAAAAATTTCCTATATACTGAGAACGAATACATAGTGCCTCACTTATTGTCAGAGGTGATTCAGCGTTGTGTCAAAAACCATGCTATTTTAATACTTGAGAGAATCGCAGAAATATATTATTGTACTACTACTTCCAATTATTTATTACGGATGTATCGTCAACAAGAATAAAAAAAACACACATGTAAATTGCACTAGATTCTGTCATTTTTATCTCCTTTTGGGTTATCTTTTTTTAAATAGATAGTCACGTTGTGTTACGTTAGCTGACGTAAAAGTGTAAGACTATTGCGTTAATGAATGGAACCAAGACAAGACAGAGAAGTGACTCACGTTTGGACCAACACGGCGGTGAGTCAAAAAGATAACACGTCACAAAATGCAGAGATTTTTTACCGATTTTCACACTTTCGATAATACTATAGAGGGGCTTTATACATATTTTCTGCCCAAACTTGACTGAAGAAATGATTATTTTAATAGAGAAGATTTCAAATATTTCAAAGAATCACAAAATTTTGCGATTGAATGAAGCGAATGAAGTTGAAACTTAAACGCAGCGCAGTGCATTGATGACATGCATAAATAATTATTTTATTTTGGTCTCTTGATTTTCTTTTTTGCGTTGATTAGAGTGATTTTAACTGCGATTGAAGCATTCAGTTATGAACAAGGAAGCTCAATTGCTCGGCCAAATAAAGATTTAATTGCGTAATTAGCGATAATAGCGGTACTTTATTGCTTTCTGTGTGAAATTCTTTCTCGGTCCGCCTGTTTTTTTGGCGCTTCGGCAGCTTTGAGGAGCAGATCGCGCCATCTGTGTTCAGGCAGGGTAAGTGGCGCCGCGTCACGTGACCGGCATCGACCAATGGAATCATTCCTGGAGCCCCCTTACGTGGCACCAACATCGAAAATTCGTTCTTCCTCCACGTCGGCCATTTTGACGTAAGGTGCAGCCGACAAAGCCGGAATAAACGACACTGTCAGTGTCATTTGGGACGAGTAAATCGGCTTCTTGAGACGTGAGTATCTTCCCGTCCGACGCCGTCCGAACCGCCCTGGCCGAAAAGCGTTCAAGTTCGGCCCCGGCCGCCGTATTTCTGCGTCGCATCCTCGGCAGCACCCAGATTGCGTGTTCGCCGCCGAAATTCGCACCCGCGATTTGTTTCGTACGGCGCCGCGTGTCCCTTCTCGCCCCTCTCGGACGCGTCCAGTGCACCTGAGGAAGCTTGATGGCCGCTCGGACGACTTGAAATCGAGTTTGGAACGATTTCAGGGCAAACGTCAGCGATCGGCTTGCAACGGCACTTGACGTGTTCGCAGTGACGTTTACGCTTTAAGTGCGCACAAATCGTGAGGTCGCTTTCACCCCCTGTCCGATTCAACCGAAATTTGCTCTATTCTCGGCACGGGCGTCCGCCGGGACGGGGCGTGTGCCTGCCGGACACCCCGTGCCGAACGCATCCTCTTGGCTGCGAGACTTGAATATTAATTAATGATTTGTGCGTTCCAGGCCACTGAGATCCACACAAAGACGTCACCATGGGTAACATGTTCGCAAACCTCTTCAAAGGCCTATTCGGCAAAAAGGAGATGAGAATATTGATGGTCGGGTTAGATGCTGCTGGTAAAACTACCATCCTCTACAAACTCAAGCTCGGCGAAATCGTCACGACCATCCCGACCATTGGTGAGGAAATCGAAAGTGCCAAATCACCAGAACTCTATTTCCTTGTACTCGTTTTTATTCTAATTTTGGTTTATTTCCGTGCGCAGGGTTCAACGTAGAAACAGTGGAATACAAAAACATCAGCTTCACAGTGTGGGACGTCGGCGGCCAAGACAAGATCAGGCCTCTGTGGCGGCACTACTTCCAAAACACACAGGTTTGCGAATAATTTTGCTTCCGCAACGCTCGGCACAGATAAAGATGTTTGTTTGCAAGTGGACGCTGACACCATTCTTTCTCTTGCCGAAGATAATCTCGTGTTTAATTAGTTTTGAAATGAGCGTGTTGTTTGCAGGGATTGATTTTTGTGGTAGACAGCAACGATAGAGAAAGAATTGGCGAAGCAAGAGAGGAGTTAATGAGAATGCTGGCGGAGGATGAGTTGAGGGATGCTGTGCTCTTGATTTTTGCTAACAAACAAGTAAGTTTTGTCATTCCCGACTGATCGAGAGCATTTTATCTCGCTTGGATACTGGAAGTTTTCAAATATTAAAAAAAAAATTATTTGACGCAAGATTTTGCTTTGAAATTAATATTAAAATTTAGGGTAACTTAAAATTTTAATTATCTGTATTTTAACTTTTAACCACACTTTACAGTTAATTTTATACAAAATAAAATTGATCTCAAGTTTGAATCAAAATCAATCATTAATCGATTACTGTTGCATCTTCAGAGGTATTTTAGGTTATTAAGTTTGAAGTATTAATTACAAAAGAAAACGATCATAAAAGTATGGTCATGCCATTGATTAGAAAGTTTGATAAAGTAAGTTAACTTTAGTTCAGTTATTTGAATTCAAAAGGAAAAACTCCAATCATTGTAGCTTCAATTGTGGTGCTTTTTTCCTTAAACATATTTCATATCAAAATTGAGAAATGTTTTTGACAGTGCATAATATTTTTGCGATTTAACTCCACATTGATTTCATCTCGCTAACTGTGGTTCAGTGAAATTTAGTTTGTTAAAGTTGGGCAATTTAAAAACTTCCTATCAGGAGAAATATTGATTTTTAATCCAGTCCTTCACAGTATTACAATTTATGATAATTTAAAGACAAAGCTAATTAAATCATCATTATTAATAAAAAGTAATTCATTTTGTGGAGAATACTGACGAGTGAAAATTTTATAGGATTTGCCTAATGCGATGAACGCCGCCGAGATCACAGACAAGCTGGGCCTGCACTCGTTAAGGAACCGCAACTGGTACATCCAGGCCACGTGTGCGACCAGCGGGGACGGACTATACGAGGGACTCGACTGGCTGTCCAACCAGCTGAAGAACGCCAACCGCTAAGAGCCGGACAGAGGGCTGCTGCATCAGCACCGCCGCACAGAAAGAAAGAAAGAAGAGCGCGCGCAGTTTGTTGTTGCTGCAAGTGGTGTGTCTGTCCAGTGAGTGTGAGACTCGGGAGCGTGCCGGCCGCCCACGCGCTGCCCCCTGCGCTGCCGGCACCCTCCCCTCATCCACGAACTCTGCAAGGACTCCTCGAGGCTACAACTACTACTACTCCAGCCCAAATTTATCCAGAAAAAAAAGAAATTGTTGCTTTCAAATAAGTGTGCACGTTTTCCATTTTGTTGTTTTCGGCCGGCCAGCTGCTCGAAAGACTGAAACGTCTGATTGGCAAGGCGAGTCGCTCCACCCTCAACCGGCGCCCACTCTGCACCCCGAAACCGAATTATTGCTTTTTATACTTGTTTAAAAGTGGAGGGGTGCTTTGTGGCCGCACCCAGGCGGGCGCGACTCGCCCCGAGTGTTTTTAGCAAGGGAGAAGATTAACTCTGGCTGTATTCGCTCTGGGCAGAAGGAAATATATATATTTTTAGTATAATTAATTTAGTTATTATATCGTACGTACATTCCGTCATCTGAATTGATCCCCTCTGTACTTATAGAATTAAGCCGCACTCGAACCACACCAAGTCTCTTTCTCTCTTTCGGTCCGTCTGATTATTATTGATTGTTTCAAGCCCCAAGTTTGCCAGTCAGTTGATCCTTTCCCTGAGCGTAAATTGAAAGGTGCAGGCTTCACACACACACTCACTCACTCTTAACTACCTTCTCGATATCACAAACATGAATAGTGTCTATGTTGACTTTTTCAGATCGATTATTGTTTCAATATTGTATATGAGGTTTTAATTGGATGCCATTCTTGTGAATTTCCATGTACTTGTGCTAATCACAAAAGTAATTGAGAAAAAAGTATGGAAATAATATTGACTTTGAGCAAAATAATTCTTAAACCGAGTTTCTATACGCAAACATCATAATAATGTTCTCGCTGTGTCTTGTGTTCTCCTTTTTTTATTAATTAAGGCTTTACTATTATTAAGAAGCTGTAATGGAACACGTGGAACGCTGGTGACGATTAAGCAGCTGCGTTTCGATCTTTTGCAATCACGACAACACGAGCTATTTATTTTATGCATCTCTCATTTGGTTCGAGCAAAACAACTTGATGCTTCGTAAATTATTATTATATATCAGATTTTTCACTCCGATTTTCAGTTCATGCAATAAAGTTAAAAACATTAAACACAAAACTATAATTTTGCTTAATGTCCAATAAAATTTCATTACCGATCAAAAGGGAGTTTTAATCGATATGCTGCCATTCGAAAGTTCTTTGCATTTCAAACTTTTCCCGCCCTTGCCGGCCGGCGAGGCTTTTAAGGCTTTTTTAACAACAACAAAGATGGCGGCCGGACCGATTGCAGAACGCAATCAAGGCAAGTATTTTTCGCTTTTTGCACATTTATTTCGCTAAATGCCTCCGATGCTGGTTGTTCGGATTGCTTTTGAACAATTCGAGTTTAGTATTTTCAATTTAAAAAGCCACAAACGGCCGTACTTTCACTGCAAATTCAATTGGCGCGACACACGCTTTGTCCTCACCTTGTTTGCATTTTGTTTCCATTCTGATTTTGATAAAAATAAACTTTAAATTATTAAATATGAATTTGTGTTTTTCCAGATGCCACCATCTACGTTGGAGGTCTGGACGAGAAGGTCTCCGAGGCTCTTTTGTGGGAACTCTTTGTCCAAAGTGGACCCGTTGGTGAGTACCTCTTTAAATTACAAGTAAAAATGTTTGCTGATTTGAGTTTTTCTCCAGTCAACGTGCACATGCCGAAGGACCGCGTCTCCCAAATGCACCAGGGCTATGGCTTTGTCGAGTTCATGGGTGAGGACGACGCCGACTACGCAATCAAAATCATGAACATGATTAAATTGTATGGAAAACCCATCAGAGTCAACAAGGTGCGAAAAAATATTCTGAAAGGAATTTATAGGAGATTTGAAGAATTATTATTTCCTACTGTCAGCGTTTTCATTGATCTGAGATATCTATCTTATAAAATTTATTTAATTGCAAGCCAATTATTCTACAAAAATTAATTTTTCTTCCTTTTCTTATAAAATCTTGCCTTGACCATATTGGTTACTTCAATTTTTCACTAGCGCATTTCTTATATATGTTAACCACAGTATTAAAAAATTTGTTTAAAGACGAGACATAAGTACTTTTTCCTAAGCTAAGAAATCTCTTGTTCTAGTCTCTAACTGAGTCATATGAATTATAATAATCGTTTTTTGTGCAGGCTTCGGCGCATCAGAAGAACCTGGACGTAGGCGCCAACATCTTCATCGGCAACCTTGATCCCGAGGTGGACGAGAAGTTGCTGTACGACACGTTCTCTGCCTTCGGGGTGATTCTGCAGACGCCGAAGATCATGCGCGACCCTGAGAGTGGAAACTCGAAGGGCTTCGCCTTCATCAACTTTGCCAGTTTTGAGGCGTCAGACGCGTCCATCGAGGCGATGAACGGACAGTACCTGTGCAACCGGCCCATCTCGGTGTCGTACGCCTTCAAGAAGGACTCCAAGGGCGAGCGACACGGCTCGGCGGCCGAGCGCCTCCTGGCCGCCCAGAACCCTCTCTCGCAGGCCGACCGACCCCATCAGCTGTTCGCGGACGCGCCGCCTCCTTCGGTGCCGCCCATCCCAATCGTGCCGCCTCCACCCCCGATGACACATGCCGGGATCACCATGGTTCCGCCGCCCCCGCCAGCACCTCCAGCAAACCTGCCGCCTCCACCCCCTGTGCCGCCTCCAAGCGGCATGCCCATGGGCATGGGCCTTGCGCAGCCTCCGCTGCCCCCGATGCCCCCTCCACCTCAGAGCAGGCCTCCGATGCCACCAAACATGCCACCCATGCCCCCGAACATGGCCCCTATGCCTCCAGGTCCGCCCAGGATGATGCCTCCGTGGCAGGCGCAAGGCATGGGCGGCCCGCCGCCGCCTCCTGGGGGCTGGAGACCGCCCCCACCCTTCGCCAGGCCACCTTTCCCGCCTCACGGGCCTCCGCCTCCGCCGCCCCCTCCTACTCGGATGATGCGGCCGCCTCCGCCGCCAGAAGAACAGGGTGGTGGTTGGTAAATCAATCTGCATTTCTTTTTATTTTTTGCGTGTAAATGACGAGATTCTGAATAAATGGTATGATGTAAATTTGCAGTAATAGTTTATGTTTTGTTGAAAAAACTAATCATTCAAAAGTATAAAGTTTTTCTGCTTTTAAATGAAATTCACCAAAAAAGGGGCGGGGCAATTTAGTTGGTCACTTCGGACGAGTGGCAGCGCTCGCGTTGAAATTCGCCCACTCCACTAAAAAGGCAGGATGTTTATTTATCTGTGCGTAGCAAAAATTAGCAATATAAATTAAATTTCCAATTGAATTCTGCGGCTTCCTAAATCTCTGCCGACCACTTCGAGAACTGCCGTCGATTGGCCGCACGGACGGTGGCCGAAAAATGGCCTATTTGTGGCGAGTGCGCTCGCAGTCGTCGCGACCTGAGTGAGCACCCTGCTTGATTTGGAAGGGACGAGATGGCCCGGCTGATGGTGTTGAAGGCCGCGGTGGTGCTCAGGTTCGTGGGCAAGGTGGCCATGGGGTGCTGGGCGTGGTCGGGCTCGATGCTGCTGGGCTGCGTGCTCCTCTACTGGGTGTACGGCGGCCTGCTCGCCTTCCTCCTCCTCTGCATCGCCATCGCTGGTTTGTTTTCATTAATTAATCATATAAAAAAAAAATCGAATTCAAAACTCCATTGTTCCAGGCATCGTGTACCACGCCGAGGACCACCTCTTGTACCACCCTGAGCAGCCGTCCCACTCGCGCGTGTTCGTCCCCGTGCCGTCCATGTTTGGTCTTCCGTACGAGAATTTGTTCATCAGGTCGCTGGACGGCACCCTCTTGCACATGTTCTTCATCAGACAGCCGCCTCCGAAGGCCCCCACTGCCCCCACCCTGCTCTTCCTGCACGGCAACGCCGGCAACATGGGCCACAGGTCTCATTGAAATGGAAAAACCTTAAATTTTTTGATGAAATTTGTGTCCAGGCTGCACAACGCCCTCGGGCTGTACCACCAGCTCGGCTGCAACATTCTGCTGCTCGACTACCGCGGCTACGGAATGTCTCAGGGTTCCCCTTCCGAGGAGGGTCTGTACCTCGACGCACAAGCTGCCCTGCACTACCTCACCTCCAGGAAGGACGTCAACCACAAGGAAATTGTGGTTTTCGGACGATCGCTTGGTTCGAATATTTAAACTTTAAACTTTATTTTGTTTCAACCTGAAATTATTGAATGATTCTGCAGGAGGGTCGGTAGCCGTGGATTTGGTCTGTAGGGTGGACTGCGCGCCTAAGATTTGGTGCGTCATCATCGAGAACTCTTTCACCAGCATCCCTGACATGGCGCACATTTTGCTCGGTTCGAGACTCATCAGATCTCTTCCTTTGATTTGCTACAAGAATAAGGTACAGGTTTTTTTTTTAAATTTTATTAGTATTATTTGTAAAAATGGCTCAATTCTCCATCTGAGACCTTTTGATAAAATGGAATAAGAAAAAAGTTTGATGATCAATCACCTTAATAAGATTTTAATGATTATTTTAGAAATGCAATTTTATTAAACTTTTGCAGTCCCTTTTAGAAAACGAGTATAACTGAACTGAAATAATAATTGGCAAAGGTGGATTAAAATTTTCAAATCTAATCTCCATAAAACATTTTTGAAGGAAGTTTGATTTCATGTTCACCTTCTTAATCTAAATTGAGGCTAAACATTTTGAACTATTAATCTGATACTTCCTCCAAGTGGGGTGAATTCTTACCAAAATTTTCTCCGTTTCAATAAGATCAAGTGCCTCTGTAAATTAATTTAGATTTGATCAAGGTTAGCAGTTCATTGAATATTTTAAAATGTTTCCTTGATTTAGGGAACTTTTTCAAATCAATTGTAGATCAAGTGTTTGTGCTCATTCTTTTGATCAGTTTTTTTTCAACAATGTTTTCTTTAAACATCTTTTCAAATAAAACACAATTCTTAGTTAAAAACTGGGAATTTGGTCACTTTTGAATACAAAAATATTTTATTTCGAAACAATTTCTAAAAGTAATTGAAATTTTCAGTTCCCAAGTTACGAGAAGGCGCCGTGCATGGCGCGTCCGTCGCTGTTCATCTCGGGCTTGGCGGACACGTTGGTGCCGCCACGGATGATGACCGTGTTGAGCCAGCGGTGCGGCAGCATCCACAAGCAGCTGCTGTGCTTCGAGACGGGGTCGCACAACGAGACGTGGACCTGCCACGGCTACTACCACGCCATCAACACCTTCCTGCAGGAGCTGCGCGGCCGCAACCCCTCCGAGGCGGCCCCCGCGCCCCCCACGACCCTGCCCCCGACCAGGGCCGACCCCCCCATGTGATAAAACACCCAGTCAAGTCAACCTTTCCAATTTGAGCGCTAGTTGTAGTGGTCACATCTCTTCTGGTAGTCTTTTAAAAGCAAAATACAAGTTACATACTTACAATACTTAAGTAGAAATAAAAATGCTGAAATTTGTTTTTTCAAGTTGACCACGGATTTTATTAGAAATTGTACGGACAACTTTGCAAAATGGATATTTTTGTAATCCAGAAATTTGTTGTTCGGGAAAGACGAAAATCATTGTGATGACGTTGAAACTTTTAAATCTTGCACTTCGTGATTTGTGGCAAAGTCGCAGTTACCAGCCAAAGATTATTACTCAGCAGTTTGCTTGTCACTGCCTACGTTTAAGGTGAGAATAAACAAACAAAATAAACAAGAAATGATTTTTTTTTATTCCTTGTCAGGTCCATTTATATTTATTAGAAGTCACAACAGTAATTTTTATATCAATCAACAGGGAAGAGATACATTTACATCCTGATCCTAATAAGAATAATGCTAGAAATCAAAATGAGATCGAAAGCATATCACATTGAATAAGAGAAGAGAGACGATCATAAAATGCATAATTCCTTAGATATGGACTAGTTACTTTTATTGGGTATTTTATTGAGTTGGTTTTTTCTATATAATTTTATTTACAGACACGCCTGCCCTCATATATATTTTGGCACCTCAGTTAAATGTATATTTCAAACGACACAATTCCAAAATACATACAGACTCTCGCTCTAGAGGCAGGCATCATTTTGTTATTCGACTACTCTTAACACCTACACATTATCTGCCAGTCTATCGATAAATACAAACAGCCTATGGTATTTGAATATAGACGAGAGATCAAAATAAAAATACTACTTAATTTTATATAATTATTTACATAGATTCCAAATGATTCTTTGCAAGGACTAGACTGGGTTTCTTCTTGAACGTTTTATTTTCTTACAGGACCACAATGGTAAATTTGTTTTCCTCAATATTGAGGAAAACAAATTTACCATTGTGGTCCTGGAATTTGAATCAAATTTGGAGGTGCCAATTTTTGTCTCCGTTTGAGAATGAAAAAAATTTTCTTCGCGGTCCATGAATTTGACAGCGATTTTCGTCATTATTATTATTTACACTTGCACTTTCGCACTTGGCTGGGAAAGAAGGTACTTGCGTTGCACAATGTTCAGAGGCGGCCCGTGCGGAACGGGGGGGTCGGCGACGTGCTCGTCGGCGGCTCCCACGAGCTTTGTCATGCGTAGTGCGGATACGAGCCCAAGTGCGTCGGGTGGTGCGGCATCGAGTGCGTCGACGCCGCCGCGATGTTCGAGTACAGGTTGGCGCCCGGACTGCTCCAGTACGACGACGGCGACGGGAATATGCTCGCTGCAACAAACACAATTTCAAATTTTATTATAGTGCAAATTTTCATATAAATCTCGTTAAGAATAAAGAATGTTGGTGTTTCTTGAATCTATCAATTCCATAACCGCAAATAATTAGTGAATTATTAAGTTTGAACTGCGATCGAAAAGGATTATTATAGTTAAGACGTTTGAAACTCTGTATTTCTTCTTAGATAAATTTATGTATATACATTTTTTATTGTTAAAGGAATCAAATATGAAATTAGCTAAATTCAATAAAATTCTGTCCAAATTTGATTCGGTTTTATTCATGACTTCAATTTTGATCTAAAAATTTTAAGAATTTCTATCACATTTTTTCTTTGAAATTTAAAAATTCGTCTAATCTCAAGCTCTGGTCAAGCTCAAGAGAAAAGAAAATTGTCTTTTTTGAAAGTTTACGTATTTAGTCAAGTATACTGCTATAGGCAACCCGCTCGACACGAAAGTGGAGCGGGCAGTATGTGTCGCGAGATGGCAGGGGTGGCTGCGGAAAAGCCGCCGGATCAAAGACTCTTGAACGCCCCTTACTTCGTTCCGCGTGCTTTTAAGTTGTCGTCTCACGTTTTGCCCTTATTTCAAAGTTGCTCTGCCTGCACCCCTGCCTAAGCGCTCGCCATTATATTTGGAAGCAATAATAATGTATATATATTTGAACATGCAAACCTGCGAGAGAGAGCAGCGAGCGAGCGATTTGTGCATTAGCGACGACGACGAGCGTCATTACGGCGCCCATTGTGTCGCAAAGTTCATCGCTCGCGCGTTATTATCAAAGTTCTTTGTCTGAAACTTTCGCCTCTCCACAAAATAACACGCGCCGCCGGCAAATGTTGTTAAAACTTTTAAAGCAAAACGAGTTTCGCGGAAACACGGAGATTTGTTTTTTAATTTGTTTCGATTTTTTCTCATAAAAGAAGTTAGAAAAATGCTGCCCATAATCTACAGTGTGGATTTCAAATTATTGGTTATCTTTTTAATTAATAAACGCAAAACAGGAGAATCTTTGGTTTGATAAATTCATTAATTTTAGAGAAGTAAATTAAAAAATGCAAAAAAACATTTTTTTTTTAATCACCATTCGATTTTAAACTAAATTGGAAAAAAATTTATTGAAATTTAAAAAAAACCTTGTTGCTCTTATTAATTAATATTTGTAATGCAGGAAAGTTTTTTTTTATATTTCCAAAATATTTCTTGAATATTCTTGTGACTCTTGGGATGTTCATGGGACTATATTTAAAGGCCAATTTTATCTAAAATGTTCTTTATTGGAGTCGAAAGAGAGTTTTATTCACCAAATTAGGAAAGAACAAAAAAGTTTCGTGTTTGCTTCGAATAAAAAAGAGGAAATTGATCAGGGGAGAAAGTGGAATTTTTATGATAATTTTTTTTCTTCCGTGGCAAGCGCAAACGACGTGGCATAATAATGCAATTGTGATGGAAATCTGGCATGTTTCGGTCGAATTAATTTGTGTGGAGAATTGAAATTTGGTTTCACCTGAGGAGGACGGGATGGCTGCGTGCGGACTCATGAAGTTGAGTTTGGTCGAGTGGTGGTGGTAGCTGGACATGAACAGGTCGCTCTGGTACTTGTAGGCGGCCGGGTCGGCGGCCGCCGGCTGCGTGGCCGCCGCCAGCCCCTGGAAATCGAACTTGTACGCGTACCGCTTGCCGTGCACTTTGGTCATTATGTTCTTATCGTAGTAGTATCTGAAACAAAAGACCCACGCACACATCAGTATGCAACTTGGAATCAACCCCCGCAGCGACGAGAGGCGTTTCTTCTTCGAAATCGTCTTTGCTTCGGGTGTTGCGCTCCGTTTTCAATTCGACAAAATCGTAAAAAACATGGAATTTCAACACGAACGCAACAATTACAAATTTTCAAAAATATAAAAAATACCAAATTTTTATCTTTTTGATGTCAATTTAATTGGAGTTTTGCAAAAGATATCAAAGTTTTAAACTTTTTGAACACATTGACAAATTTAATACTGTTAAATTTTGAATCGAACTGTAAATTGCTTTACAAAAATTCTCAGATTAATTACTATGAATGCTATCAAATTTGAAATTAAATTGTTTTTTACTTAATTAAGTTATAAAAATGTTAATTTGAACATAATATTATTGAAAAGTAACAAAATAGGTGTAAAAATATAAAATTATTTGATCAAAAAGAGTATCTAAGAAGTAATTTTTAGCTTCAAGATAATTATCCTTTTGAATTTGGTTGGTCATCTATTTTCTTTTAATTTTGAATTTCCAAAGTACGTGTATTGTTTGGTAGAATCACGTGATTTTATGTCAAATTTAAATGATTTAGTTGCAAATTGTGTTTATTGATATATCACAAAGGCAATTGCTGCCCATAACGGGATACAACATTTATACATTCAAAATTATACAAATTCAATACAATACAACTGAAGGAATTAACTTTTCCCCATCCATGAATTATAAAAGATGTTAGAACAAATCGAGCTATAAAGAGTTATTTAAAGCTTTAAAGAAAGAATAAAAAATATTAATCGTAATTGGAAAAATTGTCCGTTTTGAAAAAAAAAACAGACCGGCAACAGATTCGGCGTATGCGTCTTACTCTGGTTGCGTTTGATTTGAATCTGGGGGCGCCTTTTAAAGAGTGTTTTCGAATCGATCGAGCTGAAGCGCGAGAGGCCGGAATAATAATTAAACAATGCACGGCAGCGTGTGATGATCGCAAGCGAGTGAATGACGGAGCACGCGAAAGGTGCCATAGCTATGGGGGTGTTTAAGGGTAGCACCCATGCCATGCAACGACCGGCAGACCGACCGGCCCCGCCAGCACTTTTCCTCTTTCCTTCCTTCCGTTTTCCTTCCTTTGCAGCTCCTCTAATGGCGCCGCCACGTCAAACCCGCGCCTTTTCATTCTTTACAACTTTTTTCTTTTCGCTCGCAATATATAAACTCAGTTTTAATTGCTCAACGTGAATTGGTCTTAAATAAAAACCGCAAGATTGCTTGGAAATAAATATTAATATCTGGACTGTTTTGTTTTATTTTTTTAATTTTATTAAAAAATTCACTAAAAAATGAGAAACATTTGTGGAAAATATGTTAAATTTCCTAGGATGAACACGTTTTAAAACAGAATTGAACTATTTAGGACTAGTTTACTGTTTTTTTTTTTTTTTTTTTTTTTTTTTTTTTTATTTTTTTTTATTGAAAAATTGTATAATTTGTATGGTATTAAAGACTTGATTTGAAATAGGAAAGATTTTCTTGGCCCCTAGAGTTGTCGTTAATAGCTTTTGCAAGCTCAGTAATCGGGAAAGTGAGTTTTTTTGTGTGGACATTAAAGTAGTTAGTGTGCAAAAAAAAAGAGGAAATATCGACGGGGAGAGAAACGAGCAAACGATTGATTGTCGCGGCAGACGGACTGCGAGACGCGCATGCAGGGAGGAGCAATCGAGTTTCGAGTCTCGTTAAGGGCGCGCAACATCACAGAGCGCGCGCGGTCAATTGGATTACCCCGCCCGCTTTTGATGACGGGGGTTGATTTTCATTAATAGACAATCCCGACCGGCGCGTAATGAATCGAAAGGAAGATCGAGCGCCTAAAATAACTCAGCGTGGGGTCCATTCCTTTCTCCGCGCTCAATCAACCGACAGTCATTTGCCATTTCGACATAAAAAAAGAGAACAAAAACTCCACGTTCAATTAAATTCGCTCGAGAATCAGCAACGCGGAAAGAAAGAAAAATGAGAAGATTCATATTAAAAGTAAAGTAATTTAGATCAATTAAAGTTTCTATCAATTCACAATCCAGAAATGTTGAATGTTAAAAGAACAAATTAAATTTTTATCTCATTTTAAAGCAATATTTATCACATTAATTTTAAGTAAGGTTTATAATTAAGCGAAAGTTATTCTCACTTTGATTAAAATGGACATTTTTACCAAATCTGATTGTTTTCATTGAATTAAAAATTTGTTACAAAAGGTTTCCCTCGATAATTTCCATGCATGTGAGTTGCTTTTTCAATTTGAGAAAAGAGAAACTTTTAGAGTTTTGGAATTAAAGCAGTGAATTTTTGATTGATGCGAAGGAGTGGTCGGTGGAAAAGGTTGATATTTTAAAGAGGTGCCGCGCATAAGTCGGACCGGAGACACACTCTTCCGGCTTGATTTCCTAATACATTCTGCGTCCGGAACCGGAGAATGACCCGCCAGGTCCGCCGCCGCCCGGCCGCGCTCCAATATCGATTGCCGCCGTCTTTTGTGGCTGGCACGCCACCGCACCAACCCTCGGCTCCGCCAAAAGCCAGAAGTGAGAAACAAAGTGCTCAGCAAAACCGTTGCACAAAATTTCGCAACCCTAGTTTGTTTTCAATTTCAAAAGATTTGAAAACGGCTGTAGTTTTATTAAATTTTTTACATTTAAGTTGAATCTCTGCATTTTATTTATCAATTTTTAAATTCTTTTTACTATTCAAATAACGCAAAAAACCCAAAAACGATTTACATTTTATTTTTCATTTTTAATATCAACTTTTTCTGTCAAAGATAATTGAGAATTGTTCCGAGTTAATTTTTTTTTTAAAAAGTTCGCAGACCAAGCCAATACGTTAAAAGATATAATTAGAATCTTTGAAACCGTGAAAGTAAATTTAATTTTACACTCATAAATTAAGGAAAAATGTGATTTTTTTGTCTGTTAAAACGATGGAATTATGTATTGAATGAATGAAAAATACTGACCTGAGAGCTCTGCTGAGTTTGTCGTAGTTCATGTTGGGCTTGGACTTGCGCTCGCCCCACCTGCGGGCGACCTCGTCAGGGTCGGTGAGTTTGAACTCGCCGTTGGTGCCCTCCCAGGTGATGCAGGCCGCGTTCGACGAGTCCGAGAGCAGCTCGAGCAGGAACTGCCACAGCTGGATTTGGCCCGAACCTACGTTCAAATTCCCACAAATTTTCTACCTTGAACTTGTCACTTACGATCTTACCAGAGCTGGCGAGGCGGCTGCTCGTCGGCCCGAACATTTGGTACGGATCTGCCAACAAACACACACAAAACAGGGTCAGTACATCATATATTTGTTTATTAGCAGGGGGACGTCAATTGCCGACTAATGACCCTCGCATTACGCACGAGGGGTTCTTTTCTTTCTTATCTCTCCGAATCTCTTTCGTATATTTTCGGTTTGGAAAAATTTTAGATTTTTTTACTTCGGCAGAGCAAGGCCCGAATAAAAAGTTGATTCGCAATTGGAACGGTCAACACGGGCAATAATGAAGAACGATGGACGCGAGAGTGAAACGCGACCCACCCCAGGTCACTGTTTGCAGGGGCGGATGACCCGTGAGCGTTGATGAGCAAATATTGCCGCGCGCGCAAACACATGAGCAAGAAAACACACACGCCCGCCGGCGGTGTTGGATTTCTTTGCCACACACACCGAATTATTGCCCCCGATGACCAGAATCGACAGTTTCCTCTCTGCCAAAAGTCGAATCACATTCGAAAGGGACAAAAGTCAATTTATAACCAATTTCCCGCAGTTTATTTTTTCTCGATTAATTTCTCAGTTTCCTATTGATGACTTATTCCTGTTCAAAGAGGAAACTATGGACTGCAGCAAAGAAAAGATCTGATTCCAATAAATAATAAAATTTTGAAAATTAATTACTTAATGCTTTTTTTAAACTTCGAATGGCATCGGACGAATTAAGTTGGTAAAAGTGTGGCCAAGAATAATCGATTAGTGACCAAAAAGGTCATGGTCACCTAGAGAATCGTTGAGTAAATGATGATTAAAAAAATTAAGCGATCTCATTGGTTCGAAAGGTTCCCCCACCACTAAATTCAAATTGGCTGTAAAATATAAAGTGTGACACATCGTTGGAAAGTTCAGGTCACCAGGAATTGAGTGGTGAAAAAATCCTTGGGCCACTATTCCTATATTTGGTAAAGGTCGAATAGAACAAATTAAAACTTTCCTACTGTCTTATTTTGAAATTTTTTTCAAACTTTCATTTCTTTTCAGGTTGCCCATTTCTGTGATCTCTGTAAATGTACATTCATTTTCATCAAATTAAAGGCAATAAAAGGGTTTTTAGAGGACAAATCTACTAAAATACATTAAAATAAAGTTTTCAACCCTTTGGAAACTGATTTATTTGAGTTGGAGCTTAATGAAATTGACCGGCAAGTTTTGGATTAGTGGACGAGTGGTGGTTTGTTTCCATCTCACCTGGCTGTCTGAGGTGAGTGTGGGGGTCCAGGGAGGACTTGGTCATGCTGCCGAGGGAGTTGCTGCCGTAGCCCGCAGCTGCAACACAGACCGACCAACTTTGTTAATTTGCGCGCACACACGTCGCAGAAGCAAGAAGGGAGGTTGACAAGTGTGTTTGCCGAGCGTAGTGGTGCGAAAGAAGAACAGGGGATTCCTTTCCTGCGGGGGTGGCGCCCACCCGCCACTTGTCACCCCGCTTCAGCCAATTTCAATAGGCAAATCGGCTCGCTGAGCACAAAACACACACACAAAAGAAGAGAGACTTCCAAAACTTGTGTCCCCAAGCGAAACCAGAGACGGCGATTTATCTATTTATCTCGTGTACGAATATGCAAGTGACGAAAGTCTCGGCTTTTTAATTCCTCATAATTTTGACATTTAAACAAAAATACAGATTAATTTAATGTAATTTTATTTCAAATATGTGCCAAGATTGCCGTAATCAAGCAATTGATTTTTTTTTTAAATTATAAAATGCAAAAATAAATCTAATGAATTTTTTATTCAAAATAAATGCCAAACAAAGTGGATTCCATACATTACAAAATGTATATTGATTGATGTGAACTCCAAATTTTAATGCATTTTAACGTTGATCATTGAAATGATTGTAAATTTTGGTAAAATTGAGCAAAATATGCATCGGCCGGGAATCGAACCCGGGCCGCCCGCGTGGCAGGCGAGCATTCTACCACTGAACCACCGATGCTTGTGTAATCAATTAGCGGACAATTTGTAGTGGATTGAGAAGTGGAGTGATAACAAAAGTGAGCACCGGTGACGTCACAAAGCAGTGCAGTCAGTAATCATATTGTCAGCTTTACTGCCTCGATTTGAATTCTCTTCGGACTTGAGACCGTAAAATTAAAAGCTTTTTTATCACAAGCTGCTTTTAAGTAAAATCCCATTAAAATTTGATGAATTTTGTTATATATTTTTGTGTGAGTTGGAAATGATTACAGAGAAGGTGTCGGCGGAAAACGAACAAAGCGAGCGCCAAAGTAGAAAACGCAGTTAATTAAAAAATAATCCGACGATAAAAAGGCACGCTCGAGTGAATAATGTAAATGATCCCCTTTTCAAACAAAGGGAGTCTTGTTATTAAATATGTGTGTTTGCGCGACATTTGCATGCGGCCGAGAGGGGAGGTGTGTTTGTGTGAAACGCGCGTTCATAATCTGGCCACTCGCGCACATCAACGACTTCATTCAATTAATATATATAAATTCTCGGCTTTTGCCAATTGTTTTCTCATTCCCAAACCGCATCTAATTAAGACTTCATCACTTGTTTTTAAAGCAGAAATTGCTTTTTTATGCAAATAAAGGATTTTTTTTTGAAAATATTTAAAGAGAGTGTCGGTGGCGCCGAGTGATAAGCAAACAATATTCGCGTTCGCTATCGTTCTGCTTTTCAATTCGACGACGAATGAATGAATGGGTGCATTTGGCACGCGCACCGACTGGAAGAGTGATAAAGTGCCTGTCAATCACATCTCGCGCTCCCAACTTGAAAATAGACACACAGATTCAAAACTGACTAAATAAAGAGCGTTCTCGGCGCCGAATATTACTTTCGCTTAATTTCGAGTTTCGCACGGGATAGAATTTGCTGACGCGGAGAGCGGCGAAGCGTGTCTCGGTGCTTAACAAAGCACATTCCTTCCTGCCACAAAAGAACGGAACGAATCCCCCTGTGAGCAAAACGCTCTAAAATCACACCCACACTTCAAAAGTGCTAAAATCTTTATTCAAAATCAGAATTATCACAAATTTGGTTGGGAAAATAAATTAATTTAAATAATAACTGATGAAATAGTAAAATTTTATTATTTCTGATTTTGTTTCTATAAATCGTGAAATAATTAGTTGTGATTTACAAGCATCGGTGGTTCAGTGGTAGAATGCTCGCCTGCCACGCGGGCGGCCCGGGTTCGATTCCCGGCCGATGCATCTTTTGCCCTTTTGGTCAAAAATACAAGTCTTGGTATCAAATTTAGAACTTTCAATTCACAAAATTTTTACATATATTAGCGAGGAGCTGAAATGGATTGCAATAATTTACTTTGCATATGATTTTCTTTGCACTTTTCTGATTAAATTTTTTTTAAATATCGTTGATTTCTGAATTAATTGACAACACGAATTAATCTATAATTATAGTGAAGATGACGATGCTCTGGCGCTAAGAGCGGCTGAACTTCTCATTTATTAGAATCGCCAATGCACTCTTCCGTAACTAACATAATCTTAATTGAATTTATTTTACAACATTGAAGCTTTATTCGGCAATAATTCCTGAAAGGTACAATGCGTTGGCAAGGGTGATGCGATCCTTACCATTTTCTAGGAGCTTAAAGACCATACCAAGAGGTTTTCAAAAATATATAGTTTTACCCCAATATCTCCAAATTTACGGGTTTTACGGGACGTTCAAAATTGGATTTTGGAAATTTTCAAACGGCTGTATCTCGGCTTCCCGTGGTCGTAGAACAAAAATCCGGGTATGGCTGGATTTCTCTCAGCAAGCTCTACAACTTTGCTGTGGGGTACAAAATTGAGGGTCACAGGTCAAGGTCACTTTTGGTGACCTCGTGACCTTTGACCTCAAATTTGACAATTTGCCGCCACTTTTTTTACAAATCTGAGATAGCCATTTTGTAGAGCGTAAAATTTTACATAAAATACGTTCTTAAAAAAAGTGGTATGTATCACCCGTTTTTTATTTGAAAAATAAGAAACGCAAAAAACGTGGTTTTCCGAGCTCCGGAAGATGAAAAATAACTTTGAGCCTCTGTAACTTTTTTCCTGTTATATTTAGGACAACATAAGTAATGACAAAAAGTGATCCACTCGACTTGTTCTTTCAGACCACGTGTCGCACATAGTGACCTGGTAACAAAAGGTCATTGACCCTGGTGACCTTTGACCTTACCACAATATATTTTGCAAGGGTGATACATCGTTGGAAAGAACACATTAAGAGGAACATTTTGATACACGGATTTTTGCCGTAGCTTTATTAGAAGCGAAATTATCGCAGATCTAACAATAATTTTTCTCAATTTTTATATTTACACTTAGGAAATATTGCAATAACTCTGCTTCTAATAAAGCTACGGCAAAAATCCGGGGATCAAAATGTTCCTCTTAATGTGTTCTTTCCAACGATGTATCACACTTGCAAAATATATTGTGGTAAGGTCAAAGGTCACCAGGGTCAATGACCTTTTGTTACCAGGTCACTATGTGCGACACGTGGTCTGAAAGAACAAGTCGAGTGGATCACTTTTTGTCATTACTTATGTTGTCCTAAATATAACAGGAAAAAAGTTACAGAGGCTCAAAGTTATTTTTCATCTTCCGGAGCTCGGAAAACCACGTTTTTTGCGTTTCTTATTTTTCAAATAAAAAACGGGTGATACATACCACTTTTTTTAAGAACGTATTTTATGTAAAATTTTACGCTCTACAAAATGGCTATCTCAGATTTGTAAAAAAAGTGGCGGCAAATTGTCAAATTTGAGGTCAAAGGTCACGAGGTCACCAAAAGTGACCTTGACCTGTGACCCTCAATTTTGTACCCCACAGCAAAGTTGTAGAGCTTGCTGAGAGAAATCCAGCCATACCCGGATTTTTGTTCTACGACCACGGGAAGCCGAGATACAGCCGTTTGAAAATTTCCAAAATCCAATTTTGAACGTCCCGTAAAACCCGTAAATTTGGAGATATTGGGGTAAAACTATATATTTTTGAAAACCTCTTGGTATGGTCTTGAAGCTCCTAGAAAATGGTAAGGATCGCATCACCCTTGCCAACGCATTGTACCTTTCAGGAATTATCGCCGTATTATGTTTTGAGTAAATGTTTGATTTATTTGTGATTTTAAGCTATTAAATTGAATAATTTTAAGAAATATTATTGGTCTCAGTCTCAGAGCTGATCTTATCTACACTGGGGAACATGTTTATTGAACTTTTTTAAGCATGACGAATGTAAATTTTGAAGCCATTATACTAATTTTATTTTTATTAACCCTGATTGGGGTAGTATGAACTTAGTTTGATGACATTTTTATCACTTTTGGCCGATGTAATTACGAGGGAATAATTATTTTTAGAAAATTCCAATTAGAAAAAAAGTTGATTGGAAAATAAAAATAAATTTTTCCTCTCATGTCTTCTTGAAAATTGTAGCTAAAAGCCATGCTAATTTAGAGAAATATAATCATCAAAATTATAAGAGCTATTTTTCAGCAGAATCTTCAGGTATATAGCTTCAAAATTAAACTAATTTTTTAATATTTGAAACATAAATTTATCACGAAGGGAAAATTTTAATCCATCAAATTCTTTCCATTATTTTTTCAAACTCAAAAAGCCATTTGTTGGTGTCAAGAAGATGAAAGTTTTGTTGTTTGGACCGTAAATCAGGGAATTAAAAAACAATCGGCTTTTGTGTGCAGTTTCGGTGCAATTAATTAATTAGGGGGGGCGAAGAGGAGCTGCTGGGGAATTCGCTGCCGCCGCCGCCGCCCCTAATTGTGCGCCGCAGGGGTGCAGCGAGAGGGGGTTGCGATGATTGCGCGCTTTGTCGTGATTCACCCCCGGCGGCAGTCCATTAGATCGGCCGCGCCAGATTAGCCTGTGATCATCGCGCGGCCATCAAGTGCCGGCGACAAAAGACGGCTAATATACACGGCTGCAAGTCAATTACTGCATTCATGCACAAATCCAAATCTCTCAACACGTGCGAGCGACGCAAGGGAAAAAAAATAAGTTCTGTTTCGCGCTCGGATGCGCTGATTTGCTTTGTCGCTAAACACCACGCTCCGACACACGCGCGCGCGCCATGAATTATGCATCATTTTTCTTCATCTGCTAATTTTCATCTTTCGTGTTAAAGACCAAAAAGTTATTCAGTGACAAAAAAAGCTAGATTTTACTTCAGAAAAATCGATCAAGCGATTCATAACAAAATAAATTTAGTTGAATAAGTACCTAAAATGTTGATGATGAGCAGGAAAACTGTGAGCGAGAAATAAATATTTAAAACAACATAATAATAAATGAATAAATTATAAGTAATTTGAATTATTTTTTCTTTCTTTCCTTTGTACTGTATTGTTGTGGTATTTTGTTCGGAATGCAAATTGTCGAAACAAGTGCGGAAACGCTGCAGTATAATTATGTGTATAAGGAAAAAGAAGTTGGAGAAATTCCGCGTAAATCATGGTTAATTTCAATCCAAAAAGAAATCGCTGACAAGTTAAAGAAACCGTAACAGCAATATTGTTAAATATTTCAGACTGAAATGTGGCACATTTCATGAGAGAACCAGGAATAGAAATTTCCTAATTTTAATTTTATTTATTTATATATAATTTCTTAAGTTTTACTGCTTTTGGTTGTTGATAATGTTGCTGATATTATTAGAAAATCATCGGACAAAAAGGAATTAATAGAAATGGCAATGCTTGGTGTAAGATCCAAGAATTTTCCATCTTTTAAAATTTCTAATTACTTTGAATAGAACGAAATTTAGTTTAACTTTTTGTGACAAATATGCTGTTTGCAACACACAGCACAACAATAAAAATCTATTAATAATTTGATGTCTATCAAAAGTTCAAAGATGCAACCTCGATCTCGATATTTTTGCATGCCATAGGTCGTGGACAAATTGGGACGCAGATAAATAATAGAGAAAATCCAAAGTTTAAACTGATTAGAAATATTTTTGTTGATTCCAAATAATATTTGCTCTCCAAGCATAAAAAATTATTCTGTGCTAATAAATCTATGCAAGGAAGTTTTTGAATTGATAAAACTGGTTTAATTTTATCATTACTTTTAAATTGTAAGAATCATGAAAATAAGTACGATTTAACTTCGTGTGTTGGAAATGAACTGCAATGTACTGATTCTATTTTGAGATTTTTCATAATTTCTTAAACCACGCATTTTTTTTTCGTCGTAGAATTTCACGATCGAGGGTTGATTCATGGTGATTTGAATTTAAGGAAAAGCCGATTTTAAATTCAAATCACCCTTACCCATTTCCTATTTTCAGGAAGTAAGCAAACATTTAAATAAAAACAGTCTAAAAATTGGATATTATAAGGAATATTTAAATTATTCATCTGTATTTTAAATCTTGGCTATTTCAATAAAAATCACCAACTATAGCCGTAAAAATCACCAATTTTTTTCGCAAGCAAATTAAACAAAACAAATTTTTAAAATATGCCTGTGTTTATTTTTAGCCCGAGAGTGGCTCAAGATTTGTGTTTGTGTTTCTGGAATCTCTTCTGCACCTCTCTAATTTGCAGCGGACAGGAGCTTGTAAGGAAATGAACAAAAATATCTCACTCTGGTCCATCTCAACTTTTTTTTTGCTCCGCTGCGTTTGTTTGCTGCAGAGAGGGCAAGGTCAGCGAGTCTGGTATAAAAAGTGACGGCCGCAAATTAGTTTGGCACTTGTTGTGAGGCGAAGGCAAGAAAGATGGGTCGACTTTTTTTACTGCTGTTCGGCATCTTCGCGTTTCTCCACTTTTCGGGGGCGGCCGCCATGCCCGACATTGACGACTCCGATAACCCAGTAAGCAAAAATTAAACTCATTAAAGATAAAATTTTGCTAAAAACTTAATAAATTTGTTTAGGAATGCAAGGATACGGAAAAGATTGCGGAAATCGCCGTCGGCGTCAAAGAGTTTGTCAGGATTTTTAATTCTCATTTTTTTTTTTTTTAATAAAATTTGTTCGTGCAGAACGACAATGGCAAAAAGGCGTTTGAGGCAGTTCATGGCCAGCTGACTTTGGTGCAAAGTCTTCTCTACCTCGTCGTGGACAAGCAGGAAACGCTGGAGAAGCGAGTTGAGGTAAATTTTAATTCAGAAAATCACGGTTTTAATATTTAATTTCGATTTTTTTTCTACAAAAGTGCTCTCCGGTGGGAGCGAATGTGTCAAACGAGTTGCAGCTGCTGCGTCAGGTGTCGATTTTGACGAGAGAAAAGACCGATCTGGCCGAACGAGCACAGGAATCGAACAAGTGTTGTTCAGAGCAGGTATTTGCAAACAAAGTCAAAATGAACAAAACAAAACTTGAAAATTCCACCACATATTTTAATATGGATTTCATTAATTCCTTACAGGTTCCGCAAAAGGACGTAGAGATCAAGCAGTTGAAAGAGAAGGTTGCGAAAGTCACTCAGGAGAAAACAGAATCGGAAGAACATTACGAAGAGGTAAAGGTGTTTTTTACATAATATCATTAAAAATTAATTAATCCTACATTTCATTAACCTATATTTTAATTTCAAGTGAAATTGAGTTTCCAATATCAAGTTTTAACTGATCAGCGTGAATTTTTTTTATCTTTATTTGCAAAAGTTCGATCAAAATAATTTAGATCTAGTTTAAAAAAAAACTATTATTGCTTTCAAGGAATTGGAAAAGGTAAAGTTGGCGCTGGAAAAGTGGGAAAACGCGACTTCGGACGAATTGAAGAAACTGGCTGAAGAGAAACACCGCGCTGAGGTTCTGTTTGTTTTTCATTTCACTGCCCTTCTTATTAATTGACAAATCTTTTAGATCGAGGCCCTGTGCAAACTGAGCCGTAAGTTTGTTTTAATGAATGCAAAATAATTTAAAAACTTGGATATAAATTGCAGGCACAGCCGAACTGACGAAGCTTTCCAACGGCAAAAAATACGCTTTCTCCTACCCTGAGCACGACTGGGTTTGTTTTCCTTTGAAAAGTTTTGGTAATTTAACTTTTGTTGGACTTTCAGGAACTGACCCCAGCGGACGCCGCGACCAAGTGCGCCGAGAAGGGTCTGCATTTGGCCACCTTCAGGGACGAGGCCGACCTGAACGCGGTGGTGACGGCGGCCGCCGACAGAACCACTTATGGTACATAATTTGAAGCCAATGAATAATTAATTAATTAATTTTAATTAATTGTTTGGTTGTTTTCAGCGTGGCGTTGGTGGGTGTCGGCGAAGAATCACGGCTCGGGCGAGAATTACGACGTGCGTTGGCACGACGGCAGCGTGTTGGAGCGCAAAAGCCCCCTGTGGAGGTTCGAGGGGGGCACCAAGGAGGGCTGCGTCTACTTCCACTCCGGCAACGACAGGAGACTCAACTGGTCCGAGTGCAGGGACCACAATTACTACGTCTGCGAACTGCCCACCGAATGCTACTGAATATTTCAAAGCAACCTCGATTTTTCCGTGCAATAAAAACTGCTTCGGATCGATTACATGAAAAATTTCTTTCTTTTCATTACATAAGCCAAATTACGCTTTAAAAAGGGATCTTCAGCTGAAATTACCAGTCAGGATTTGCTTGGCGCGTTTTTTCTCTGCTAGGAAATAATGTTAAATTGTGTCACTTTGAACCGCTCTAGTTATTATCATTCTTAAAAGCCATTGTTGAATCAAACGTACAAATCATCCAAATTTGTGAGGACTGACAATGAGAGTTAAAGATTAAAATTTTTTTACAAAAAAATCGTGATTAACGCAAACGAGTGTAGTATCACGTAGACCATTATTACAAATGACGCGTTGTGTTTTTAATTTGTGGCAAAATTGGGTTGGTAACAAATTTATTTTCACGGGGTCAAGAGATCATTGTGGAATCAAATTATTTACGACCACCAGTTCATGGGTCGTGTTCTAATTTTGACAATCTCTATAAAAAAAATGTCAATCATAGGAGACTAAATATTATTTTTTTGTTTATATTCTGCAAACCTTTTATGTTATCATATTAACAGTGATTAACAGTAAAAGTACTTTTTAAAATATTTTGAGACACCATTTAAATACATTAATTATGAGTACATATTAACGCTACGTAATAAAAATGCTTAGAGAAAAATTGCTGATTAGCAAAAAACAAGCAAAGAGGTGAAAATTTACATTGATTATTTAAATTTAATAACTGACAATAAAAAGGGAAAATTCCCAAAAGAGGAGAAAATAAGTTTTTATTTACTGCTCCAAGAGGTGATTTTAATAATTCAAGACTCAATTTCAACTAACAATAAAAAGGAGTTCATTTTAGTTAATTGCAAACGTTCTTGCATAATATTGGAGAGGGAAAGGTCAGATCATGATATAAAAGACGATGCGCTTTTTCGGACCAAGTCAGTGTTCGTCAGAAAAGATGGGCCGCTTTTTGTTGCTGCTCGGCCTCGCCGCCGTTCTCCAAGCCACCCGCGGTGAAAACGCAACAACCCAGGCTCGGATATTTTGAATTTTTTTTAATACGATCTTGAAATATTGAAATATGGTTTCAGGCTACACCGGAGAGTTGCAAACGCAGCAGTAGGTTGGGAAAATTTATGCTTGAAATAAAAATTTGAAAAAATTGTCAAAAGGTTCGACACCGCTGGTGGAGCTCAACGGCAAGAAGTACTACTTCCAGTTGCTCGAAACTGATCCCTTTTTGGTTTGTTGAATGTTAAATTGTTCAATTTACTGGTTTATGTTGAATATATTGATTTAGATGGAATTTGATCAAATTAAACCAAATTTTCTGTGAATAATTGTATAAATGACGTATACACATAAAAAAATCATGGCTCAAATTTGGATAAATTTTAATTCAAGTTGTTGCCCGTGAAATAATTTTATATCAATATTTGGCGTTCATTGACTTATTGAAACAAAAAATGATTGGATATTTTAAATGTGACAGGAAAATTGGCAAATACAAAAGGAGAAGTGCGAGAGGAAGGGTCTGGAGCTGGTGACCATCAAGGATGAAGCCGAGTTGAAGGTCATCACTGAGCACGCCCTCACCCTCGAAGGTGAGATGAATTTTCTAATAATTTATTGTAATTTTTTCCATCCTAAACTTTGATTCGGCCAGACTACGTGTGGTGGGTGTCGGCGAAAAACTACGGCGATGAAAACAACTACGACTTCCGCTGGCTCGATGGAACCAAGCTTGAGAAAAACAGTCCGCTCTGGGCTTCCAATGCTGAAAAAAATCACTGCGTCTACTTGTGGAACCAGAAACTGTGGGCCTCGTCTTGCAATAGCAACCAACGCTACATTTGTCAACTGCCCAAGCAATGTTACTGACTAACTTGATCCAAAAATCAACTCTTTTGAAATTAAATATGAATTTTTCTGATTATATTCAATAAAGCGTAAATATGCGAATAAAATTGGTACATTTTTCTGAATTCATCCTAGTTTTCTTTCAGTATAACTTATAATTATGAAAATTTCTAACAAAAAGGCTTGAAGCAAAGATTAACGATACTTTTTCGTCATTTATTAGCAAATCAAGGAGTCAATTTTGGAGTTTCTGAAATTTAATTTATAGATTCTGTATTTTACATCTGTTTGGCTATTTTCAATAAAAATCGCCGACTGAAGCTTAAAAAAAGCACCGATTTCTTTCGCAAGCACATTGAACAAAATACATTTTTAAATTATGCCTAATTTGCAGCGAAGAGGAGCTTGTCATTACCAAGCCCGGTGGCTCAGTGATTCCTTGGCCGTGATGGGATCAATGCTCAGCCTTAGGCGATTTGTGGAAGCAAATAGCCCCTGGTATGCGAATCATTGATAACATTTCGGCTGACACGACTCGCACTCGGAGGTTTGCCACGTTTCCTCCGAGCCACAAGCTGGAAAAACTCGGCTTGTGTGGCGAAGCCTGCGTTTCATTCCAAGTCCTTCGTGGCAAGGCCGGGGCAAGGGGTCACAAGGGGGGTGGGGGGCCATGCGAGCACCACCAAATCTGCTAAAAAGCCCCCGACCAGGGGTCAGGTTGGTTGGGAAGCACAATTGTGCCAAGGGTGCTCGACTTCGGCAAGAGACCGACCCAATAGCCTAATAAGCTCACGGGTGCCATAAGTAAAAAAGCTGGTCATGAAATGAACAAAAAATCTCACTCTGGTGCTTAATCTCTAGCAATTTTTTGCTCTTCGAAGCGTTTGTTTGCTAAAAATCACGCAGAGAGGGCAAGGTCAGCAAGTCTGGTATAAAAAGTGCCGGCCGCAAACTAGTTTTGCACTTGTTGTGAATCGAAGGCAAGAAAGATGGGCCGCCGTTTTGTGCTGCTGTTCGGCATCTTCGCGTTTCTCCACTTTTCGGCGGCGGCCGCCGTGCCCGACTCCGACACGGACCACGCTGAGAACCCGGTAAATTATTAAATTAAATTTAAATGTTGATACGAATTAATTAAATTCGTTTTGTTTAGCAATGCAAGTATACGGAAAAGATTGCGGAAATCGGCGTCGGCGTCAAAGAGTTTGTCAGGATTTTTAATTCTCATTTTTTTTTTTTTTTTTTTAATAAAATTTGTTTGTGCAGAACGACAATGGCAAAAAGGCGTTTGAGGCAGTTCATGGCCAGCTGACTTTGGTGCAAAGTCTCCTCTACCTCGTCGTGGACAAGCAGGAAAAGCTGGAGAAGCGAGCTGAGGTAAATTTTAATTCAGAAAATCACGGTTTTAATATTTAATTTCGATTTTTTCGTCAAAAAGTGCTCTCCGGTGGGAGCGAATGTGTCAAACGAGTTGCAGCTGCTGCGTCAGGTGTCGATTTTGACGAGGGAAAAAACCGATCTGGCCGAACGAGCACAGGAATCGAACAAGTGTTGTTCAGAGCAGGTATTTGCAAACAAAATCAAAATGAACAAAAAACATTTAAAATTCTAACACATTTTTCATTTGCATTTTATTAATTCCATCTAGGTTCCGCAAAAGGACGAAGAGATCAAACAGTTGAAAGAGAAGGTTGAGAAAATCGCTCAGGACAAAACAGAATCTGCGCAAAAGGACGAAGAGATCAAGGAGTTGAAAGAAAAGGTGGCGAAAATCACTCGGGAGAAAACCGAATCGGCGCAAAAGGACGTAGAGATCAAGCAGTTGAAAGAGAAGGTTGCGAGAGTCTCTCAGGAGAAAACTGAATCGGAAGAACAACACGGAAAGGTAAAGTTTATTTTGCATAATTTAAACAAACGTTCTGATAAGCTAATTAAATGGAGTTTCCCAAATCAAGTTTTTTTGCACAAATATGATCTAAACAAAATAATTAATGCTTTCAAGGAATTGGAAAAGGTGAAGTTGGCGCTGGAAAAGTGGGAAAACGCGACTTCGGACGAATTGAAAAATCTGGCTGAAGAGAAACACCGCGCTGAGGTTCTGTTTGTTTTTCATTTCACTGCCCTTCTTATTAATTGACAAATCTTTCAGATCGAGGCCAAGTGCAAACGGAGCCGTAAGTTAAGAAAATTTACACTTGAAATAAAAATTAAAAAATTTGTCTAGGATCGACACCGCTAGTCGAGCTCAACGGCAAGAAGTACTACTTCCAGTTGCTCAAAACTGACCCCTTTTTGGTTTGTTCACTTTAATAGTTTAGATTGACCAATGACTGCCCCAGATTTAGATGAAATTTGATCAAATTAAACCAAATTTTCTGTCAATTGTGTATAAATGACGTCTGCATAAAAGAAATGCCATCAACAATCATGACTGAAATCGTGTTGAAATTAAATTATTAACAAAAATTTATTGGCTTTTTAAATTTGACAGGGAGGTTGGCAAGACAAAAAGGAGAAGTGCGAGAGGAAGGGTCTGGAGCTGGTCACCATCAAGGATGAAGCCGAGTTGAAGGTCGTCGCTGAGCACGCCCTCACCCTCGAAGGTGACATAAATTTTCTAATATTGTAAATTATTACGTATCCTAAACTTTGATTCGGCCAGACTACTTTTGGTGGGTTTCGGCGAAAAACTACGGCGACGAAAACAACTACGACTTCCGCTGGCTCGACGGAACCAAGCTTGAGAAAAACAGTCGGCTCTGGGCTTCGAACGCTGAAAAAAATCACTGCGTCTACTTGTCGAACCAGAATCTGTTTTCCGATACTTGTGATACCAACCAACGCTACATTTGTCAACTGCCCAAGGAATGTTACTGACTAACTTGATCCAATACTCAACTCTTTTGAAATTAAATATGAATTTTTCTGATTATACTCACTAAAGCGTAAATGCGAATAAAGTTGTTACATTTTTCTGAATTCATCCTAGTTTTCTTTCAATATACCTAAGTATGAAAATTTCTAACAGAAAGGCTTGACGCAAAGATTAAATTAACTCATGTTGAATCAGCGGAAACTTGAAGAGCAACAGCTAATAGAATAATATTACGATAATTTTTCGTCAACCGTTATAGCTACAACAATGTTCTACGTACCAAAACGTTCCTCTTAATATGCTCTTTCAAACCGTGTGCCACACTAGTAAAATATATTGAGGTAAGGTCAAAGGTCACCAGGGTCAATGACCTTTTGTGACCTGGTCACTATATGCGATACATAACCTAAAAGAAAAAGTCAAAGGTATCACTTTTTGTCATTATACATATTGTCCTAAATCTAGCAGGAAGAAAGTGGTTCAAAGCTAATTTTCAGCCTCCGGAGCTCAGAAAACCACGTTTTTTGAGTTTCTTATTTTTTAAATAAAAAAACTGTGATACATAACACTTTTTTTAGGAAGGCTTTTTATGTAAAATTTGACGTTCTACATAATGGCTATATCAGAATTTGAAAAACGTTTGTGCCAAGTTGTCAAATTTGAGGCCAAAGGTCACGAGGTCACCAAAAGTGACCTTGACCTGTGACCTACAATTTTGCGTTCAACGGCAAAGTTGTAGAGGGTGGCGAGAGGAATTCAGCCATACCCTGATTTTTGTTGTACGAACACAGAAAGCTGAGATACAGCCGTTTGAAAATTTCAAAAACCCAATTTTGAACGTCCCGTAAAACCCGTAAATTTTGAGATATTGGGGTAAAACTATGTATTTTTGAAAACCTCCTAACATGGTCTTTCTGGTCCTAAAATTTTGTAAAGATCGCATGACCCTTGCCAACGCATTGTACCTTTCACGAATTTTCGCCGTATTTATTAGCAAATCAAGGAGTCAATTTTGGAGCTTCTGAAATTTAATTTATAGAGAAATTTTAAAATATTTCTCTGTATTTTACATCCATTTGGCTATTTTCAATAAATATCACCGACTTTAGCTTAAAAAAAGCACCGATTTCTTTTGCAAGCAAATTGAACAAAATACATTTTTAAATTAATGCCTGTGTTTATTTTTAGCCCGAGAGTGGCTCAAGATTTGTGTTTGTGTTTCTGGAATCTCTTCTGCACCTCTCTAATTTGCAGCGAAGAGGAGCTGGTCATGAAATGAACAAAAAATCTCACTCTGGTGCTTAATCTCTAGCAATTTTTTGCTCTTCGAAGCGTTTGTTTGCTAAAAATCACGCAGAGAGGGCAAGGTCAGCAAGTCTGGTATAAAAAGTGCCGGCCGCAAACTAGTTTTGCACTTGTTGTGAATCGAAGGCAAGAAAGATGGGCCGCCGTTTTGTGCTGCTGTTCGGCATCTTCGCGTTTCTCCACTTTTCGGCGGCGGCCGCCGTGCCCGACTCCGACACGGACCACGCTGAGAACCCGGTAAATTATTAAATTAAATTTAAATGTTGATACGAATTAATTAAATTCGTTTTGTTTAGGAATGCAAGGATACGGAAAAGATTGCGGAAATCGGCGTCGGCGTCAAAGAGTTTGTCAGGATTTTTAATTCTCATTTTTTTTTTTTTTTTTTAATAAAATTTGTTCGTGCAGAACGACAATGGCAAAAAGGCGTTTGAGGCAGTTCATGGCCAGCTGACTTTGGTGCAAAGTCTTCTCTACCTCGTCGTGGACAAGCAGGAAACGCTGGAGAAGCGAGTTGAGGTAAATTTTAATTCAGAAAATCACGGTTTTAATATTTAATTTCGATTTTTTTTCTACAAAAGTGCTCTCCGGTGGGAGCGAATGTGTCAAACGAGTTGCAGCTGCTGCGTCAGGTGTCGATTTTGACGAGGGAAAAAACCGATCTGGCCGAACGGGCACAGGAATCGAACAAGTGTTGTTCAGAGCAGGTATTTGCAAACAATATCAAAATGAACAAAAAACATTTAAAATTCTAACACATTTTTCATTTGCATTTTATTAATTCCATCTAGGTTCCGCAAAAGGACGAAGAGATCAAACAGTTGAAAGAGAAGGTTGAGAAAATCGCTCAGGACAAAACAGAATCTGCGCAAAAGGACGAAGAGATCAAGGAGTTGAAAGAAAAGGTGGCGAAAATCACTCGGGAGAAAACCGAATCGGCGCAAAAGGACGTAGAGATCAAGCAGTTGAAAGAGAAGGTTGCGAGAGTCTCTCAGGAGAAAACTGAATCGGAAGAACAACACGGAAAGGTAAAGTTTATTTTGCATAATTTAAACAAACGTTTTGATAAGCTAATTAAATGGAGTTTCCCAAATCAAGTTTTTTTGCACAAATATGATCTAAACAAAATAATTAATGCTTTCAAGGAATTGGAAAAGGTGAAGTTGGCGCTGGAAAAGTGGGAAAACGCGACTTCGGACGAATTGAAAAATCTGGCTGAAGAGAAACACCGCGCTGAGGTTCTGTTTGTTTTTCATTTCACTGCCCTTCTTATTAATTGACAAATCTTCCAGATCGAGGCCAAGTGCAAACGGAGCCGTAAGTTAAGAAAATTTACACTTGAAATAAAAATTAAAAAATTTGTCTAGGATCGACACCGCTAGTCGAGCTCAACGGCAAGAAGTACTACTTCCAGTTGCTCAAAACTGACCCCTTTTTGGTTTGTTCACTTTAATAGTTTAGATTGACCAATGACCGCCACAAATATAAAAGAAATAAATAAAAGAAATGCCATCAACAATGATGACTCAAATTTGGTTAAAATGAAATTAAAACTTATAATAATTTTATGTCAATTTTTGGCACTCATTGGCTTAATAGAACAAAAATTTATTGGCTTTTTAAATTTGACAGGGAGATTGGCAAAACAAAAAGGACAAGTGCGAGAGGAAGGGTCTAGAGCTGGTCACCATCAAGGATGAAGACGAGTTGAAGGTCGTCGCTGAGCACGCCCTCACCCTCGAAGGTGACATAAATTTTCTAATATTGTAAATTATTACGTATCCTAAACTTTGATTCGGCCAGACTACTTTTGGTGGGTTTCGGCGAAAAACTACGGCGATGAAAACAACTACGACTTCCGCTGGCTCGACGGAACCAAGCTTGAGAAAAACAGTCCGCTCTGGGGTCCGAACCCCGAAAAAAAGCATTGCGTCTACTTGTCGAAGAAGAGTCTGTTTTCCGATTCTTGTGATCGCAACCAACGCTACATTTGCCAACTGCCCAAAGAATGCTACTGATTAACTTGATGCAACAATCAACTTCACTGCGTTTTTAAATATATTATGAATTTTTCTTAACTTTTTTCATCAGCTTTAGTTGCAAATTGTGTTTGTTGATCTATCACAATAAAACTTTTTAGATTGATTAAATGCGAATAAAAATTGATTTTTTTCAAAATTCATCCTATTTTACTTTAAATGTAGTTGATTATGAAAATTTTCAACAAAAAGTCTTGAAGAAAAGAATAAATTAACTCATTTTGAAACACCTGAAACTAGAAAGCTAATACAATATATTATTACAAAAGTTTTAATTTGGAATTGCCAAATTGGCCTAGTAACGCAGATGTCACGAGATCGATGAGGTCAAAAGGTTATTTGTATCTGAAGTTTTTTTTGTCGACCGGTTCACGGGTCAACAAGCTTAAAAAACAATAAGAAATGTCAATCATGAGGGAATTTTTTAATAACTTCAGAGGCTGTACAGAATCTGCCTCCAAAAGCCTTTAATAAAAAATTAATTACAGAGTATAGAGAGTAAAAATCATACAAACATATCGCCTTAGCTAAATGTTTTAAGCTTGTACCAAAATTTTTCAACAAAAAGCGTTAATTTGAAAGGTAGTCAGAAATTTTAACTATGCAAATTTTAATAAAATGATTTTTTAATTAACAGAATTCAATTTCCCTTTTACAATCGCATGGATTAAAATATCATTAATTTTTCTTTTTATTTAGATCGTTTTGTTTTTAGCAACATTCTTATCTCATTGGAGAGGGCAAGGTCGACACACGGTATAAAAGAAGATTTGTTTTCGCTAACCAAGTCAGTGTTTGCCAAAAAAGATTCCCCGCTTTTTGTTTTTTGTCAAAAGAATGCTACTGATTGTCAAATGACTTGTTTCAAATCCTATAAATAAACTCTTACACTTTGTGCATCAATTATAAAAGTGGTTTTAATTCCAAAGTGAAGAATCTACTATTTCATTGTTAAAATACTGAAAAATATAATTTTTATTCAGTTAAATTTTTTACTCTTATCAAGGGCTGTTGGGTACTGCTTACAAAAAACTTTTACTCTCAAAGTTTGACGTTGAACAAGACTTGTTAATTTTTCCTTATATCATAAATTACACAAGTGAAACAAGCAGATTGCATCATTTGGTAATCAACAGTCGGTGGTGCAAGTTGGAAAAAGGATGGCCCGATTTAAATTTTTGCTTTGCCTCGGCGCATTTTTTCAAACGACCACAGCCACAGACCCTGCGCAAATCGACCTTTCAACCAGGGTAAGAAGGAACAAAAGCTAGATTCAAAATTCTACCAAAGTATGCAATCGAAGCCAATCCTTGAAATTTTTGCAATTCTTTGGTTACCTGAACCAATAACAGTATTTTCTATTTTGCACCTAATAATAATCTTAGGATGGAAAAGATACTTCTTATTCTAAAATAGGGCTGTCATAAGAAGAATTCTATTGAATTATCCAAATATACAGTGGAATTTTTTAGGTGAATGAAGTGGAACAACTGCAGGGACTTGTCGTGCAGTTTAGCGATCTGGTAATATAATTATTAATCAACGATCGCACGATTAAAGAATTTCACTTCTTCTTCAGATAGCGGCGGGCAAGAAGATGGAGGCGGACTTTTCGACCAAGGTGTCGTCCATGTTCAACTTGGTCAACGTCGTGTGGGAACGGCAGGACAAGTTGGACGACCGAATGCAAGCGCACGTCGAGGTGAGCAAGAAAAAAATGAATTATTGGAATAATTAAAAAATTTGCTTCCAGTGCTCGACGGGAGAAGGTGGCTCAAGCGAGTTCAAGTTGCTTCAAGAGCAAGTTTCCACTTTGACGAGAGCTTTCGTCAAACGGGCCGACGCGTTCGACACGTGTTGTTTGGACCAGGTTGAGCTTTTTTTATTATTTATTCCTCCTTATGGATTTGTACAATAATTCACTAAAAATAAAAAAAATTGGTAGTAAAGTTTTGAATATGCTTGCAACCATATCTTAGGTCAGAGAGCATCGGACCCTAATGTGTGATTATGTAGTTTGAAATTTTTATCCTCGGCACCAAGTTTATCTAGAGTTCAATTTTAACCAATTCTTATTTTTAACCAATTTAATCTTGTTTTGCGGATAAACTGATTTTTATAAATTACAGTCGTCAAATAGAAAATCTTGATGTCTAATTATTTATTTCCATTAAAATCAGAAATTTTGAGATTAATCAGTTATTTTAAAATATAAAATTTTGATTTAATCTCGTATATTCAAGATTTCACTGAAAGAGGAAAATTCCAAGCTGCAGCAGCAGATTTTGAAATTGACAGGCGAGAAATCAGGGTTGCAAAAGAAAGCTGAAAATGCTCATGAAGGTTTTCAAAAGGTACTTAAAACTTTGTCTTCAAAATATATATTTGTTTAAAGAAATTCATTTTCAAAGGCACAGGCAGATATCGAGTTGCTGAAGAAAAAGTTGTACGATTTGATGAAACTGGCAGACGTAAAAAGGCAAAAGGAGGTTTAAAATTTCTTGCTTTTCAAAACACAGACAGATGATTGAACAATGTTCGTTTTTTTTCAGGCAGTGGAAAAAATCCTCAAGAACTGCCCCTTGAGCCGTGAGTTTTGACGTGAAAAGAATTCGCGTGACTTCAGTTGATTGTTTCAGGCTCGGCCAACCTGACTTTGCTGTCCAACGGGAAAATGTACTTCTTGTCTCACCCGATCACGGTTCGTCGTGTTAAAAGTTACCGATTCGCGATTTTCTCTTTTTTAATAACAGGCCAACTGGAGCGTGGCGAACGAGACTTGCGCCAAGATGGGCCTCCACCTCGCCACCCTCACGGACCACGCGGACTTTGAAATTGTGTGGAAACACGCCAACACCACTGGACACGGTTCATCAAATTTTTTCTAACAAATTATTATTAATATTTTTAAGTAAAAAACAAAAACTTTTCACAACTTTCCACCCTTCCCACAAATAGTTAAAAATGTTTTGGAAAATCTACGAAAATTTGCCTAAATTTATATCAAAATACGCCTTTGTTTTGAACCAGGAATGACAGCAATTTGTGGAAATTAGATTCTCCTTTTAAAAATAGTTTTCACTAAGAAAACAATTTAAATTTATCATCTTTTTTTCATTTTGCCGCAAACTTAAATTATTAGATTTGTGTGTCTTTTTTTTCTTCATAAGACTTTTGTTGTAAATGATTGTGTGAAAATTTGCAGACTGCCTATGGTGGTTGTCGGCGCGAAACTTGGGGGTTGGAGGCGAGTACAACTTTCGGTGGCACGACGGGACCAAGTTGGAGGAAACGAGCAGCCTGTGGAGGGAACACGCGAGCAAGGCGGGTTGCGTCTACTTCTTGAGCAGGCCCTACAAAAAACTCAACGGCCTCTCCTGCACCAACGACGCTCACTTCATTTGCCAACTGCCGCCGAGTGCTTAAAGTTAGCGATAAATTAGTTTTATATAAAATTAATCAAATTAAACGCAAAATCAGTTGAAAACTTTTAGAAAATTCTAGTAAATTTTGACAGGATAACGGAAAAATGCGAAATTATTAAAATTCACGTATGGCTCAACATTCAACAAATAAAGAGATATAAATTTAATATTTACATTTCATATTTTATCTTCAAATAACTGGCTTGCCATACAATTAAGAAAGGCATCCGTCCACCTCCACTTTGCACCAAAAACGCTGAGCAATCGTCTTCTTTCTAGTCTCACGTTTCGCACCGGTGCTCTCAGCTGATAGTGAGACACACACCTTTCAACTGATTAAGAATATTTCAGCAAGAAAAACTCTTCATTTGCTTAATTTTAAGCAAAGAAATTAATCTTCGTCCAATTTTATTATTATTAACCATCATTTCAGTCCGAAGATCATTGATTTTGGCAAATAAATAATTAGCGATTTCTGATAAAGATAAGCAAGCATCGGTGGTTCAGTGGTAGAATGCTCGCCTGCCACGCGGGCGGCCCGGGTTCGATTCCCGGCCGATGCATCTTTTGCTCAATTTTGGCCCAGAAACATCAAAAATTAGTCTCTCAGAATAAAATTCCACTGGGATTATCCAATTCGCAGGAGCAATTAAAGCAGCAATTTATATTTTTAACCTATTTTTAAATGAAATAAAAATGCAACAATTAGAATGAAAAATTAAAAATTCCATAAATGCAATGAATTTTCAAATCAAAATAATTGCTAAATTTAATTTGTAGTAAAAAAATGTGTATTGTATGTGTTAAATTGAAAACGTTTGGTGGATTTGAGCAAAAGTGTATTTGATTCACATTTTAATGAATTCAGAAGTGAAAATTTGGTAAAATTTAGCAAAAGATGCATTGGCCGGGAATCGAACCCGGGCCGCCCGCGTGGCAGGCGAGCATTCTACCACTGAACCACCAATGCTTAAAAATCCTAGGCAATTAAATTAGGATTAGTCGCGCGAGCGGAGGTGCAAATGCTTAAAATGCTTCGTCATCTAAATAAAACTTTTAGACTGCGAAAGTAAAGCGGGAGGCGCAGGTGCTTGATTTTGCGGTGAAATTCGGCGGTCTGGGCCCCGCGGCGGCTCAATTGTTTTGGAGGCAGCGGTGCGTTGAGGTGATTGCGCGCCGTTTGATCTCTCCCTCCTTTACACGAGAGTGTGTGTGTGTTTTGATTCAAGACACCCTCGCTCTTTGGCTTTGAGGCGACGTCGAGCGTGACAACACGCGATATGCCTATAATATCCGCCCCTGCCCCCTCCCTAGTGCCGGGGGCGTGCGTGCACCCACTTCGGCCCAATTTTCCCTCTAAATCTCGCCCTCTTGAATTTTCACAAAGCCAAAAGAGATCAAACTGTCTTGTTCTTTTCCAAAACAAATTAATATTTTTTCACGCCGTTCTCATATAAATTATTATAATTTAAATTATTTCGTCCTTCTGAGTTTCAGAACAACAGATTTCAGCCTTTCCTATCACATGAGAGAAAATTTAATTCCCTTAATTAGTTTGTTAAATGATTTTTTTATTCTCTATCTCAAAATGTTGTTTATTTGTCAAATGTCGGCAGCTAGAAACATTTTTAGATAAATAACTAAGAAAAAAGCCACGTTTGGTAAAAAAAAGTCAATTAAAATGAAGAAATTATTATTAATAGAAAATTTTTTCATAATTGATTGATGATGTTGATTGATGTTGAAGAAAAATAAATAAATCTAATAATCTAATAATTCTCAATTATTTTTAGAAGGAATCTAGGATAAAATTTGCATTACAGAGGCAATTTCGTAAATTTGGTTAAAAAACACATTTTAACAATATATTTTTTTTTTGCACAAAAGTAAGCAGATTGGAATGAAAATTGAAAAAAACAAGGAACGGATTCAAATTGTATTCAATCAGAAAAACAAAGTGGGCCGCGCACGAATCAATTTGTCGCGATTTGAATTTGTAATGAGCCGAGCACGAAGAAAGCTCAAAGTGATTAGAAAAATCGATGGTGCGCCGCTCGACCTCGGCGTCGCGCCGGTTGCCTAACGCGCGCAGGAAATAATTTGGTTTCGAAATCGCATCGCCGCCGCCGATTTAATCGCCCGTCGGAAAACCTCTCTCTCACACCTTTTCGCGTTTGTCGCTCGTCGAATTTCCTGTCTCATCAGCCGCTGCGGCTTCGCCCTGCTTTTAATCTCGCAAACTCCACCCACCATCACCAGCGCGCGATAAGCAATTGCAATTCCATCACCAGCGCCGGCATTCCCGATCGCGCTTAAAAAAAAATCTGTTCTGATAAAAGTCGTTGCGCGTAACCGATTAAAATTATCAGCGGAAACATTTTCACGGCGCTTCTAATTACAAAATAATTCTCAGTCTTTACAGTTAATGTCAAGTTAGCTTTTTTTCACTCTTTAAAAATGTAAGGTAATAAAATTTTTGTTTCTAAATAAAAATTTGGAGCAAAATTGTAAGTTATGAAATAAAAATTAAAGGCAACTTCTCAATAAAGGTTCCTGCCAATGTTCTCTTTCCATCCAAAACTTAGCAATAACATCAATAGAAAAGGTCATTGACCTTTGGTGAACTTTGTTCAACACATGACTGGAATGAAACAAAAATTTGAAAATTACGTTCTTGCCCTTTTACCCCAAAGAATCCAAAAGCATAAAAGAAATAAGTTAATTAATTAAAATATTATCAATTTTTTATATGTTTATTTTGAGCCACTTTCAATATTTCAGGTTTCAAACCCTGAAATTTGACCTAGGACCTTGGTCATTAGTGCACTAAGACCTTAAACAGACGCCGAGATATTTGGGACTCTTCCTACCTTCCCATTGATAAAAACAAGTTAATGAAAACGAGGATTTGGAGTGGGACGAAAAGTTGAGGCAGAAGTGGGTGGCAATCGGAAGGAGCGGCGCCCGGTCGGTAAATGTGATTTCGCCGCGCTTCCCTCCCACCCCCTCCTGCTTATTTAGCCGAGCGGTAATTCGGTGGTAATTGCTCGACGCAACTTTGTATCTCGCGTTCAATTTCGCTCGCTCGACACATGTTATTTTTGTGTTTCGATTCCCTCGGGCGGTTTGATTTCAGTCGGAATTCGCGCACAGACATGAGGGAGGGGTTTGAGTTTTTTTTTTGCTCACCTTGCGTCTGCGAGGCCGAGTGCGAGCTCCATGATCCTTTGTAGGTCGTGTCTGAAACATAGAATTGAAAATTTTATTAGAACTTAATCAAACTTTTTGTTACTTTTTGTTGTTTAAAGAGTGATTTAAATAATTTACTTCAATTTTGGAATTTAAGTGCCTTTTCACAATTATTTTCACCTTCAATTTAACTCTTAATATTTCTGAATATATTTTTAATTATTAATGTGTGGAAAAAATACAATTCAGATTCAATCAAGTAATTTGAAAATTCTGAATAAAAGTTATGCCTAAAACTTAAAAGTTAAACTTAATTTTTGATACTCAAGAATATTGATGGATTTTTTAACTCACAATTCCTAAATTGATAACATTTTAACTGATTTTAACCATTTTTTTTTTATTAAATACAAATAATTATAATTTTGAAACAATGATTCTTTTAAAATTTCAAACTCTTCGCTACTATAATTATTTGTGTTGTTGAAACACAAAACACAGAAGCGAGGGGGTGACAATGCAAATCAGTTTGTAGAGAGGCTGATTAGGGACCTCCCACGCGTCACCGGCTGCTGCACATTAGGGGCAATATTGTTTAAAAGAAAAGCGATGGTATCTCTCGTTCTTTGTCATTGATTAATGCTGCAGCCGTCGCGTTCCGTGTCCGCTCTCAAAAATCAGCTGGTAAGTCGCGGCGGCGGCGACTCGCATGCAAAGAGATGTTATCTGACCTTCGCCCCCGCGCGTGTTTCTTGCCACGCGCTGCATTTGCATTTTAATTCACGGCCGTGCTTGATTCCTGCCGTTCTGTAAATACACACAGATTTGTCCGCGCACTCAAATTAATTTCAGATATAGACGCCAGCCTGCTGCGCCTTCAATTTCATTTGCATTTATACAAGAACACAAAGTACTTGTTCCTTCTTCATATCTTTTCACATTCAAGGTAAAATGAAATCTGCACCAACTTCGGAAACACAAAATAAATTCCTGTTAAAATTAAAGTCAAGATTGCAACTGATTGAGTTACAAAAGTTATTTTAAATTAACAAGGATTGAAAATTTTATTTTAAATTCAAATGCAATTTGTTTGTTATAAAAACATGAATTCTGGTTATTTCCATCATGAAAATATGATGTCATTTTAAGACAATATCACCTGGAAATTTTAGAAATATAACATTCAAAATATTGCGTTTGTAGATTTAGAAAAATCAAATACACCTAGTAAAATCCAATAAATTTATAGTTACACACACTAATCATACTTGCTTATAAAATTAAATATTTAAATTTAGTCAGAAGTGCCCTCTTCAAGATCATAGAATTTAAAATATTTGTTGCAATTCGTTGTAATTGTAATTTCCACCTTTATAACAAACTTAAAATTTACATCTTCCTTTTTAAATTTAAACCGGCTATATCAACAAACTGACAATTTTGCCTGAAAATGAACTGCCTAAAATTCGCAATACAATCAATTATAGATCAACAAGTTTTGGGTTTTTGTAAGTTGCTATAAAACTTAGAATTAAATTGATCATATTGTCTTAAATACTAAATAAAAACACTGAAGTCGTCCTCAACTTGGAAAATAGCATGTATAAATATCAAATTTACAGTTTTTTTAGTTATTTTAAAATGGATTGTTCATTCTTATTTTCAACCCGATTTGTGAAGAATAAAAGATAAAAGGTTAAAATTTATAAAGAAAGCGTATCTTAAAATAAATTAAAACAATGGTATGAAATCGCATAGATTGTAGGAAAATATTTTGTTGCAAAAATTTGAAATCAACGTACCGGCGAAGAGCATGGAAAAATTGGTAAAAGTGCCGGCGCTTCGGCTCAAGTAGTCGGCCGAGGTTTTGATGTCCAGCATGTTGATGGTCATGGTCGCGCGCGCGACCTGCACACCCTGTCTGCAGCGGGTCGTTGGGTCGGTCGGACGGACGGACGGACGGACGGACTATGCACTTGTTCTTCCGCTCTCGCCGCGGCGTCAAATTGCTTCCTCGTGTTTGCACGTCCGCGTCCGGTTCTTCATTTGTTGGAACTGCAGAGCGCCGGCCGGGGTGGCGCGACCCGCCGAGAGCAGGGGGCGGGGCGCCGCCGGGGTGCACACCCCGCCCGCCAATCGCCGCCCGCCTACCGGCGCCACCCCGGCCGCGACCCACGGCCCCTAGACCGAGGGGGTAGCCACCCCGAAACCACCCCCGCCGGGCCCATCGACCCTTGGGAAATTTTGCAATTTTTTCGCCTCTTGCATTTGGCAGATTTTCTGCAGTCTCGAAAGGACTCTTTGGAATACATTATTCTGGCGAGGTGAAAGAAGGGGTGAACTACCCCCTGGCACGAGCTGCCTTGGCCTCAGATGTGCCAGCCAGAGAGTGGATTCGCATTGTTGCCGCTGGTAAAGTGGAATGCCGCGTTATTGCATTATGTGGCAAAGAGTTTTGTTTTTTGCTCCCTCTTTCGCTCCTCGCGCTGGCCTTTTTGCTTTTGTGTTGTTTTTCAGTCGCGAGGGTAAGTGGAAAATGTACACAACGGAGAGAGAGAGAATGTATGTAACACACACAGAGAGAGAAAAGCAGAAACAGCGGACCTTTTTTAAGTGGTGCTTCACTCGCTTCGCGTTCGTTGATGGAAAAAAGCTTCCACGCCTTTTTCAGCCAAGCACACAAACGAAACACAAAGAGACTTTTTTGCATTGCAAATAAATTGGCTGGAAACAATACGAAAATTCTCTGTATTTCAAAGACATATTTATTGAAATAAATAAAATTTTTACAATTTAATATTTATTAAAATAAATTATAATTTTAACAATTCATTTGTTTAACTTGAGCGATTTTTCAATCAATACCATTTCATTTTATTACAAAAGTTTTTGGAAATCAAAAGTATCCCTTGGCACTGCAAGAGCTGAAGGAGAGGGGGCAGTGTTGCCTGGCCAGAATGGCGAAGGGCGACGTCGAGTTGAAGGGCACCGTCTTCTTCTCGCTGGCGTAGTTCCACACGTGGACGCCGTAGCTGACCTGGAGGAATTGCGGCACGAGGTGGGCGTTGGCCTCGTCGAAGAGCTGTGGGTAGGTGACCCAGTCGCCAGTCGGCGAGAACAGGGTCGAGTTGAGCACGTGCAAGTGGCCGACGCGACCCTGCGTCAGGGCGCTGCGCACGCTCGCGTTGAACCTGGCGAAGGCGGCGCCCATGGCGTTGGGTACGGTCGCGTAGCTTTTGGGCGCGTAATCGTGCACCACCTGCGCCATGATCTGCGCAAGCGCGGCGTCGCCCTTCGCGAAACCGAAGAAGTATGAGCCGATCGTATCGCGCGTGCGCGTCAGCAGGAAGCTGCGCAGGCGCAGCAGCACGTCCAGGTCAATGTAGAAACCGCCACACCAGACTCAGCCGCAGGAAGTCGCTCAGGTGGTTTGTCTTGTACGGCGTCTTCTTCAGGAATTTGTCCGCGATCGGCGCGAACACTGTTGAGTGCGTCAGAAACTGTTAAAGTTTTTTAATCAAACAATATGTATATAAAAACTAAATTTTTTAGTAATGAAATATTAAACTTTTTAATATTGATAAAAAATATTTGCTGAATAATAATTTTGAACGATTTTTTTCAAAACGTGTGTAAATTTTTATAAAAATAAAAACAATTAACTTTATTCATAATAAATAATTAATTTATATTATAAAATTTAAATTAAATTCTAGACACACTTTTGTAAAATCTTAAGAACAACTTTAACTCTCTCCACCTATTCAATGAGGATTTTTTGTTGTTGTGCATAGAAAAATTAAACCCTAAAATTATTTCCACTTTGACTGCATCTTAGTTTTTAGCTGTTGATTCTAATAATTCTTCTAGATAGTTGCAAAGATATTTTAAATTGTTGCAAAATCGTGTTTAATAGACTTGGATGAACTGTGCCTCTATTGTAATCAAATGAATTTTAAAAATTAAATATAAAATATTAAAATAAATAATTTTAATTTATTTAAATTGATTATACTTTATCAGTTTTAGCCTTACTTGGGCAGCGTTGATGGTGAAGATCTGAACCTTGTCGCCGTGCGCCTTGAGCAGTTTGAACAAGGCGACGTTGAGCTGCATGTCTAAGTGCTGCACTGGGTGGACGAAGACGATGGCAAGGGTGACATCAGGGGGTGTGTTTCTGGCCACGGACTCGATGGTGCACACTTGCCTCGCTTTCAGAGTCGCCCTTCCCGAAGACTCGAGGAAGAAAATGACTTTTTCAGAGCCAAAAATAGATTTAGCGTCGCCCTCGTCCACCTGCGCGGTTAAGTCATTCAACTTCAGTCGCGACGTTTCGTCCAGGTTGGAGAAGGGGTCGTGCGAAAAGGGGATGAAGACGAAAGCCAGGACGGCCAAGAGGCACAAGGGCAGGAGGAATTTGGGTTCGAACAAGCGAAAGCGCCTCATCGTGAGAGAGAAAAAATACTGACAAATTCACGTTGCCTTTCCGCTCTGCAGCGATATCAACCACCAGTTATCTTTATTATACGTTTGATTTAATTCAACTCGTACATTCAAGTACAAATAAGCTTATCAGCTTTAGGTGCTAATTTGTTTTCAATTAGTTAACATTATCTTGATTATAATCTTCATTTGGCCACGAGTTAAGAACAAATAATGGAATTTATTTATTTAAAAATTATTACTAGTTGAAAATAAAATTAAATTTAAAAAAATTTATTTAAAAGTTACTACTTTAACTTAGCATTTTATACAATAATATTATTTTAAAATTGAAGTTAACACAATTTTGTAAATTAAACTATTAATTTACTTTCACAATTTTTTTTAAATTTAAAATAAAAATTATTTTAATTAAAATAATTTTTTTAATTCTCTCTATCACTCAATTTGACAGAAGATCCTTGCATTTTTGCAAACTGTCATTCTGATTTGATAGTTTGCGAATAAAATATTGAATATTAAGGATTTTAAGACCTACTTTGGCACTTTTTGTAGCAATTTTTAATTACATTCTGAACTGCAATCGTCTGGGTTTTTTTGTTATTCTAAGGAAAAATTGGCTTTTGAAGAAAGGATGAGCTTCGGGGAGAAGTGTGTTGAATTTTCTGCAAGATTGATCGCGAGTGCTACAAGTCACGGGGACAAAAGGTGTGTGCGCTTTTTTTCATTTATGCGCGTGGCGTGCTGGAGGGAAAATCGGTCACGTGCTCTCGGCTCTTTGTTGAGAGAGAGTCAAGAGTCGGTGGCGCGGAATCGTTTTTATTAGCAGCAGATATAATTCCGGCGCGTATGCTCTTCTTCATTTCGGCGCTATTGTGTGTGAATAATGACATGTATGATAAGCAGGGGCGAGTTATGGCCAGCAGGGGAGGGGAGGGCGAGCGCAATGAATAATGCACTCTAATGACGCGCGGCGCAGTTGCGACGACAATTATTATTGCTCTTTCGTCCGCGGCCGATCACTTCCCACACTTATCACGTTTCAACGAGGTGCTCTGTTGACTTTGCCTACAAATATTTGCGTGCGATCGTCGCCCCCTTTTAATTGAATGTTTGCTTTCCGAAAGGCCAAAATTATAAAATGCATTCTCGTCCCCTGGGAATTTCACTCGGAAATGTTTAAAGCGAGAGGAAAACAAACAAAAATCACAACTTTAACTCCCTGCATTTGAAAGTTTGCATCAAGGTATACCTTTTTCTAGATCAAAAACGACCAAAATTAAAAAATGAAAAGCACAAAATACAAAAATTTCACTGGATCTGTAAGAATATGAAAAATAATAATAAAGATTGGAGTTTTCTCTACTCAAATTTCATTCTGCTCTAAAAAGAGAAGAGATTCTTGAACTTATCATTATAAAAGGAATCAACTCATAACAAACTATTCGCTAGATTTTCAAAACTTTCATGGGAAAAAACGCTTAAATTACTTGGAAAAGTGAAAAAGTCACAAAAGTGGAATCGGTGCAATTTTTGTGAGCAGGGCGAGAGCTGTTAAAATCGAATCGCGTTCTCATCAGGGGCCTCCGCACTTTTGCCCTCGTCGCTCTTTTTTTTCCATTTTCCATCAATATGTTGGGGTTGCGCGCGGGGCAGATTCGCAACGGCAGCGGCGGAGGCCAGGGGTCGATAAGCGCGCGCGACCTTTTCCATATTTCACAGCATCGTTTCGTGTTTCCTGCTTCCTGATGCTGTTGCCGCCGCCGCCAACCGTCTATTGTTTTTGCCGCCGCCGACACGTCAAGCTGATAACACACAAACCAGTCAATTCCTTCCTCGCAATCGCGCACATCGAGAGAAGAGGCAACAAGACCAAAAATTACTCTTCTTCAAAGGCTTGGAATTGCACAAAAATATAATTCTAACATTGGATTTGCGCTTGAACTTATATACAGAAAATAAGATCTTTTTGTTCATTACAGTTGAAAAAAATTGAAAAATAGAGCACAAATGAGGATAAATTTTTTTAAAAATTAAACAAAAAATGTCCAAAAGCGAAATAAATTTAACAGTAATTAATTTTTTTTAAATGTTTTTTATTAATTCCAGGTTTTGTTGAATTTTAAAATGGTTTTTTTCTGTTCATTATTTCAATAGATTTCTTTTAAAAGTTTCTTCTCATTTTTTTTTTTTTATTATTTGGCTGATATAAAGGAAGAAACGATTTGAGCTGGTTTTTCGCACACTTGTATGTATGTCCGGCGAGAGGAAATTTTTATTTGCACAATTGCAGCTGCTGCGAGAAACGTACTGTACGGTCACTTAAGGAGTTAATAAATAGAAGTGGAGCGCGCGCGAGTTATTTCAAACCGGGGCAACGGTGCTTTGGAACTTCCCCTGGCGGCAGGGGGCGGCGGATACCACTCGTCTCCGGACCGCTTCCTCTATTTCAACTCGACCCTTCCAAGTGGCGCTCGGCAAAAAGCAGCACCATCTCTATATGTGCATTCGCGCCCAGCAAAAATGAAGCCCGATGAATATTTTTCCCAAAACCGAAAAAGTTTCAAAGTGCGTGAAATTTGCGGCACACGTATGATTGCCTCCATTATGTGCGAACAAGGGCGAAATTGCATCAATCAGCCTTCCTATTCATTACCAGCTTCTCGAGCTAAGTGCGTCGCTCTCCTCTATCCTCGCCGCTGCACTTTTGTCAATCGACGCGCGGGGAGAAAATTGCGAATGTCTCGTCAAAAGACCGAGAATCATCTGAAAGGGGGGAGCGCCAGAAAGTAAGTTCGGATATGTGAATTATTTTGTTTGGGAACTTCTTTCAAACACAAATCAGAGCACATTCGAAACTGCTCATTTGAATGGGTACGATTTTTCTCATTTAAAAACAATCTTAATTAGAAATACTATGACTTTTTGAACTTTAAAAAAAAAAATTCAGACATCTAAGTTGTTCAAATTCACAATGCTCAAAGCTGTCATTTTTTTTTACAAATTTGCAATTTTTTCAATGGGAGCCTTTGCCGTTTAGAAAGATTTACATTTCTGCTTCCAACTATAATCAATCTAAATCAATCTATAGATCACTACAGATAATATAATTTTTTTTTAAAGAGGAGAATAATTAACACAAGTAGCTTATGATATATCCCAACTGAAATTAAAACTTCACATGCACAACCTTATCCCAAAAGATCAATGTAAATTTTTGGTGTATTGGCTTTATTTTTCCATCTTAATTAGGGTGTTATGAACGTGATTTGGTGAAATTATCAATTTTGAGAAAAAATTATTTCAGAAATTTCCTATGAGAAACAATTTAATTTACAAAAATTCTCCCATTGACTTAAATTTTTTTTATAATATCTTATCTTCTTTTAAATTAAATCTACGAACTGATGTACAGAAAAAAAACAATCAAAATTAATTAAGCTTTTTTTTTCAAGATCCTTTTTCAAAATTGCAGCTTTTCAAACTGACAGAATTTTTCATTTAAAATTGTTTTAAGCTTTTCTTAAGCAAATCCCTTACAGTCTATCTGGGGTTTGTTGTTTTATTCGTAGCAATTGGTCCTCTCTTGTAAACACCGAGAGATTTTATTCTTTCCAGAGGGTACATGCGTCAAGGGTGTGCGCAACACGTACGACAAACAAAAGCCTCAAGGGGCACCTTTAATTTGGCCCTCCCTTGTGCTATTTTTCTTTCTTTATTTTCGCCACTGACTGAATTTATCTGCGACGACGGTAATATATAAAAAATGCGAATTAACTCGGAGTGATGTGCAGGCGGCGAGCGAGGAAAGTGCCGGGGTTGGAGCGGGCGGGCGAGTGGCGGGCTGACTGTAGCCTGCACTTACACCGGAAGTGCTCCCATGGCAACCGAGATCGATTCGTGGAAGCGGAACCGAGAAATTTACAATCCCTCGTCACCGCTTACACTAGTAGAACACGCCGAGCTGCGATCCTGCACATAACAACCTGCATTTTCATACTAGGCCGCGCACAACACGCGGCTCTATGCGCATCGCTGCCGTACCGCAATCGAACAAACTTTGCCCAGCAAATAGAACAAAATATTATTCTGCAGCTGCACAAGTTTTTTGCGGAGGAAAAATCATTTCAAATTCATAAATTTTGAAACCCTTTTTTCATCTTTGAAATTTTTGAAACAAATTCCATCTTCAACTATCAGGATTTGCTTCAGACGTGATTTTTTACTCCCATTTAAAATAAAATGTTAAGGAAAAGCTTGTTAAAAACTGACATTAAAAGTTCTCTAGAGAAAAAAAAATTTGTTGTGTCAACTGGCTGTTGGTTTTATTGTTCCATCTTAATTTGAACGTGATTTGGTGAAATTTTTATCAATTTTGTTGGTCCGGTTAATTTTGAGAAGAAATATTATTTCAGAATTAAACAATGTCAAATAAAAAAAAAAATAAGTTCTCTCAGTGACTTAAATTTTAATGTAGTGAAAAATCAGCACAATCAACAGCAGTTCAAATGTTAAATATACAATTCAAATTGTTTCTCCTCATTTTTACTGGAATAAACATTTTATATACTAAAGTTCTCTGATTCTAATTTTGAAAAATGTTCTTGGAGACGTTGGAGACAAAGTTTTATTATTTTTTGCGAGATAGAGAAAGAGAGGACGAGGATGGTGTTGGCTTATTAAATAAACGGAGCGCGACGCCGTCAAGTGTGAGGGCGACAAAGCTGGCTGGGCAGCGGTGCGGAAATCTCTCTCGCTCTCAGTCAGCTGCGGGTGCGAAATGAAAAAAGCTTTTTACACTGCGATTTTAATTTAAAATTAATACGCGCCGCTCGGAGACGGAGGAAGAAAGTTGGTGCGGGAGGAAATGAGATGGTGGAAATCGGCGGCGCGCCGGGTGCGGAGGAAGGAAGGAACGGCCGGCGCCGATTTCAAGAAAATCAACTCGGGCGCTTCTTCGTCTTACGAGAAGCGAGAGCGAGGAAGGGGCGATTAAAAAAACTAATTACCGCCCTTACGCGGCGATTTGCGGGCGTCAAAGGGTTGCCATGGCGACCCGCATTCGAATCAAATCCAATTTGGCCGCTTTTGTGCGGTTCGCCTCAAGGTATGCGGCGGCGGCGGCGGCGGTGCACCTCAAACGCCTTTGCAGTCAAACGCCTGCTTTGTCGCAACTTTCCGCCCCGCTTGCCAATTTGCGCCAAAATTATTTGCTGCTTTATTGCCACCTCGGGCGCTCAAACCCTTCGATCCAAACACCCACTTTGAATCCAAACAGAAGTTGTGAAAAGCAATTTCAACATTATTATAAGTAGAGCTTGTGAAGCAGAAATTCAAAATTTTGGGTGTTTCCATTCGGATTTTTAGTTTTCATGTCAAGAAAAATCAAAATAGAATCAAAATAAAGGAGCTTCAAACTAATATGACTTTGAATTAAACTGTAATTTTAATTTTCTGTTCTTTTTCTCTAATTGCAGTAATCAGGGTCAAAATTTATCTGAAATTCAATCCAATATGATTTTCTCTTAATTTTACATCACTTTTGATATCGGGGAAACAATGCAGGAGTTCAAATATCATCTAAAAAGTTTTGAAAGATAAATTTTGAAACAGTTTTTACAATTTAATCTTAATTTATATAAAAACATGAATCAATAACCAAAATTTCTATGCAGCCCCCTTGACGTTCCTTTTGAAGTCATAAAATTTACTCTGTTATTATATATTAGACAGAAGTGGATATGAAATAATAAGCCGCTGATTTAACGAAACAAATTCGCAATATGCTTCGCGCCGCATATCGAATCGCTCCCTAGGGGTAGTTTTGTGCGGGGCTTTCTCGCTGCGGCACGCACGCACCCCTCTCCATTTCGTCCGAGTGACTCGCCGGGCCATTAAACAATGCTCTGCAGATCACTCACTAGTGCAATAAAGCAGTTAGATTGTGCACTTTTGTCGGAATCAAGCCGAGCAGAAGATCATTGGAAAAACACGGCAGCCGAGAGATAGAAGTCGGGAGGGCTCTTCTTTCTCTAGAAGCGATAACAATGACATAGAATGCGCGTAAACAACGGCTTTTGCGGTCGCACACACAGACTTGTCACAAAAACTTCCCCATCGTAAATGGTGGAAATAAAAATTGTACTAAAGGAAAATTGCCAAAGCGTTAATTTCCTTTAAGTTCAATGTAAATTTTGATATTATTTTGTCGCATTAATTTGGTTTGACGAATAAATTTTTATTTATGAATTTTCAACGTCGAATAATTTCAATCTTCTTTTTATAAAGTTAATTCTTGAGACGAAGGGAAAAATAATTAATCAAAAATTACTATGGATTTGATAATATAAATTATTTTCCTCTATATTTCCGCGAGAATTTCAATTTCATAGAATTAAAGCAAATGTATATTTAAAAGGAAATCGTGAATTTAAAAAAAGATTAAAACATCAACTGGAGTGGGTTTAAAGGGCGCGTAAAAAGTTTGTTGAGAAGTGCACGCACGGTTGCTGACCCTCCTGTGACGAGGTGTAATTCAGATTCACAGAGCGTGAAACGCTGTGTGAAAGTTCAAGTTTCGGCGGCGATTTTGATTTATCACCTGGCCGGCTGCCGTTCTCTTGAGAGCGTGCGACTTTTTTCGACTGCCGTGTTTTTTTCCGAGTGTCCAATTAAAAAAGGTTGGTACGAGTTAATGGACTGCCAATTGGCGCCGGCCGGGGTGGATAATGCGAATCGAGCGTGTCGGCGGGAGGGTCACGCGTGGCGCGCAGTCAGGGTCACACTCGAGTGGCCGCCACGTGGCCCCCCACGCACGTGGCCCACCCCCGGCCGACCCGTTTCGGCCGCCGCCGGCTCTTTTCATTTCCACTTTCGCCTTTTATTAATGTTGTGATAGTCGCGCAAAACAGAAATGCCAGTTTGATATGTAGACGCGCTTTTCATATATCTCGAATGTTTTCTTTGCGTCCGCGCGACGCAAATCAAAACATTTACTCTCGCTCTTTTATTGCATTTTATTTCAACATTCGCTTGATTTCAAATGGAATCAATAAATAATAATAATTTGCTCGAGTAATTCACCAACCGAGATTAATAAAATAGGAGGAAAGTGTAGATTTGTTTGAATAAATTTATTAACCAAAATGCAATTTATAATTTAACACAAAAATGGAAGCCGCTGTTATCTTGATTAAATATCAACATACACAAATTTGAAAAACAAGGCGGCAAAATCAATGATCGAATCTGTGCAAATTATGCTACAATGCATACATTAAAGGGATTAAAAGCCCTAAAACAAATGTATAAAAAAAGCAATTGCCAAATTATACAGCATGATAAATAAAGTCTGAAAAAGTAAGAAGAGCTTTTATTCGTGTTCAATTAAGGGCATGGGCCATTACAAAGATTAAAATTAAGTAGCATAGGATATTTCAATAATAATAATATATGCAATTGCAAATTATAAATAATCCGAAATAATCTAATTAATTATAAACAGAAATTTGAAGTATATAAGGCAAAATTCAAAGACATTAGACAATATGGTGTTTAAATTAAAAATATTTTGATTGCGGATCTGCCAAGTGCCAATTTTGATGCTGCCCTCAGTAACATTCTGTTGGCAATTCACAAATGTAATAAAAATAGTTTGTGTTATAATAGCTAATTTTCAATTTTTTGGTATGCGAAGTCTTGAAGTAGACGCAGCCCCGGAGTTTGTAAACATCGTCGCTCCACAAGATGCTGTTTTCCTCCAACTCTGAGCCGTCACTCCAGCGAACGTTGTATTTTCCTTGATTTGCGTAATTCTTTGCTGATAACCACCAGTTCCCTTTTGAAATCAGATCTTGATTTTTAAAAGGTCTCCAAACAAATCTTTCCAAATTCGAATTCAATTTTCCTTATTTTCTCACCATGTATCCTTTTATTTGCTTCTGTCCAGGTCGCGTCCAGGTCGGCTTCATCCCTGAGGGTTGCCAGATGAAGGCCCATCTCTTTGCACTTTTCATTGGCCACGCTCCAGTATTCCTGCCGAGAAAAATTAGCTCTTTCAGAGTAAAATGTAAGCAAAAAGGAAATCGCTCACTCTCGTTGGATAAGAAAAGAAGTATTTCTTTCCATTGGACAACTGCATCAAATTATGGGAACCTAATGAGGGAATTTAAATAAGATCATAGAACCAAACGTGAGAGTTAAAGAAGATAAAATAGAGATAATTTGTGGCAATTAATTCCAGGCTGTGAAGTTGGAAAATTCCCAATGAAATGTTTTTTTCTTGTACATAGATAATAAAATTATGTGTTTTGCCATACTTACGAGCAAGAGTACAGTTGATGGAAATTTTGTAAGGAATCAGCTGCAATTTTCAGGAATTAAAATTAGCAATCGAATAATTTGATCAGTTTTGACGCAGACCCATTGTTGACGTTCGGTGAGTTTGGTTAAATAGTCTAGCCTGGCGTCATCCACTATAATCTTCAAACGCTACTGTTTAAAATCTCCAATCGTTACAAAATTTGATTTCTTACTTTTCCAAGAAGAATGCACGTAGTTAGGAAGGAAAAAAAGACGCAGAGAACCCATGGGACAGTTCTGGTCAACGCTTTCCGCGAAAACTTGCTTGTCTTTTCCACCTGCGACCTCTTGGGCATCTCGATTTTGACCGAAGTTTGGACGTTGGTGGCCGCGTAAGGCACCTCGTACTTCGGCTCTTCTTCCATGTTCGAAAGTAAAAAGCGAAATTTAGAGAGTGCAAATGAAATGCCGCACCCTTCCTGTTCTTTCCACCAGGAACAATTAATAAGTAAAGAAATTTATGAATTTCCTAAACAAGTGAACCGTTATCGCAAACGTCAAACGTTTATCAAATTCTTATCAAACAACACAGTCCTTAAACACGAAATATTACAACAGCAATTTATTTTTCCCAAGTTTATTTAAATATTTTATCAACATAAAAAAGTTAGTTCAAATCAATTGATCACATTTGGCAGAATAAAACAGACCCCAAGATTAATTATTAAGTTTTTGTTGGCAAATGAAATTCATCGTGTAATTGCAGGGCTCGATATTCAACTTATTGATGCCGCGCGGAGTGTAGAAATAAACGCATCCAGCATTAAAATTAGGCTTATCCTCTAACAAAGAGCTGTTTCTCAATAACTCGGTGCCGTCGTTCCACCAAATCTTCCCTCCACTGCTTTTCGCCGACAGCCACCAGTATGCGTGCTTTTCTGCAAAAATAAAACCGATAAAACCAAAACCCAAGAATAAATTTGCTGGACCGTGCGAAATTGAGTTTGCGCATTGCCACACGGCGTCCAGCTCAACGTGGTCCCTGATTGTGGCCAGGTCGAGGCCCCTCTTGTGGCACGTTTCGTTCGCTGAAGCCCAATTCACCTGCAGAAAATAATTAGACGAAAAAAAAAACACTAGTGACTCGACTTCTCACATTAGATTTATTCGAAAAGAAATATTTTTTCCCATTTAGTTCAATCAGATTCTTAGATTCTGAAATCGTCTCTTGGTTAAAATTTCTTTTTATCAAACAAATAAATACAAAACTTGCCAGCAAGATAGCAGTCAAGCTGCAAATCATCTACCTGTGGAATAAAACATTGAATTTTTGAATGATGCATTTGGGGGAGAGAATGTCCGGTGATGAATTAATAAACATTATTTGAAACTAAAACAGTCATAATCTTATTAATTAAATGTGTTTTTCTCACCTGCGGTTCCACACGTTCATCAGTGTAGGTCACGTAGGAGGAATGAACTGGATCTTGCAACAGTGGAACAGATTGCTGGAACGATTTGTTGGTATAAATTTCCAGGAGAAGATTGAAATTTTCTTACGTTGGCGATGAGGACGTGGACGAGCAGGGCGACACCGATCAAGGCCAAGAGGACGCACAAGAGCAGGGCGGCGATCGCGCCTTTCAGGGCTCGTCTCCCCAAATTGACGTTTCGCGACACCCTCGTCGGCAACGCGAATCGAAACGGCACCACGTAATCCTCCACTAGCGTCCCCATTCCAAGTGAAACGCTTCACTTGCATATTCGATCACAACTTTACTTGCTTCCGACTTCAAATTCTTATAAAAAGTAATCAAAGAACCTCAAAATCGGCAAAAAATAAAAAATAAAACAATTGTTTCAGCTCAACCAAATTCAAGGAAGTAAGATTGTTATAGCTAGTGAGCCAAAAATAAATCATGTTGTGAATGTTGTATAAGCTGCTTTTCCTTTTGTGCATGGAATAAGTACAACAATTAAAAAAAGTCTTCATTACATGGAACATTATAAATTTTCTCCAAAAACTATATGATTATAAAAGTTGAATAAAATATATCGAATTATGCAACAAAAAAGTTGAAAAATGTCATTCAAGAAGAATTAAATTCAGGATTTTAAAACAAACAAATTTCAAATTGATTGAAACTCAAATTAAATAAATCATAATTTAATTCTGTGCAAAAAATGAATGGAGATAAATATTGACCACACTCCTCATATTTCACGTTTAATTAAATTAAACCTGTGAGAAATTTTCAAAAAATTATTTTAAAAAAAATTTCCATCCGTTTTGAGCAAACAATATTTTTTTTTTTTAGTAAAAACGCGCGCAACGGAAAAGAGGCACTCAAGGGCGCATGTGTTTCTTGTTTTCTTTGTTTTTGGAGGAGAATAAAAAAGGGTTGGTGCGGATATTGAATAGCGGCGCTGATTTCGAGGGTGTAATTAAGCGCGTATTGTGGGTTGCGGCGGGTGCAGAACGTTGAGAGCAACAACAACAACAACGGCCGCCGCTCTTGGAGCGAAGAGGTTGTCGAGGAGCGGAGGCGTAATTGCGACTTGTTTGCCGCGCCGAGAAAAGCAAAAGTGCGATTCGCGACGTGCGGGGTCGATATCCGGTGGCAGGCACTACCCTCGCTCGCTCCGCCCCGGCCAATCGCTTATGCAACCGGCCGAGCGCACTCTCATTAGTGCACCGTTTCCGGCCCCCGTCTCGCGCGCACCTCCAAAATCAGAAATATTTGTGAGAACAAAAATAATTCAAAGTTTGTCAAAATTTCCATCGATTGACGGCATAAGCAATCTTTCAGGTTTTAACAGGGAAGTTTAACATTAAATGTGCGATTAAATTATTGAATTGATAAAGAAAATAATTAATATTGTTTTTCTCTTTAAAATTCGAGTGAATTTTAAATAATATAAATTGAACCGAAGAACCCAATTTGTCTGAAAAATATTAATTTTAATCCAAATTTTGAGTAATGAAAGTTCATTTAATTTAAAAACCATAACATGATTCATGAATTTTCAATTACAAATAAGAAATTAATTTAAACGATCTCTGTCTCTGAACTAACAGTAAGGGTGGTTTTTGACTTTTGGTTTTGCACTCGCGTGTGCCATCTGCAGCCAAACGACAACACTCGCACGGGGTGCTTTCCCACGCGATCGCGACCTAGGGGTGTCGTGCAGGGGTGCAGCGCCAACCCTTGGCAAACGGTGCAATCACCAACCCCCGGTCGCAACTTTCCCACTCAATTCGATGATAAATTGGTGAAATTGGGGAGAAAAATTTGTAAAGAATCAAACTGGAATGAGATCTTCAAGTGAAAAATCAATTAATTTGCAAAAAAATATATTTCTATGCGAACTGCTTAAAAAAAATGAACATTTACTTCGTTTGAGACACGAATTTTTCAAAAAATAAAAAGTTTCTCGATTTTCATTGTAATTGAAAGGATTGATAGAAAAAAGTCATAAAAAAATTTCTAATGCTTTTGAAGCGAAGGAATCTAGAATTAGAGACGTAAAGTGTAAGTCAAGATAAACGTTGGAAAAGGTTAGCTGATAACTTTCAATAAGCTAAATCATGATCATAGTCATGTTGAGGGTGTTGCCGCTTGTCTTGATTTGTAAGTTTTGAATGGAGAATGAAATTTTTGAAGCGGAAAACCATCAGGATTGTTTTGAAAAAAATGAAGATTTCCAATTAAAAGTTAAATTTGAACATTTTAATTCGTTTTCCGAGCATTGGTTTTCTCGATCAGTGTTTGATTCCACATTAAATTTCTTTTCGATACCACACATAATGCAAATTCCAGTTTAAAACGATGCAAAATTGTAAATAATTCTGTTCAATTATGATTTCGTTTGGAAAAATGTCATCTTTTTATCATTTTGATATAAAATGCCTTACATAGAGAAATTAAATATTTAAGATCTTATTTTTCCATTATTCCTTTCTTAATATCAAAAGCTATGACTTAATTTCTAATTAGATTCGTGAAAAAGGCCTTCATTGACTAAATTGAAATACCAGGGCTCTTTCACGTAAAAAAAGTGATGATAACAAAATAATTAAAATCAACTTTATTGGGACTATATCATTCACAAATGACCGTCTTTTAAGGAAGAAAATGTACTTTTCCTCCCAGTTACTCGCTTCCTTTCATATTTTTGTCCATAATTTATTTCATTTGTCTAAGTTTGAATGTAAAATGTTTGTAATGATTTAAAAATAAATAAATAGGATTTAAAAAACCAATTCTTTTGTCCACAGTATATTAAATTTTAATGGAGCGCGTCGAATCGCGTCGCGCAGTCATTCAATTTGCGAGCGGTGGGTCTGCGTTAAGTGCGGAATTATCTGGATCGAGGGTCTGGTTTCGGTTGTCAAAGCGATCCGCCGGGGGGTAACAATGGCCTTTGATTAAGGGGGTGCGTATATTCATCTATGATGGGCGATTCGTTGCGCTGCAGCGACGGCACGTGCCGAAACGCGTCCGTCACTTCATTGTCATGAAATGCATAACCAGTAGCTGAAGCGGGGCGACGCACACACACAGATCATGTCGCAGATACACACGCAGCACGATAATGATCCCCTCGTGTCGTAAATTAAGGTTATCGCGCCGCCAACAGAGAGATTTGTTGCCGCGCCGAATTTCAATCAAATTCAGTTTCAATAAAGAAAGAGAATTTCGATTATTGAAAGAAAATTTGATTTGTTGCAAAAGAGAGAAGAATTTTATTGGAAAATCCTGTAAAATTTTTTCAAAAAAATTAATTTATAAATTAGTTTTCTGTCAATTATCAGTTTCTAATTTATTTAAATTTTCAATTCATCGGATGGTAATTAATTTTTGTCACAGAAAATGTAACTCGCTCTTTTTTAGTATTACTTTTCACTGATTTTAAATGATAAAGATAAGCAATATTAGCATTTTAAAATAATTTATTTGCAAAAGACTGATAAATCAATTGTTTCTCTTTATTTGACATAAAGTTTGACATTTTGTACTTTATTTTGTTCAACTTTCGTGAGGACAGTCGTCAAACAAGCACGTGTCGTAAAAGTACACGAATGATTTTTTAAACACGAACAAACAGAAGTTGCGTGTTTGGACAAGTGGCGGCGTCGCATCGACGAGTCAAAACAAACAGAGCGTGCGAAATAAAAACGACACGCACAAATCAATTGTTTGTCTTTTTTTACGAGTCCATAATTCGATCGCACGCAACAGCCATTGTTGGATGAAAAATAAAATTTGGCCGGCCAAAAAGAGCAGAGTGGTGTTTTATGTTGGCCTGTGTGATTAATGACGGTCGACACGACGATAAATAAATATTGCGCTCGCGGCGTTAAAAGCTAGGGGAGCCGGGCGGCCGGGCGGGCGGCGATCCGACCATTAGCTCATTATCCGCACCCTGGCCTTTCTCCAAAGCGGCTGCAATTTGCATCTGCAGCCCCTCGCCACCCACCAGACTTCACTCAAATATAAAATATACAACCAGATCATCGTTTGCATTAGTAATTTAAAAAAATAACAATTTATTTTGAAAATTTTCTGAAATTCTGTTTTTCGAAAGATGATAATCATCAATTTCAATTTTTAACTCATTTTGGAATGCAAACTCTTATATTATAAACTTATTCAAATAATATTTGAACAAAAAATAAAATAATTTCAATCTCAACAGTTATTTTAAAACCACTGCTGCTTCAATTGCCTTGAATTTAATTTTTTTTAAATTATAAATTTCAATTTTGAAAAAATTAAGTAAATTTATAAATCTTTAGAGAGTTAGTGGTGGGATCGCGCGGGTTGCCTATCTCTGCGCGATTAGCACACCCCGTAGTCTCTCAGCTAATTGTGTGTCTCGTTAATTGGCTTGGCTGCGGCAGAGAGAATTAAAAGCGCGCACGCCCCCGTTATCTCTGTGTGTGCGGCGGGGGAGGAGCCTCCCCATTGTTGGGCAGAGGGGCTGCTGCTGCGAGACGTGCATCTCTCATTCCAAAACGGAAATTTCAAGATTAGTCATAGGGTGCCTCTGCGAAACTCGCTCTTTCTCCCCCGCACACACTTTCCCAACTCTGCGCGTCGAGTGAGTTACGCACTCTTCGTACTTCTTCTTCTTCTTCTTATTACGATTGTTGTCGCTTTTCTTGCTAATATGCAAAGTTCGGTCCTCGCGTCGGTTGGTTTTGTGCCAGTTATCGCCCACCCACCCACCCACCCACGCACCCTCTCCGCCCGAGGGTGAAATTCAACGCCAGAGCCACGTCGGGAAGTGCAATTTCGGAGGAAAATCCCGACCAGAAAACGATGCGCTTTTCAAACTCTAATCTTTTTGAATACGCCAAAAGTTTCCAAAACTTATTCAATTTATAAATGTTGAAATTATAAGAAATTCCAGATGAGGAATTTAGACGAAAATAATTTATTATTTAGTTTCTTTTTCGCCGGATAAAGTGATTTTCCAACTATATCGTTATTTTTTTACTTATTAAGAGAACCTCAACATCCTGATTTTATTATTGACAAAAAAGTCACCCCAAATAAGTTGATAAAATTAAAGCTCATAAAATAAAAAACCCAAAATTACAAAATGCAAGAAAATTTTAGCACACAAGTTAAAATTTCAGTAATCATAATTGATAATTTGTATTTAAAAATTGTAATTATAAATATTTATATTTTCATAAAAAATTATGCTCTTTTTGTTTTTTTCAACTGTCGTCCCGTTTCTTTTCTGTTGAGAATTGAGAATTATAATCCGGTTGAATGTGAGCTTATTAGCAGTCGAAGAGCGGATTGTAAATTATTTTCGTGTTCAAAGGCTTATTTTTTCCTTCTTCCTTTCTTTCTTTGTCGAGGCCTGGCATTGTGTCGGGATGTAGCAGTTGGTAATTAGCATTGCAGCGCCCGCGGCCCTCGACAACAATGCGCCAGAAAAGAATGAAAACTGGTGCTCGCGTTTTCATCAAATTACACACACACCGTGTTCCGTTTTTCCGATTTTCGCGCATGTTTTGTTGAGGAAAAAAGAGACTCACCGGTTTTGCTGGAGGCTCTGAGGCTGTCGCTGTTGCTGTGCTGGTACGACGTGCCCTTTGTGCTGTTCGAGATTCCTGCAAAATGACGAGAACTATGAATTTCCCACAATTCATGATTTACCATACTTTGTTTTGGAAATTTTTAAGTTCTAACTAATGTAAAGAATAAAAGGGCCCATTTTTTCCAATTTTCCAAATTAACTACTCATTTTCTATTTAAAGATCCTCACCGGTCATTTGTATTGCTCTCTACTCTAAAATATTGCTAAATTTCGAGCATATCTAGTGAAAAAACTAAATTTGAAAATTCCTAACCATTGCGTCTCAATCAAAAGAAAACCTAATACGAGTGATTCGAGCGAAAAACATGTGAGAATTGAGTTGCCAATCAGATTCATCAGTTTGGTCCAAAAACTGCAGCAAAATCAGCGATCGCAGCGCCAATGTGACCAAATCCTGCAGTTTTTGGACAAAACTGATGGATCTGATTTGGCAACTCAATTCTCACGTTTTTCGCGCGAATCGCTCGGATTTAAGTTTTCTTTTGATTGTGACGTAAGGGTTTAGAATTTTCACACAGTGTTTTCTCAAGATATGCTCGGAATTTAGCAATCTTTCAAAATAGAGAGCAATACAAGTGATCGGGGAGGATCTTAAAAAAAAAGAATCTATAGGTACTTTTAAGGCTTCAGACATTTTTTTTTTAATAATCCCTACAAGATCCTGTATTAGAGTTTCGTACAAAATTTGCGCCTGTTGAATTCATTTAATGCCTACATTTATTATTAAATATTTTGTGCATATTGAAAAGTTAAAAAATATGTCAATTAAAATAATCAATATAATTATATTAAAAATTATTTTTTTAAATGCCTTTTCAATGCCTTTCTATTCAAAGGTTGCGCCTCTACCCATCCATGATAGGAAGTTGAATCAAGAACCAAAACTTGATTAACAATAAGAATCTAATCGAACCGACAAGTGGGAAACTAGATTAGTTTATTTCTATATATACAGCTTGAAATGAAAGCAATCCCTGCAATTCCAGAGATGGATTTTATTTGCCAACTCTAACATAGTTAATTATATTCTGGCTGTTTCTTTCCCACTTTGATAAATAGATCAATGCACCTTTTAAAGCATATGAAACATTTATTAAATTTAAATGAACTGAAATTGTTTTATTTACAAATTCAATTCTAAGAGGATTTGATAAGGAAGTTTATGAAGTTTGACGTTTGCGATAACGGTTTATTGATGAGGAAATTCATAAATTTCTTTACTTAGTAATTTTTCCTGGTGGAAAGAACAGGAAGGGTGCGGCATTTCATTTGCACTCTCTAAATTTCGCTTTTTACTTTCGAACATGGAAGAAGAGCCAAAGTACGAGGTGCCTTACGCGGCCACCAATCCCCAACCTTCGGGCACAATCAAGATGCCCAAGAGGTCACAGGTGGAAAAGAAAAGCAAGTTTTCGCGTATTGCGCTGACCACAATTGTTATCCCTTTGGTCCTCTGCGTCATTTTATCCTTCGTCAGTACCTGCTTCCTCATTGTAAAAGTAAGAAAATTAAATTGCGTAAATATAAAGTTGGAAAATTTTAAAAATTCAATTCCACTTCATTCTGAAAATTTTTTTTTACGGATTTATTTAAAAATAATAATTTTTCTTTTCACACGATTTACATTCACACTTTGTAAAAGTAATAACCAATTCAGCCATAATTAATATTCAATTAAAATTTTTACAGTAAATACTAATTCGTGATTATATTATATTATGCTTAAATTGCGAAATTAAATTTTGCAGCTTATAATGAATGACATGAGTGCAATGGAAAATGCCAAGATGAACGCCAGGCTAGACTATTTGACCAAACTCACCGAGCGTCAACAATTGGTCTGAAATACCGATAAAATCATCTCATTTGAAATTCATTCTAATTTTGCAGCTGATTCCTTACAAATTATCGATAAACTGCACTCTTGCTCGTAAGTATGGTAAAGCACATTGCATAGTATTATAAAATTAATTTAAAATGTGCATTTTAAAAATTAGTTGTTCATTATAATCGCCCCTCAAATTATTTTTGATTGATCTTCTTTAACTTGCATGTTTCAGATTCGTACTCGGCAAATTTGACGCAGTTGTCCAATGGAAAAAAATACTTATTCTCGTTTACAAATGAAGTGAGTGATTTGCACTCAGATTGTTTTTATTACTTTCTGAAATTGTTAATTTTCTGCAGGCGGCCTGGGCCGTGGCCAACGAAAACTGCAAGGGGATGGGCCTTCACCTGGCCACCCCCAGGGACCACGACGACCTGATCAAAATCTGGAGAGAAGCAAAGAAAAGAAGCACCAGTAAGAATTTGAATTTGCAAAGATTTTATTCTTAATTACTTCTGAAAATCTGATTTCAGGGTACGGAGACGGAATGTGGCTTTCGGCGAGGAATTATGGAAGTGGAGGAAAGTACGAAGTTCGTTGGCACGACGGCTCAGAGCTGCAGGAAAACAGCACCTTGTGGCGGAACGAAGCTGACAAAAAGAGCTGCGTCTATTTCTACACCTACAAAACCGAAAAATTGAACAGCGCGACGTGCACTAGTGAAACACCTTTTATTTGCGAACTGCCGAGCGAATGTTACTGACAAAATGAGCAAAATCTCTCGGAAAATAAGCTCCATTAATTTATTTTTCCAATCTAAAAAATCTGCAATGAGACTTACTGATAGATTATTCATATTTAAAAAGATCTCTAAATATAATTTGACAAGTAGGTCTTTTAAATTTGTTTTTTATGATGATTATTTGTATATACCATGACTATTTTAAGTGTTTAAAATCCTGTTTAAATTTGAGCTTAAATATCCTTGCACACCAACAATTATTTTTTGTATTCGAGTTAATTAAGGCATTAATTATTTTAATTAAATCTTTGAATGATTTACTAGGATTAGGACCATATTTTGTAAATAAAAAATGCATTAATTTAGTCAAATGTAGGAAACTTGAAATATCTGGAGCATTGAAAACCCTCGTATTTTTTTTTTTTAAATTTCGATCCTATAATTTAAAGAACAATTTAAAAATTTATCTGAAAATCATCCATAGGAAGCAAAAGTGGTTCGCGAATTACAATTTTTCACCAAAATGAAGTTTCATTTCAGCCGAATTAAGTTGGTGAAATAAAATCAGTAGGTTTTGGCCTAAAAATTTATTGCTCAGTGGGTTTAAAGCTCTTGATAAAAATGAAAAAATTTAAAGTCCATTTACTCCCAGGCCTAAAAATTCACTCTTGAAACCTTTTTGGACTCTGTCGTAATCTGTGGGCGCGTTTAGGCTTAAGGGTGGTTTTGGAGGGCGCGGGAGGAAAGCGGCGTCGTCGGCCGGGTGGGTCGATAAGATAGGGCAGCGCGCGCGGTTGGTGCGCTATCCGATCGGAGCCCAGAGGAAGCGGCTGCAGGACTAACGACTGCGGGAGGAGCTCAAACTTCCACACATCCCAAAAGTTCCCGAATCTTGTAAAATATTTCGGTCTTTTTTCCCTTGAACTGAATTTTTTCTGGAATTTACCTGAGGAGGAGGTGGAGGAGGTGGCGGTGTGCGCGTGACTGGATGATTTACTGTCCCTGCTGCCCGGCGAGTCGTGCAGCCCTGAAACAAAAGGACCCCGATTTATTACTCGCTCTGCAAACACCTGTGTATGCGCGCCAGATTAAAAGTGCGAAATTTATATGCCCGGGTGATTTACTGCCTTCATTTTTGCCGCCATTTATTTCACCCTCCCTAACCTGGCTCCGCGCGCTGACACCAGAAATAATTGAATGCGTTTTCAGATAAACTTCATCAAATATATTATGAAACTTTATTCCTTATAATTCAGTGCTTCGTTTCCCATTACAAAACCATTCGGAACTATATCTGAAATGTATACATAAAAATCATTTTGATAAACTGAAAATTAGGGTGAAATTTTGAAATCCACTCCGCTCATTTGTATCGCAATTTATTATGAAAGATGGCAAAATTTCTAGTATATCTTGTGAAAATACTATGTGAAAATTCCAAACCGTTGCGTCTCAATCAAAAGAAAGCCTAAATACGAGTGATTCGCGCGAAAAACATGTGAGAATTTAGTATTTCCAACAATTTGGTCCAAAAACTTCGGGTTTTTGTAACTTGTGGCGCTGCGATCGCTGATTTTTCCATTAATGCCCCACGGCGCTGTACAGAAATCTTGGTAAAATCAGCGATCGCAGCGCCAATGTGACCAAATCCTGCAGTTTTTGGACCAAACTGATGGATCTGATTGACAACTCAATTCTCACGTGTTTTTCGCGCGAATCACTCGTATTAGGTTTTCTTTTCATTGAGACGCAACGATTTGGAATTTTCACATAGTTTTTTTCCCAAGAAAAGCTAGAAATTTAGCAATCTTTCAGAACAAAGAGCAATACAAATGACTGGAGAGAATCTTTAATTCAACGTTGAAAACCTCGTAATTTTTTTCCTTTTTCATATTTTGAGGAAATCTAGCAATTTTTTTTTTAAATCTTGGATTTAAATTATTTCTGCAAACAAATATCATGCTTGATATTTTCGTTATTCTTAACCAACCCTATAGTGTTGGAAAATTGTCATATTTTTAATTTTCAATAAGGTCGCCGGGGAAACATACATTAAAAGAGTTTTCTAAAACTGCTGTCAATTAACTAAGGTAAAATTTTCAAATTTTCTAATGTTTAAAGGACAAAATTTTGATATTTCAGCCAAGTGATTTGCCTAGTCTAACGAATTTATGTATATAAAATATAAATAAATAAAATAGTACTTCCAAAAACTTAATTTGAACAATTTAGACCTGGATTAAAAAAAAGGATAAAAAAAAATTGACTGCAAAATTTTAAGGTTTCCAAACGACAGCGGAATAATTTTGTGTGTGTATGAAATTGGAAAAGTTCTTCAATTTCTTTCCGAATGTTATAAATTTTCTAAAAATCTTTCCAATCTTTTAATAATTTTTTTTATCAGGAACAAAGGAACTGAACTAAAAGATTGACTTCCTTTAATTTGACAGTTCCTTTAAGTGGAAGAAAACGGTTCCTCTGTGGTTGATGGAAGTAAAAAGTAACGAGGCTAATTACATTCGGAACGTTTCGGTTATCGGTGGTGGGCGCGCGCGTCGAGTTTAATTGTCAATAATAACGCGCGCGCGGTATCAGAGCAGCGGAAGTGGCGCCGAGTCGCTCGCTGATGACAGGGAAATGAAGGCCCTTATCTGCACGACTCGCCGTTCCGACGCTGCATCGCACCAATTTTTCACAACCCGCGGAAAAGGAAAATGATCATTGACAAAAAATTTAAACGCTCTGCAAACAAAAATGCTGCTCAAAAAGAGAGACGAGACAGATATGCAAATTGCGCGAATTAAAAATTAATAAAAACACGTCACAACAACAACAGAGTAGAATTTCTTTTAAATTTGTTTCACGGTTGGCAAAATTTTGGAATTAATTTTCCAATTGTTTTGGAAAATCGAAAGTTGAATTGAATTTGCTATTTAAAACATTAATTTTTTCAGATTTATTTTATTTGATTAATTTTTTCACTAATTTATAATATGTGAAACTAACATTGTTTTAGCTTCTTTGTTTTTTATTTTTATGATTATTTTCTAATACGGATAGAATACTTTTCGACTTTGCTGAAAAAAGAATATAATCTGATTATAGAAATAGATTATTACCAAAAAATTTATAAGTTTCAATGTTATTTTTCGCTATAAAAAAATAAAATTAACTATTTTTAAATATACTATATTTTTCCTACCCCTAATTAAAAGATTTTCCGATTCAATTCAATATTTGAAGAATTAATCGAGCACCAAATTGGCTTAGAAGGAAAGTCTGTGTTGAAAGAGATCGCGCGTCGCGATTCGCTGTATCAGATGCGAATCGACGGGGAAAATTGTCGGCAGCGACACGGAAGATTTTAATTAACTGCGCGTGGATAATAATGACGTTACTTTCTGTCTCTCTTTGTGTTCGGCGCACAAAAAGGGATGTCATCCGCCGCACCCCCCGCACCGGAGGAATCGCGAGGGATGCACCCGTGGGAACAAACGGAGCTAGGGGCGCGCATTATTGTGCACTCGACACGCTGCCTGATTTTATTTGCACTCTCTCGAAATAATAATAATGCACCAGCGAATCGATTCGCGACGCAAAACCCTCCGCACCAAGTATAACTGCAGTTTCATTTACTGCTGTGGGAAAATTTTCTCTTTAACAACTATATAAAAAGATGCAAAAAATGGACCAGAGATATGAAATGAAGTCGTTTCTCGTCACATTTCAAAATTAATAATGCACAAAAAAAACATGATTTCAATAAAATTTATGGTAATGAGTTTTTAGCATTAGAGAGTTATTAAATTTGGTCACAAGTACCGAATTTCAAGGAAAAATGTTGAAACAAGATGTCAGCATAAAAAAAAAAAATCAAATTTAAGTCTCTTTTAAATACATTTGAACATTTTTTTCCATCAAATTTGTGTAACATTCAAAGGATTTAAATTTATTCGCTTTTTATGTTGCATTGGCAGAGGTGAGGCTAAATCAGGGCTATTTTATTTCTTATTTTTATTTATCGCCGCGTATGTTCATTGTTTTGCGCGATAAGAAGGTGCACATGGCTTTCTTCGGTTTTTCCTTTCAAATATTCGAAGTACGCCGCGGAATTTCTTTAGCGATCATATGTATTTAAAAATTAGCCAGGAGAGGAAGTTTATGTTGGAATGGACGCTGAGGTGCTTTACTCGGTGCCGCGACGCTCGGTTGCCAAAGAAACTCAAACCTCAAGCGACGAAGGGGTGGCCACGATCAAGTTGCCCATAAGGGTGAAAAAGAAGAAAAGGAAATGGTCGACGGCCACCCTGGCTGTCTCCTTCGCGCTCACTTTTGTCTTTGTTGTTCTCAGCGCCGGCCTGCTCCTCTACATCGACCTCACCAGCAAAGTGAAATCAAATTTTAGTTAGAAATTTCTTTTAAAAATCATTATATTATTCCCGATCGAATTTTTATTAATTAAAAGCCAAAATCGTGATAGAAAAATTACATTCACTACTTTATAAGGGTTTAAAACGGAGGGTTTAACTTACCCCACCAAAATCATTTGATCTGTCAAAATTAATGCCCAGAAGCTTTACTCGAATAATAACTTCAAGAACTTTCTTGTTTGTTACGTGTTTCGCCAATAAAAGATATAAACATATGAAGTTTGCAGTTGTTAGAGGAATTAAAAAAAACTTCATTGATGAAAATTAAATACTGTAAATAATATCATTTCAAATGTTCTATGGACAGGAAAAGATGGAGAAGGTTTGTCTTTAACCTGTTCAAAGTTCAAGTTAATTAATCAGAATTTCCTGAATTTAGAACGAAGTGAGGATCGAGGCATACCAGGAGCAAATCGGGGCGAAAATAGAGTCGGCCAATGAGCGGATTCAACAGGTTTGAACCAATTTTAATGCTTTAAAACTAAATTTAGCAAGGAATTTAATGAAAAGCAAGTTTGTATTTCAAAAGGTTAAGTTTTTAATAAAAGAAAAACGGCGTGTAATATTATTTTTATTGCACTTCTAATCGCTGATTACATTACATAGCTTAACACTGAAATCTCCAGAATTTCTTTACAGTTTTTTTCTACATATTTTTTTTAAATAATTTATTAATTCATGTTTAAAATATGCAATTCATTGTTTTATGTAAAAATTGGCATAGCTAATGACCAATTTGCTTTCAAGTAACTAATAATACTTAATTTCTTTTTCTATGATTGAGCAGCTGGAATATCTGGCCGATTTTGTAGAGCGTTACCATCGCGACCAAGTGAGCATTATTTATTTTTGTCAGATTTGACGAATCTTTAATTGACGAATTTCTCTTTTTGAATAACCAGATCTCCAAATACCAATTTCCAGTCAACTGCACCGTCGCACGTGAGTTTTTAGGCAAATTGAAAATTTGACGTGAACCAAAAACCTGTTCAAAATCAATTGAGTGTCAATAATTTTTGCAGGTTCATACTCTGCAAATTTGACGCTGTTGTCCAATGGGAAAAAATATTACTTTTCTAATCCAACTTCTGTGAGTATTTCCCATCTTTGCTTTTTTGCCCCTCAAAATCGCGATTTTTTGGCAGGCTTCTTGGACTTTAGCCAACGAAAAGTGCAAAGGGATGGGCCTTCACATGGCTACCCTCAGGAATTTCGCCGACCTGAACGCGACCAACGCTGAAGCAAAGAAAAGGGAAACCAGTAAGAAAAAAAACAGGGAAATTCGAAAATTGAATCTTAATTACTTCAACTATAATTCTTTTTAAATCCAACTTTCCTTTTACAAATTCCCAACCTTTTGCACCTTTCCATTTTTAACTTGCAAAGTAAAATTTTATCCAAATTTCACCCTTAAGCGTTTTTTATTTGAAACCCACCATAATTATTTTAACTTAATTTTTTTTTTTAAAGCTGGAACCATGAATTCCTTATTGGTGATTATAACATTTGTTTGAATGAAATTTTGCTTTCCTTGAAAATTAACAATGAAATTTTCGCTTGTGATAATTATGTCTTTAAAATTGTGTCTTTCCTTCAGAGTGCAATTGGTGGTTGTCGGCGAGGGAGGACGGAGAGGTCGTGCGTTGGCACGACGGCACAGCGTTGGACGCAAGCAACACCATGTGGACGGCAGACGCCAAGAAAAAGAACTGCGTCTACTTCTGGTCTGGCGACTCCCGTCAGTTGAACGGCTTCGACTGCTCTAATAATTTCTATTTCATCTGCGAGCTGCCCACAGCATGTTACTGACCCGCCATTTTTCAGTCCAATTCACTTAACATTCGTATCTTGTTGATTCAATAATACTTTAATATGTCATGAAAAAACCTTTTATCAATTTTATTCAAGCTTTCAAATTATCCTTGAAGCTTGAATAGAACAAAACTTAGTCAACCGAGGCTCACTGCGGCGGATGGGGTCTTTTTGGCCTCGGAAGTTTTAGCAAAATTTTTGCTAGTGGTGGTGCCGTTTTGTCCAACAATTTCAGTTTTTTTTCCAAATAAATGTTTTCAACAATTTGTATGTTAAACAATGTGATGTAACAATTTGGACAAATAAACAACAATAATATAATAATCATTAATTTCATGTCGTTGTTTCTTCACCCCAATGTTTACATTCATCCTTTGTCCTTTTAAGAAATATATTTTTTTAATTATTTTCTTTTTCTAGCACAATTGAATGAAATTATAAAGGAGATCAAACATTTATTGACTCATTCATTGTCCCCCTTTTTTTAAATAGTAGTTATTTTGATTAATATTTTATCAAGCGTTTTTTTATTTTTGCGTAATTAATAAAACTGAACTTTTCTTAACTAAATTGGAACTTACGTTGAAATAATATGTACTGACTTTGGAATAATAAAAAGTTGTAAAAGTTGACTTGAAAAATTCTTTAACACGAACTTGTTAACATTTAAATTTTACGTGTTTAAAAGTCACCGATTTGAGGCTCACTTGGGTGATTTAATTAATTGTATCACGCTTTGCTTTACAGTTTGATAAAGTTTGTCGTTTTAATTTGTGATAAGGGTGTACCAGTTTGCATGTTGATTTGAAATCAATTTTAACAGTAAAGCTGAGCGCTATAATTTATTTCTAACGCTAATCTGGTAAAACCCAACAGAAGTGCAGTGTTGAATTCCCACTTTTCAACAATAATTCTGAGCCATAAAAAGAGGGAGGCGATTTTTTCTTTTTTCTAGTCAAAACAATAATTGTTGAGCCCAATTCTAATAATTTCATAAAATTCATGGTTTCCTTCATAACAAAGTTTTCAAAGCAATATTTTTGCATAAAACATTTACATGATGCGGAAGTTTGTTAAAGATCCTGCTCCAATTAAGACGTTCATTTGCAATTGGAATTTGTAAGATTAGACGAATTTATTAATTTATGACGTAAACTTGCAATTTAGAATGAGTGCTCAAAAGTGGCAGATTTGATTATTTTTTAAAACGCTGTGCTCTAGGATTTGATAAACTTTGTCGCTGTGTTTCATGATAAGAGTGATTGTGTCCTGGTATATTTATTGATTGGTAATCAAATTCAATCGATACTTATGAGCTTGAATTTTATTCCTGGTCTTGGGAAAAGCCGACGGAAGGGAGCGGCGTTCAGAGGCAGTTTAAAAGCGCGGCCGTTTTTTTCCTGGACTCGCTTTGGACCAAATCACGAACATGGAAGCAGAGGTCATTTACGATGACGTCATGCCCGGTCCGTCCAACGCCGAGGACCGTGACGAAGGGAAGGTCACGATCAGGTTGCCCACGAGGGTGAAAAAGAAAAGGGAGAGGAAACAACAGGGGTGTTCGACCGCAGCCCTGACGGTGGCTTTCGCCCTCAGCATCGTCTTTGCTATTTTCAGCACCAGTTTGCTCAACCACTTCCTCCTTTCAACCAAGGTTAGCTAATCAAATTTAAATTTCGCATTTACATATTAAAATATAGAATCCGCTTTATGAGTTAAAAAAATTCAATTTTTAGTAGCGTTAGCTATTTTTCACCTTTTTAATATTTTTTTATTGAACTTTGCGCTGGGAATTAGTGTTTTATTGTGGAATTGAGATTATAAATGTCCAATGAAAATGGAGTAATTACAGATGTGCAATGGACAGGAGAAGATTTCTGCGTTCATAGCTGAAGCAATGCAAATGCAGTTTTTCAATTTAAGTGGTCAGGTGAGAAACTGACTCAATATTTTATTTCTTTCAAAATGAATTAAAATTTCTGCCTTGGATTCAGAATGAAGCGCTGTATAATGAAATGCAGGATAAAATCAACTCAGCTAACAAGCGCCTTGAACAGGTTTGTATACCACTTATTAAAAATTTTTAACAAAACGAATAAGAAATAAATAATATTTATTATCTGTAGTATGTAAAAAGTTCTGGGTATGAAACTGACTCAATATTTTATTTCTTTCAAAACGAATTAAAATTTCTGCTGTGGATTCAGAATCAAGCTCTGGATAATGAAATGCAGGATAAAATCAACTCGGCTAACAAGCGCCTTGAACAGGTTTGTATAATATGCCACTTATTAAAATTTGTTAACAAAACGAATAAGGAATAAATAATATTTATTATCTGTAGTATGTAAAAAGTTCTGGGTATGAATATACAATGACATAGTATTAGTGCAAAAGTTAAAAAAAACGTATGAATATAATTGAAGCATAATAAAAAGGAACAAAGATTACCCTGCATATTTCATGATTTTCTTTAACTTTAATCAAAAGTACAAGTATGAATAAGAGATTTTCTCTCAACGGGTTCATTTTTCTGTAATTTAAATTACACTTAACACTTACAAAAAAAATAAAAAAAATATATTATTTTTAATTTTCTTTTATAAAAATGTTTGCTTTATAAATCTAATTTGTGTCAATATGATGAAAATTTCAAAAATTTGCAGCATGCCTATTTCTTTTGCAGAACCTATAAAAAAAATTGCATCAGGCCAATGAAGTTTTGGTTGGATACAAATTAGACACTTTGATAATAGTAAAAATTTCAAGATTGAAAGTATTTAAAAACATTTTGTGTTTGAAATATGTGGAAAGCGTTAGTGCTAGGATTAATTAATGGTATTTACTTTATTCTATGTGATGAAAACAAATGTGGACGAACAGCTGGAATTTGTGGCCAGAGTTTTAGTTCACAACCATCACCTGAATGTAAGAATTTTTTATGCATAAATCTTTGAAATCTCATTAAATTTCTTATTTCCAATCCAGATCTCCGAATTCCTGACTCCAATAAATTGCACCCTCGCACGTAAGTATCAGGAAGCATTTAAAATAAAATGAAAATTTTCGGCAAAAATTATTTACATAAGATTAATCTAAAACAATTCCAGGTTCCCATTCAGCTAATTTAGCGCGGTTGTCCAACGGCAAGAAATACTACTTTTCTAATCCTTATACAGTAATTTTTACTTTCTTTGCTTGCATTTTTATCTGAAATCGCAAATTTTTCTCTGCAGTGTAACTGGACTGAGGCCAACGAGAGGTGCAAGAGGATGGGTCTGCACCTGGCCACCCTCAAGGATGAAGCCGACCTGAACGCGACCTGGACAGAAGCAAAGAAAAGGGAGACAGAAGCAAAGAAATGGGCTTTTGGTAAGAAATAAAGGGTACTTTGAACTGAATCTGAATTTGCAGATTCAATTCTTATTTTGAGACGACCTTCTGAAAATCAATCTAATTTTAGGGGACTGGAATTTGTCTGCAAAGAATTACGGAACCGGAGAAAAATCCGACTATCGGTGGCACGACGGGTCAGAGCTGCCACAAAACAGCACCTTGTGGAGGGACGATGCTAACAAAATTAAGAGCTGCGCTTATTTCTACACTGGAAACACTGTAAAATTGAGTGGAGGGACTTGCAGTCTTAAGAAGTATTTTATTTGTGAGCTGCCAAGCATATGTTACTGAGCAGCCATTTGTTTCTTCAAGTTAGCTCTTCAGAGATAAAGGTCATGTAATCGCAAAATATTATTTAAAAACCAAAAATATCTATCAAAATATTGCGCTATGTACATATTTGTTAAATTTTAAATTTATTATTATGTATTGTTTTAAGTTTCTGTATAGGTTCTTGAAGTTGTTGTTGTGGAACCTTTTGGCACTCGAGGTGGTCATATTTGTTGAAATAAAATCCGGCTTCCTCGGTGGAGATCAAGGTCCGCTCGTCAGAAAATTTCGATTGTTGTCGAGCTCTCTGATTGGGTACAACTTTTCTTGTACCCAATCAGAGAGCTCAAACAACAATCAAATCATTTTTCATTGTTGCTGATGCGCGGACCTTGGTGGAGATGAGCAACTTTATTGTTTCTGCATGGTACAGAAAATCCCTGCTCTACTAGTTTCGGTTGCGGGTTGCAACCCTAATTCATGAGCTGTTAACAATGAAATAAGCTGACATTTAACCAATTTTAATTACATTTTGAAAAATTAACATACAAATTATATTCAAAAAAAATTTAAAAAATTAAATTACAATATTTTTCTCCTTAATTTTAAAATACAAAATATTTGAATTAATTTAATTTTAAGAAAAAAATTTCCAAGCAAATTCAACAAAACACAAAATTGTGAAATGTGTGAAAAAGTGCGTACCTCTTTTCTCGTCGGAAGACGAAACGAAACTGATCAGCCGTGACGAGTGCGAACGACGCGCGCGCCGGGTGCAATAAAACCAATAATGCACCATCAATGAACACGCCGCCGCCACCAACGCGCGCGCCCAGGTATAACCTCCGAACGCGAAAATAAAACATGCAAGCCAGGTAGAAATTTCACCCTCCTCCCCCTGAATAATAAAGCAAACCATTCCATTTTTAAATCCCCAAATCAGTTTCGTTTCGTCTTCGGACTAGAAAAGAGGTAAGCACTTTTTCACACATTTCACACAATTTTGTGTTTTGTTGAATTTGCTTGGAAATTTTATTCTTAAAATTAAATTAATTCAAATATTTTGTATTTTAAAATCAAGGAGAAAAATATTGTAATTTAATTTTTAAAATTTTTTTTGAATATAATTTGCATGTTAATTTTTCAAAAAGTAATTAAAATTGGTTAAATGTCAGCTTATTTCATTGTTAACAGCTCATGAATTAGGGTTGCAACCCGCAACCGAAACTAGTAGAGCAGGGATTTTCTGTACCATGCAGAAACAATAAAGTTGCTCATCTCCACCGAGGAAGCCGGATTTTATTTCAACATGTATTGTTTTATTTTTACAAATCAAGTCGAGGAGAAGGACAAAAATATTCATCATTATTTAAGAACTATTATAGGATGAACAATTACACATATCTTTGTTATGCTTTTATCTGCTTTATGATAACTTATTTTTGCATTTTAATATACTTATATAATGTTTTAAAAGAATAAAATCCTGCTTGGAATTCAATCATGTAACGTTAAACTCATATATGTCATGACAGCCGTTGCAAGACCAAATAATTTGTATGTTTGAGTTCAGGAATGAATTACTTTAAATTATCATTTGATAAATGTTTGCTTCTTGAAACTGTTATAAAAGAGGATTCATTAAAAACAATTTAAAATGAAACGCCCTACAAAGAATATTATCCATATTATCAAACGTTATAATTAAAGTTTAAAATAATTATTTCATTCCTTCATTTTCTATCTTATTTTAACTCTTGTAGCTCTTTGAACGATACAAGATTTTTTTAAATGTCGGAAAAAAATTGTATGTAAAAAAATGGTTCCATTTAAACTATTTCTTTTTAATTTGCATTCCTGATTTTTGTATTATTAAAATGGATATTTCACAAAACCAATTTCATTTCATTTCCTCCAAACAAGTCGCATCGGTGTAGTATGAGCTTTATTTAAAAATCTCAAAAATCTATTAGAAAGTGTGAAATTGATTTTTTAATTAACTGTCAAAAGTAAACCTTAATTTGAAATAAAACTAAAATGGAATCGGGCAAAGAGACTTGTTTTGTTTCGCTTATGAAAAAGGCGCCCTTGTTGAAATTCCCGGCGTCGCGAGACTATAACATAGGGAGCGAGTGTGAAAATCAAAGTGGAGAAATGATTAAGCATCGACGGGCGTGCGCAGCCATTTTTGGCCATTATCGTGTGCGAGTTTCTTTACGAGCTGGCGGGCGGGCGGGCGGGCGCATTAAGAGCAAAGTGTGCGTTTCGCGCAAAAAGATGGACGACGTGCAAAGAAAGATATACCCCCTGCCAGGGATAAGGGCTAACAATGCACGCACGCAGGGGTGAGTGGAGCATCTCTCGTGGCAAGTGCACAATCGGAGGCCGCGGTCGCCATGACAACCGCAGGAAGTCGCCGAAGGAGCCGAAAATGCTTCCATCCTCGTCCCCCGCGCGCAAGAAAAAGAGGTGAAAATTGACGCGCTTTGATTTATGCTCGCCTGCAGTTTTCATTGTTATTTTACATAATAAATGCAGCTTTCTCCTCTCTGACGGACGAAGTAATTGATCAATTTAATTTTTCCCAGGAAGTTTCATTTTAAAGCCTTTCAATTGTTAAAGATATAAAAATTAAACCTTTCCATATTTTCTTCAAATTTATCATTTTCCCTTTCTTTAAGTTTGCCAACCACTACAATTTTTACGTATTATGTCTTAAGATTTTATCTGCAAAAATAAAAATTAAAAAATTAAAAAATAATCCATTTTTAATTTGACAAATTCCAAATATTTTGAAAATTAAAATTTGCAATAATTGAACATGTCAGCAAAATTCTTAATATAAAAGTTTCTATTTTGAACTCTCTCATCTTTTCTGGATTGAATTATGATAAAAAAGGTATTTTGAGTAAAAATTTTGAAACTGACATTGTTGATGTTGCCAGATTTGTGTTACGTCAAAATTCCAAAACTTATTTAAATTTCTCACTAATAACATCAGTTTTTTTACGTTTTTAAGTATCCTTCAAACCTGAAATATTCAGCAACTTTTATATATAAAAAAAAATACATATTTTGATGGCACACAATTTTTACTTGATATGATTGAAGCAATTGAAAGTTTTTAAAAATAATAATATTTTTCCGATCATTAAGCGATTCTGAGCGCGATTTTGAAGGAAAAACCGAATTGGCGCGGCTCTGTGTCATTATAACGCGTGATTGGTGGCGGGAAAAGCTGAAAGCGGCGTTTTAATGATTTTCGCGAGCGCAAAACAGGAAGCGCCGGCGGCGGCTCCTCGTTTTTTTTCCAATCCCCTTCTCTCCTAGCTCTTTTGCTCTCTCGTCGCGCGATGGAAAATAAAAATTATACATTCTCGTCGGCTACAAATCATTACGAAAGCGGTCTTAATTAACACGCGCAGCAAAAAAATTACACGCGTTCAGCTTTAGCGCTTTTTCGAAATTCTCATTAGCGCGCGCACATTGTTCTTTTTTTATGGGGAAAAAAATAGCGCGGGGGATTTTTTCCTCTTGTGTGTTACGCCACTTAAGTGCGCACGCCGAGCAAACACTAAAAAAGAACGATTGTTCCGAGCTAATTAAAACAAAACCAGATTACGTACGCTTTTTTTCCACTCTTCCGAGAAAAAAAAACGGGATTGTGTTTTTTTTGCGTTCATTGTCGAGCAAATCGAGAGGGAAAAACACTTGAGAGTTTCACATAAAAGAGTAGAAAATTATTCGTTTTGTGTACGATTAAAGAAACTCGTCAATTCATATGTTATAATTCCCATTATTTCCACTAACATTGAAATAAAATTACTCTAGTATTTTATTTACTCACCAGAATGTCTTCTAGTTTTGATAAAACTTCCCAACACGCGTTGCTTCGTCCAGATTTGGACACTTTTGAAATTTTGTAAGGAATCACAAGACAACAACCTTCTTGTTTACAATCCGCAAATGACTGCCGATCAAACACGTGGGTCAAAAGTCTGCCCCTCAAGAGAGTGGAGTGTTTACAAAGGAGTTTGGAAACGATCACCTCGATTGATGGAAATTTGGTAATAAAAATTGGAAAATGACATCATCAGTCACTTTCATTAAATTAAACAATTTAGTTTTTGCAGTAAATATCAAAATTGGAACAAGAAATTCGACGAAACTATCGATGTGTGGCGAATCCTTGATTAACCCCGCAGAAGGTTCCAGCTGATTTTGCGTTTCGAATCAGGTCGAATGTAAACAAAACGTGGAAGGTGAATTGTGAATTAGTTTTCGTTGGTGATTCGATTCGTGATAATTTGTGTGGTTTATGTGAAGTGTTGTGTTTTGAAATGAAGAGAGAATGAAGTCAATGAAGGTAAGTACATAAATCTGATTAACAAATTGTTCAAGACGAAATTAAATTTAACAATAATCATAATAATTAATGTTTTTCCTTTCTTTTCATTTCAGAAGTTTATCCAAGGCGTTCATGATCGAATAGCAGATCGACAACAGTCAACAAGGTAAAGTACTTCTTTCTTAAATGTTTTAAAGAGACTCTTCAGCAAATATCGTTAATTATTGTTTTTCTGGAATCCGAAATGATATTGCAAAGGTTTAAGGGTGAAATCGCAATCGTAGGGGTTGAAACAGGGCTAATGACATATTCCCGCCAAGAAAATTGAAAGTTCTTCTAAAGATCTATTGAAGTACTTGATTATTTCGAAGCATTCTACGATTTTGTCCTTCAAATTCGTGTTTTTGGCGGGAAAACTTGAATATCCAATGAACCATGTCAAAACTGAGTCTGCGTAATCTCGTAGGACTGGATTTCAGTAAAAAAATTGTATTTCTGCAGATTCAAGATGAAAAGCATTTTTTAAGTAGACTTTTATTTAGTCACTTTTGCTTCAAAGTGAATTAAATATCTTCCGGGGTGGAAATTGTTAAGATTTTTTTGTCTGAAAAACAAAAATTTGGACTGACCTGAGTGAGTCCTCTTGTGTTCGTCGTCGTGGAGGCGCGCGTGTCCGTCGCGTGCGAAGGAGGAGAGGGGGGCGGCGAGGTCGCCGAACAGGTAGTTGGCGGCGGCGCCGTTGACCGGGGGGACGACGGCGGCGCCGATTGCGGCGCCGACGGGGCTCTGCAGGGCGGCCTTGGCCTTTTCGACAGACTGCTTGAGCTGCTCGAAGGTGGAAGTGGTGCCGGGCAGGCCGAAGCGGTACGCGGCGCACCCTGACGCCCAGTCGGCGCCGCCCGGCGCCGACGCCACGCCGCCGCCCATCGAACCGCACTCGGCCTCCGTCTTTATGTTGAGCTGCGCCGCCGCCGCCGCCGACGCCACGCGCTTCAGGTCCAGCGCGCTCTGGTACGAACAAGAACTTTCGTACATGCTCAGCATTTCTCCTGCGAAAGTAAAAAAAATTTCACAAATTACAATTAAAATTTAATTTTTCTCTCACAAGTCAATCCAAGCAAAAAATAAATTCGTGATAAATCAATATATATTATGTAATAAAATTTAATTTTTTTTGCATTTATAAATTTTCCTCTCTTAAAAACTGACAGATATAAGGAAGTAAAAATTAAATTTCGCCCTATTTTTCAATTAAGGAAAGTAGTCGGTTTTACTGGAAAAATTTAAGTTTTGTAAACAAGTTGGTTTTTGGCTCAAAATGTAGTTTGTGTTTCTAATCTTATTTGAAAAACTGCAAATATGTTGTAAGTTTTCAACGTTTGAAGCCTAAATACAAGAAAAGTGTTATGTTGAGGGTTGTTTTTATTAAAATTTTTAATTTTGCCAGAAAAAATTCATATTTACAAAAAGCATAAGTAGAGTCAATAAGACTTAATTTAAGGCAAAAAGAAAGTATTTGTACCTTATTTAAACAAAAAATTAACCTCGCAGAGACAATTTTTCATGATAATTTCGAATTAAACTTAGTTTCAGATAAGTAGGTTGTTAAAGGATTTAATTTTTATCGCATTAGAGAATTTTAAACTGAAATTTTCATAAATAAATTAGCCAATTTGATATCTCCAGAACAATTCATATCGAAAGGGAAGAGAAAGGTACAAATAAATAGTTTTTCTCTTCTGAATTTTTACTTACAAAATGAACTGATATTGAAAGCTTCCCAATTTTTTTTTAATCGTTATTAAATCCAGTAAAAATTTTTGAAACAAATTTTATCAGAAAATCTTTCGTATTGCAATTAAACGCGTGTTTTATTGCTCCGAGTTTATAAATTGTAATTTGGCCGATTGGCGCGAATTTTATTTCAGCACTCTGGTTTAATTGATTTAATAAATCTCGAGCCGTAAACGCGCGTCAGTGAGCGATAAAACGGGCAGGCCCATTTCGGACTATCTCTCTCTTTTGGTGCGCTTCCGTGTGCTGACCTTGCGATAAAGCGTGAAATACTGCTGGCCCTGGGTCAAATGTGGGCGCGGAAGTGGAAAAATGCGGAGAAACTGCCGCGATCGCAATCTGCGGCGCACTTCATTCCGAATGAAAATTATATCTCGAAAAGCCATAAAGCGAATTTTCATTTGGCAATTCTGCAGCCCCGTTATTAGCGAGCGCGACGGAAATGTTTTTTATTGACTCTCAAATGCCGACAAAACAAATTACCCGCAATTATTGTTATGCACATCCAATTGGTGCCATTTAAGGTAAAAACTTTAAATTTGTTTGTAATAAAAAATAAGGCAAAAATTAAAAAAAAAAAACAGCCTTGATTTCAAAGAAAAAATCCGAGTATTTGCTAAAAAATCTTCAATTATAATTTTTTTTTTTTTTAATATTTCCTTTTATTTTCAAGAAAAAAAGGCACCATTTAAAGTCATTTTTAGTAAAAGATGTGGAAAATCAGCTTTTGTGACGAGTTATTCTCTAATACCGGAAATTTTAATTGATTTTACTTGAAATCTTAAAATCAAATTTTTTAAGTGTGATGGAAATTTTATCAACAACTATTTTTAGCAGTTAAAATTTAAGTAAAATAAAATTCTGCTAGAATTATTAACAATTTATTAACAAAGAAGGCCTGAAGATATTCCGGAAGTGCAACAAAGGCAAAAAGAAAAGATTAATTTGAATCAAAATTACGTAAACTGCCAAGATCGTTTGTCAGATAATATACTTCGGAGCGAGAATTAAACTAGTGAAAAAGACGTTTCTTTGACCGTCAGTAAATTTATTAAAGGAGTTGATATAAAATATTCGCAGTGCGTAAAAGTGGACGTAAAAGAGCAGAAGAAATTCCGGCGGTCGTAAAATTATATTGTTTGTTGCGACTCGGGCGTGCTATGCAAATAAAGCGGACATGCGACCTTGGCCGCCGGTCGACGGACACGCATACTAATCATCAGGTTGGACAAACACTCCACGTCACTCACAAAAATCAACAAAACCGAGAGGAGAGGGTGGGATTTGGCGCCTGCAGGAATCGAAAGTAGGCAACCCGCTCGGTTCCCACGCTGAACAAAAAGCATAACTTTTCACTTGAAAAGAAAAAAAAGTAAGACGAAAAATACAAAATAGAAGAATGGCTCGAAATGGATTTGGTCATTTTGTGGTCATTTTTGCTTCAGTCTAAGAAAAAGATAATGAAAATTCTATACAGATTTGATCTTGACAAATCAACCAACTTAATGAATAAATGAAAAGAACCTAAAACAATCAACGTTCTTATAGCGTTTCTTTGGTATTGAATCTTTAGAGAGAGGATTTTTTTTTTATTTTGCTGCTTTATTCAAAAGATTAAAACCCCACTGGATTTTTAAAAAGAGTCTCCTTTTTCCAAGGAAGCCGACCTTTAAGTCGAAAATAAGTATTAAATAAAGATTTATAAATTAATATTTACCAAATAATCATTATTTAATAGTTTGAAAAAGTATTATAAATTTCATTTTTGCACTAATTTTGGCACTCATATTCAAATAAATCCAGGCAATGTGATACTTTTAAGTTATATGTAAATTATAAAAATGGGAAAAATTGTATCAAAACTTCAGTCACTGACGACAAACAATGATAACATTTAAAATTCATTTAAAAATTGCTTATATTTCCAATAGTAAATAATGCATAAGGTCTTCTTCTCAAATATTTTTAATCATCATAATATAACAATAATTTCCTGAATTACCGTAGAGAGTGAAGAAAAATCAAATCAAAGACAGCTCTTTTATCTTTTTTATTATAATCAAAGTAAAAATTTGTCAACATTTCCGACGATTGTGGACAAAAGCAAGTATTTATGAAAATAGTGGATGGATTAAGAAAGGAAACGGAGCGAGATTGATTTTGATTTGTCTCACCTTGGTCGCTGAGTGAATGGTCGGTCCTGTTGCTGTTGGCGGCAGCGAAAAAGAGTGCGGATTTCCTCGGCTTCCTTCCTGACTTCTGCGTGCGTCCTCGCGCGTCCGTCGAGCGGCGACCACACGGCGGAAGAGAGCGTCCGACACGGAGGAGTGGGCGTCGAGAGAGACAACAGGCCTTACGTCAATCACCGAAGAGACTCGCTCGGAAGTCGGTTTGGCCCGCGGCCGCGGCCGCGAAAACGAACGCAGCCAATAAGCAGAAATGACGAATTAACGCGGCGCCTCGCGAGCGAATAGGGGTGCTGGCGAGGGTGGCGCACGGACGCTTTTCGCGTGCGCCGCCCTCCGCCATATCCGACGACCCCATTGGGCACGTGGGCGGCCCCCTGCCGTCCGGCCCCGGCGCATGCCCCGCCGGAAAACGCCACGGAAAATCAACACTTGGCGCCGCCGAGATTATCGCTTTTCCTCCCTCATTTTCCTCCTTCTTCTTCCTCCTCCGCGCGGTCTCATCCCCTTTCTTTTCACGCCGAAACTTGCTCCTTAACTATATATGCCATGCATTTTTCAAAAATTGCGTTTGATTCGGATTAGAAAACCTATTGTGTTAATTTTAATCAAATCTTTTATTGTTAAAAATTTTGAGTACATTTATCAGTGCAACTCAAACAAAAGCGGTCTTCATTTGAAAATTTCTAATGTGAATTTTGACAAATTTTGAAATCAATTAATTATTAATTAAGGAGTAGCTGCTGCTATAAAAACTGCCCAATTGATTTTGATGGTAATTTTCTATGCATTGTAAATTTCAATTCGACCGCCGGAGATGTGAGAAGAAAAATTGAAATCAATTGGAGAACCGAATTTTGGAGAATTATCATTGTTTCTTTTAGAAATTTCCAAAAATAAGTTATTCTCAAAATTTATCTGATGAAAATTTATATAAATTTCGTCAAATCAAGCTATTATCATTAAAATCAAGTCAACAAAATGAAACAATTCAAACATCAAAATTGACATTGATCTTATGGGAAATGGTGAAAATGAGTAAATATTTTCAGTTCCTCGTTAATTTCACTTTTTATTAGGTAATTCATCGATGTAAATAATTTGTAAATTATATGCAGACAGTTTTAAATTTCATTCCTTTGGAAAAATTCTTTTACATAATTCAAGACAAAAACATTTCTTGTTTACTATAGATTGAGCCAAATTGCATGATAAGTTATCATTTATTCGATTTATTCACTTCAAATTCACCCAATGTATCAAATTTTTCCCCTGTTTTTAACACTTAAAAAATTTAAGGCGTACAATTAAAAAAACGGGTTTTTAATAACCCTTATTGAAATGCAAAACAATAAACAGGAAATTGAGAGATAAGATCTGAATATCGTCCGGAGGGACGAATCATAAAAAAATTGCCATTAAACAGGGCTGCTGCTGTCAGGGGGTTGGTAATTAAGGGCCGATATAAAATTTCAATCGCGCACGCGAAAGAGAGCGTTTCGATTTACGAGAGCTGCAGCAGAATTGCAAATCGCGTCATAAATATGTATGAATATGCAAATGCGTTATTAACGGGCGCGATGCTTATCTTGCGTTGTAATATGTAGCACAAGGATTCTGTATCATGGTGTGTGTTATTATACGCGAGTGAATAAATAATTTAGTGATGTTCACAACTCATGCAATACAACCTCAAGAGTACATGACCGGATGAACAACAAGAGAAAGAAAAAACGTAATAAAATAGAAAGAGAGAGAGAGAGAGGATTTATTTCGGAGCTGAGAGACTCGCCGCGCGCGCATTAGCATAGTAATATCTTGGCAAACTTCAAGTCTCGTAACGCCCAATGGCCGCAATTTGCACAAAAAGAAGGGAAAAAGCAGGGTGGAAAAGTATTCCGAAGAGTCAACAATCTCCGTGAACTTTGCAATCATTATATGTTATGAACCAAAAGAATAGGTTGAAGTTTTTAATTATTTCAAAAGGAGAATTAAGCGGTTCATTTAAATTTTTGATAAAAATGAACTTCAATGAAAATTTCCTCGTACAGTTTGGATGACTTTAAAAGTAAAAAATGTCCCAAACATTTCCTCTGAAACCAGATTTTCACTTTTATAGTGTTTAATTTTTAACTTAATTGATAAATTGTAATACCTGAAAATTAAATAAAAAACGAACTCTTCTTTAAAAATGATTTCAATCTTTGAAATCAAGACGTGCCTGGAAAATTAATATTCATCAGTTTTGATGCTTTAAAAGTAAGAAAACGTTGAAAGTTTTTACTTTATGTTAGGAACATTGATTTACTAGAATTTAAATTATCAGGTCCATGATTAGGAACAAAGAAATATTCGATTCACATTTTGAGAACAAATATATTCATTTAAATTTGGTTTCAAAATCATAGGGATATCATCGGAAATGAGTGGAAATTTCTTTTCTTTGTCTCTCATAAAAAAATTTGGTTCGTTTTGATTTGCTTTTAAGAGGGAGCAATTGGGTGGCGCAGGTGTGAACGACGGGTCGTTTTTTTAATCAAGCAAATCGGCGGCATCGCGTGTCCCGCGCCTTTTAGCTCCTTCTTTTTGTGTGATTTGCGGCGGGTCGGTGGCACCATCGCAGCTAGGGGTGGCACCGCGCCCAGCACACTGGCGGCGGCGGCGGCCATCGCTGAAAAGAAACTTAATCTAGGATATCCTGAGCACTGGATATTGGCATAATTTCCCTATAAAAGCCTCCTTCCTCCGCTCTCCTTTTATGTTCCGGCTTTATTTTCCTTATTTGCGCGCAAACAGTACATTCGCGGAAAACGTAAATATTGTGGCGCTCTTTATTTTATACAAATGCACAAGAGAACAACCGAGTTGGTATATAAAAAAAACACACACACACACACACACACTTCTTGCAGGCGGAATTGAGGTTGCTGGAAACCGTCCAGGCCTGTTAGCACGAGATGAGAGAACAAATTTAACAACAGCGTTTATATAATGCGATTGTGAAACTTGATAAAACTCTTTTGCAACTTTTTGCATAACAAGAAAATATAACCGATTATTTTAATTTATTCCTGTAATTTTTCTCAGGAAAATCAGGATTTCATAATTTAACACCTAAAAGAAATTTTTATTAATTCACTATGATTCATTTTTAATTTTTTATAGATTTTAACAAAGAACATCAACACTAAGAAAAATTTCGTGGTAGAATTTCACGATCGAGGGTTGATTCATGGTGATTTGAATTTAAAATTTTTGATTTTCTGAAACAATAAACAACTCACAAAAACCCATCGAGGAAAAGCCGATTTTATATTCAAATCAACACTAAGAAAAATGTTAACTGAACCGTTTTTGTATAAAGAGTAATTTAAATTTTGAAGTCAAAATACTTATCTATTATATTTTTCAGACTTCATTGGTGGTAATAAAAATTTAATTTGGTGAAATATTTTTAAATTTTGGTCTAGAAATTTTTTAGAAACAAATTGTTCTAGAAAATTCTCATAAGAAACAAAATTTCGGTTCTTAATCCCGCAATTAAATTGTTCAAATTTAATGAAAATAAAAAGAAAATTCAAAATTATTCAGGTCGTTTTGTTTTAACTCCTTAATATCTAAAATTTCTTCATTTTCTCTCGTTGTTTGCTTCCAAAATTTTACCATTCTCTTTCATTTTTGAATAAATTTCCTATATCTGACCGAATTGAACGTTTTTTAAAAGATTTATTCATTCGCTGAATTTTCCCCTCTCTCTTTCAATTGAAATCCTCTGCTTGTTGGCATTGATCGCGGAGAGACGTGAGGAGCTTGATGGACGTTGGCCCTCTTCCGGGGGCTGCGATAAAAAATCACTTTGGCTGTCACGAGCGAGCCATGGCGCGAGGGATGCGCTTTTGACCGAATTTTAATTGGCCCCCTGCTTCTCACTAATGTTGGCGCGCACGCCACACACTGTGTTGTGTATGTTTTGCGAGCAGTGATTCCAGTAAATTAGCTTTGTAACCGATCCATCCATCCATCCACCCCCGGAGGGAGCCTCCCCTTTCCTCGGCTTTCTTGTGCGCGCCGATAAATGCGAGGGAGTACATAAATTGTGCGAGAGCCCCCCAGCCGTATTCTCTTCGACGGCGCACACACGTTCGCTGCTGTTAAATTGAGCGAAAATGATAACTTATTCCGCGTCGAAGATTCGCGCTAAAAGAATTGCTGGCTTGCGAGAAAGAGGCGAGTGAAAAATCGCCCTTCGCCCCAGCCCGAGGGGCGACGCACGGTCTGCACATCCAAACAAAAACAAACCTATTTTGCCATGATCGGAGAAAAAAAACACGCGTCCGTTTGAGAGAGCTGATTTCATTTCCTGAGAAATCCGCACGAATTTCAAGTAAAAATGATTTAATTAAAGATTATGAAGGTAGAGAGTTAATGTTTATTTTAATTTTATTATATACAAACTTATTAAACAAATCAATTAGTTCACCCCAAAGCATAACCCTATAAATTATTATAATAAACACCAATAATTGCAAAAAACATAAATTATAAAAAGCTTATTAATTATTATTTAATTATTGACATTCATTTACTACTTAGTAGTAACTACTATAACTATTTTTTTAAATAAAAATTTTAAAAAAAAGTAAGTAAAATTTTCAAAACAAAAAAACTCATTTGATAAATTTTAATAATACTATAATTTATAAATTAATGCAGTAATTTTTAAATAAATATGAATAACCTCTTTAGTACTTTTATAATCAATCTTATAATTATAAAATATTAATAACCAGAATCTTTTATTGTTTTAGCTGAAATTATTATTTCAATTGAAATTATTTGGATGTGAAAAAACAGCACAATCCAATTTTGATTAGAAACTCGAATAAAAATCTCTCTATTGTAGCTTTAATATTCTGTGCGTTATTCTCTTTTAGATATTTATCAGCCTCCCCACGTCTGATTAATTTAGAAATATTAATATGAAATCACTTTGGATTGTGCGATTGTTGTTGTGTTGATCACCTGCCCTCTCTGTTGTGTGTGTTGATCGCGGTCTGGAGATTAAGCGCCTCTTCTCGCCACATGTCGCCGCTGTAAACAGTTCAAGAG